AAACCAGAGGCGGTACTTGTCTGGCCAGTGGGGTGGCGCCCGGAGCTAAAGTACCGACAGTGTGGCGCAGTCAATCTGTGGCTGTGCATTAGCCAGGCAAGCCCACCCTTCAGCGTCGGTGTGTTTCCTTCGCCTTGGATCTGTCCCAACAAAATGGAGCATTGGCATTGGCAGATTCGTCAATTCTTAATGCACCAGACCGAGGGCATACATCGCCCTTTTCGTGCCTGGGCCGGTCTGGCATGTGACAGTGTCCAGTGTGCAGCATTGCCTTTGCGATTGAGGTACATGTGCACAGCCACAACCTGCTCCACTGCTCAGTGGTGCTCCAGCGGCCAAGGCAACACCCGGACGAACCTTTCCAGGCCGTTACAGCGTGAAGCGCCACTGCGATCACTAATAAAACGTCGAGGCAGCCGCCTGCCCGCCTCGGGCTGCTTACGGGCGCCGACCCGACGACGTGGAGCATCTCATACGCGACTTCGATATCCGGGTGCCTAGAACGCCAAATGACCCAGTGTTTCAGCTGCGGGTACTGTACCGAAGGCAGCTTTCAACGAGCCGCTCAGCCGCCGTTGTTGCGCTGGATGCGCGGCGAGGCGAGTGTACGCGGTGGGCCGCGTCATGTAAGTCGTCTCCAACCGCGGTGGCGATTCAGCCCGCCCACCCAGTGGCACACACCTTGTCCGCTGCCAATGCCCATCGCAGGGCATTTTCTCCATCAACCACATCTTTAATGCTGCTGGCTTCATCAATACAGCGCACCGATAACAGCAAGCCCAGATCTTTCACATCTCTTCTGCTGCCGTATCAAGGCCCACTGTGGCTAGGCACGTCTCGCCTGTGATCGGGCTTGTCAAAGCACGCCTTGAGCATATCCAGCGTCGCCGTGCCATCGTCAATTTTAATGACGCTATCGTGGCTCTCCCAGCTTTCGTAACAGTTATGAGTTCATGCTATAAGTGCTACCCAGGGCGCATTTGATTGAGCCATTCCACAAAAGCGCATCCCACGGGATGCTCACCGTGAAGCGCCCGCGGCTTGAGTTGAGGATCGTATGGGACTGGATCCCAGATGTGACTTTCACCACACAGTGCTGCGGTGAGGTGGGTCAAGAAAGGGGACATATAGCCTGGCAGAAATAGCTGGAAAGATGACATCTGTTCTCCTTCGGCTTCAAGGTGCTTTCATGGACCCTCATGAGGTCTTTGACCCAATCTAGCGCACCTGCACCCGCTACACCGCCGAGATGCACCTCTTGCACGTCGCCTGCATCACTGGCATCGTGCTCGGCTCCTCAGCTCAAGCGGCCACCCCGTCGGCGAGCTACTACCTCTACCAGGTGGACGCAGTTTCGCCAACTCACGTAGTCACAATCACGCATTCAGGCCCCGCTGCAGAGGATCGCTGGCACATCGAATGCCTATCGCATCGACGCCAGCAAGTCCCCGACAAATGCCTGGGTACAGCAGTGTCGTGCGACGTCTCGGGCAACTACCATCACCGACGGCCAAGCGAGGGAAATGAATGTGTTAATCGATGGCGATGTCATTGCGTCGATCATTCTGTCTGAGCATTGAGCGTGCCTCATCACCGCCGGAGAAGGTGGGCATGTGAGACGGAAGGCTGGGAGAGGAGAGCGTGAGTATTGGAGGGAATTCTGTACCACCCACTATCTCATGACGGAGGGTTAGTGTGTAAGAATTACCAGATGGTCGTCTCGTAAACGCAATGAACGACTGCGTTGCCAATGAACAATGCCATTCGAGATTAATAAGCGCTGCGCGCCCTTGGAAGCAGACATGGCGTCAAACGGAGCCGGGCAAAGCATAAATGTAGCCGAGTCTGAGTTCAAAAGCTGCTGATGGCATTGACAAAGTCATCTGACCCAGAAACAACCCAGCTACGTATTCACCGTCTGCCATGGCGACCACGACTTCGGCCAAAATGATGAGGGCCGTCATATGCGACGCGCCGGGACCCGTCTCCGTGCTCAACCTCCGAGAGGTGCCGGAGCCGACCCCGCAACCGGGCCAGATGCTCGTCAAGGTGCTCGCCTTTGGCATCAATCGAGCCGGTGTGTTTCCATGAACTCCCTCACGCGCCGTCCCAATGCTTATGCCCAGGCAGAAATGTTTACACGTCAGGGCCATTCTCCCGGCATCACCTTCCCCCGCATCATCGGCATCGAGCTCATCGGCACCGTCGCCGGGTACCCGCCCGGCACCGCGCCAGAGCCCGGCGACATCCCGGTCGGCACCCGCGTCGCGACCTGCATGGGCGGCCTCGGGCGCCAGATCCCCGGCTCCTACGCCGAGTACTCGTGCCCGTGGAAGCAAAACGTCCGCGCCATCCCCGACACCTCGCTGCCCGTCGCGACGCTCGCGGCGATGCCGGAAATGTTCCAGACGGCGTACGGCTCGCTCGTCGAGGGCCTGGACCTCCAGCGAGGCGAGAGCATCCTCGTGCGCGGCGCCACGAGCTCCGTCGGCCTCACCGCGCTGCAGCTGGCGCGGTACCTCGGCGCGGGAAGAGTGGCGGGCTCGACGCGCTCCGAGGCCAGGACGCAGATGCTGAAGGACTCTGGCGCCACGGATGTCTTCATCGACGATGGGAACCTGGCCGACCGCGTGCCCGCGCAGTTCGACAAGGTGCTGGAGCTGGTCGGCGCGACGACGCTCAAGGACAGCGCCAAGTGTCTGCGCCCCAAGGGCACGGTGTGCATGACGGGCATTCAGGGGGGCAGGTGGGTGCTGGATGACTTCGCGCCCATGACGGACTTGCCGCAGCGACGGCGCCTGACGGGCTACTCGGGCGATCCCAGCGACTTTCTCGCGCTGCCTTGGGAGGAGCTGACCAAGGCGGTGGAGGATGGGAAGATTAAGATTCCCGTCCGGGAGTTTGGCCTCGATCAATTGCAGCAAGTGCACGAGATACTTGAGAGCGGAGGGGGAGGCACGAAGATGGTGGTCGTAATCTAGAAACGTATTTCAGGAATTCCGCAGGCCGTCATGCCACCAGACATGGAGTTTGTGTTCTTCGTCCAGCTATCGTGGGCGTCATGGTACGCTGGCTGTCAGCCCAGCGCAAGCCGGCGTTCTAGCACGCACAACCCCAATCGATCAGTGGAAAACGGATTAATCACAAGTCATTGCCGATGCCAGTAGCAGGGAAGGGCCTCCCAGAATGACAATTTAAATTTCCGTCTCCCGCAGAAGGAGAGTCCTTCCATCGTTCAAGTTGCCCCAATTCGCCGCTTGTCCAGGGTAGACTGGAACTTCAACGCTCATGCAGGCCAGCGAATAAGCACCTTAAATCCGGCTTAAAAGCCCACATTGACACCCGCTAAGTATTGAATCGGCACTAAATTATACGGTTGAATTACCGGATTTGAACCCTTTTTTACTTGCCTAACCAATGGTGGCGACGTACCCGGACTTTACGGATTTTGGTCTCGAAATACACACAGTCCAGTCCATCCCGCACCAGCTACAACCCGAATCCTGACGTCGGAAGCAAAGCCACTGACGCCGTGGTATGGCAAAGGAAATGGTCTTGAAATACATATATAGAGGCAGATGGACCGATATTGCGATGATGGACTTGCGACTGAACTTGAAGAAACACCCTTCTCTTAATCTGTTCACATCTCACATACGCAATGTCGTTCTTCGACCTCCTCAAAGCACAATACAAGACTCTGCCCCAGCCACTTACTTCAGAGGACTGCCATGGCCGCACATTCATCGTCACCGGTGCCAATGCCGGACTCGGATTAGAAGCGACCAAGCATCTCGTGAGCCTAGGCTCCGCCCGCGTCATCATGGCCGTGCGCAACACAAGAAGCGGCGAGGCCGCCAAAGAGGATATCGAGGAAGCCACAGGTCGTCGTGGAATGCTGGAAGTCTGGAGGCTGGACCTCGCGTCGTACGACTCAGTCGTGGAGTTTGCTGCCAAGGCACAGACAGACCTCGACCGGATAGACGGCCTGATTGAGAATGCCGGGGTCGCAATGGGCCAGTGGACGGAGGCCGAGGGTAACGAGACGAGCGTCACGGTCAACGTCATTTCCACCATGCTGCTCGCCGTGCTACTTCTGCCACACATGGAGAAGACGGCGGCCAAGTACGCCACGGTGCCCCGGATTGCCATGATTGGGAGTATCGTCGCATTCGACGCCCAACCATCCCTCGCCAAGATGGATCGCGGCAACATCCTGGGAGACCTGCGGGACAGGCAAAAGTGGGAGCCGCATATGGATGCAAGGTACGCTACCAATCCAGTCAGAAAAATATTGCCCCCATGTCACTAACGAAGCGATGCGCTGCCTCTAGCTACCCCAGGTCGAAGATGCTGTCGTTGTTCGCCTTTCGCCAGCTGTCCGAGCTGGCACCCGTATCCAGAACCGGTGTCGTCATGAACTGGATCAACCCTGGAATCTGCAGTACTGGGCTAGACAGAAACGCAAACTTCGCCATCAAGCTGCAAATCGGCTTCGCGCGCGCACTCATGGGCCGAACGGCCGAGCAAGGCAGCCGAACCCTGCTGCATGGCCTCGCCGCGGACAAAGAGAGCCACGGCAAGTATCTAACTGAATGCGAAGTTCGCGAGTAAGCACCCCAAAATGTCTTGCGATGCGTACGAGCACTGACGAGTGGGCAGCGATCTTGTGCCAGAGTGGTTCACCAATGAAGACGGACGCGACTGGCAAGTACGGATCTGGAGCGAGGTGGCCAAGGTGCTCGACCGTGTGCAACCGGGATGTGTCCGCAGGATTGAGGCTTGAATCTTCGACAAGGGTGACCATAAGAGCAGACAAAGAGCAGCCAGAACGCAAAGAAGGCACTTGAATTGATGTGGGAAAGCACTATTTTAGTTGTGAAGAGACAAAGACGCTCACCGATGTCTCGTCTCGGTGTCCGACTCGCAAACAAACTCATCAGACTTGAACCCTTTTGACGCCTTGCCCCCTCCGCCGCTCTGGCCATCTGCCGCACCACTGGCCCAGGACTCTGCATCCCGTCCTGCCACTGGACCGTAAACCTCCATCATCATCTCCTTCGACTCAGACCACTTCGCATACGTGATGACTTGAGCATGGAAAAGGCCCTCCCAGATATCCAAGACGTAGTCTTGGCAGTTCCACGCGGCCCCTCGCCCAGGGACCCTTGCCCGTTGAACGGTTCCCACCACGCACTCCCAACGGGACATGGGGATGACTGCCAGCTTCCGCAGAGGCCGGAGGCAGTTGACCGCATGCGTGGGATCTGCTCGATGATGGACAGGTACATAGCGGCATCCCCCACCACCCTTGGAATCGACGCCCTGGATGACTTCAAAGATGTGCCAGGCCGAGTTTGGCCCGTGGCCGAATCGGGCAGCTAGTGCCCAGTGGTACAGCTCTCCGAAAGCCTGCTTATAGACAGCCAAGTATAGGCTGACTCTGCGCGTGTCGGCAGGTTGCGACGGCGAGGACTGACTCTGTCGTGGCTGATTAAGGTTGACACTCGGGGTTGGTGGCCTTGCCTCGTGCATGGTGGAAGAGCAGCGTCGGGGATCACACGCCGGGGGCCTATTATTGCGCGATGGCATTTTCACGTGGAGGTTGGCCGAAGGTATGGTGAGCTTTGGTCCTCTGGGAAAAGGTAAGGCGAAGAGCAAGGCCTGGCGTGAAGTAAACGCCGAGAGAAATAAGTCGCAGCCTCATCTTTTATAACGGACGTTGCTGTGCAACCCATACAACACAGAGAGATCATAGATGCGGAAGAAAGTGCTGTCCGCAGACCTAAGGCGATGCAGAGACTCAAATGTGGGATTGCAGTGATGTGCGTGCTGCAAGTCTTCTGAACGACTTCGATGCACAAAGGAACATGTCGCCCTCACGGCTGGCACGATAGGTGGGCGGACCCTGTACGGCGCATCAATGCCACACTCGCCTTTGAGGCTGGATTTGTTGCGCCAGTCTGAACAGAAGAGCTTGCGACCGATAGTGATGTGGTAGTAAACGCAGGGTCCAGATGATGATTGGACCCGAACGGCTTTTGGACTCATCATCACAACCAAGTGTCTTTGTGAATGCATTGCCCATCTGGAGGCGCCTCATCATTTGCACGACATGCACGCAAAATGAATGTCCCGTTGAAGTTGACGTTGCGTTTCCACCTCCCGCAGAGCTTTCCTATAGATTGTACCTAAATAACGGCGAGCGGTCATCCATCTGCTCCAGTTCCTCAGCAGAGTATTTCGCCCGGACTTCATCCTCACTCGTCTTCGCCCTGCGCTTATTTATACGCCAATATGTCACCTCCAAGATCAAGGAAGAGACCACCCCGGCGCCCGCAATCGCCAAGGACGTGCCGAACCCTGTCGGGTACTTGGGCTTCTCGCGATCCAGGTAGATGAAGCTCCCAATCACGCCTCCAACACTGCCAATCATGACCATGAGCCCGACCCCCATGGCTCTCTTCTGCGGCCCAAGATTGTTGACGGTCCAAGCACTGACACCGGGGGGAATGGGGTACAGCCCGGCGCACGCGAGATGTACAGCAAAGTAACAGAGCGGGACGTTGCTCTTGATGTGCTCCGCCTTGGCGACAAGTATTGCATACGCGACAATGAGTGTGACCTGCGCGCCGACGAGGAATGGCATGCGCCACTTAAGTCGGTCGGCGAACAGTGAAGCCACGAGGCCCGAGATTGCGCCCACGGTGTACGGACTTCGAGTGTCAGCAAACTGTTCTATAACAGCACAGATAAGTCAAAGGACTCACGGAATGGTCAGCAGTTGGGCGTTTGACGACGTGAAACCCATGTTCTGGATGATTTGGGGCATCGTAAACTTCAAGGCATAGTTGGGCACGGTATTGGACATGAACACCATCCCCAGGAAGTAGAGCTGCCAGTCCTTGATGACCTTCCACAGCGTCTGCGCCTCCACCTTGTGGCTCGTTCCTGCGGATCGTCCGCGATACTTGATGTGGTTGAGCTCCAGGAACCGGATCTCGTCTGGCGCCAACCACTTGTGGGAGAGGGCGGGCGAGTCCGGAAGCAGGAACAGACTGGCAAAGCCGGCGACGACGGAGGCGATGCCTTCGAGAATGAAAATCCACCTCCATCCCTCGTAGCCGCCAGCACCGTTCATCTTGGCGATGAGGTACGCCAGCAAGCCAGAGAAAGCACCCGACGCAGCGCTGGCCGTGTAGAAGATGGCGATTCGGGTCTGTGTCTTGTGTGGCGGGTACCACTGTCCGACAATGTAGTTTGCCCCCGGAAAGAACCCGGCCCTTTATCTGATGTTAGTAGGAGCTGAAACATTGTGATGAGCGTGAACGGCGTACTCAAAAACGCCGAGGAGGAACCTCGTGGCGCAAAGTCCACCGAAGTTGCGAACGACTCCCGTGAAAGTCATAACGATTCCCCAGCATATGACCAGGGATCCGATATATATGGAGGGCTTCTTGAATTTGCTGAGAATGTAGTTGCTTGGTATGTCTGTCAAGATCAGCCAAAGCTATCACTATAAATGAATGGTAAACGGAGGAGCCAAACTAACCGAAGATGACATAGGAGATGAAGAAGAGCGCCAGAGCAACATTGTAATCTGTGCCACTCATCCCCAAACTCTTCTCTAGTCCTTCAATCTTTGCATTTCCTAGGCTCGTTAGACAGGAAATGCGGCCAAGCGAAGAAGACTAGGCGCACCAATATTGGCCCGGTCAATGATGGCCAGTAAGTACAGAATGCTCAACGCCGGGACCAGGCGCCAATCGAGCTGTTCATGGTCAACACATGCGTCTTCGTCGATGAACTGACTATTTTACCTTTTGATATATCTTGGCCTCTTGTTTCGCAGACACGGAGTCTAAGAACGCCTGGTCCTCGGCGCTGAGGTCCGTGACGGCCGATGTCGGCGCCGACTTCTCAAGATGGGACACATTTTCCTTTGACATGACGATCTCTCACGACAAACTTCAGAAAGATTTTGGCTTCCCGAGCTAACGATCCCATATGGAGACCGTTCAAGAAAAGGTGCTTGTTATGTATGTGCCAATCGTCCGCCGTGTTGGTGAACGCCGGCGGTCGACTCCGTCAGAATCGCCGAAGCGGTGGAGCCTCATTGTTTTTGGCTATACTGGACGGGCCTTGGCCGGCGTTTGCTTGCTGGAGAAAGCCTTCCGTTTAGACGAGTATTGGCCGGGCGTGCCTGGCTTCGGAGCTTTGTGCGGGGCAGCTTTGATCGATGGTGTCAAAATTGCCGGGACTGGAGTTTGTTAGCGTGTGGGGTAAGGCAAGGGTCGGCAACGGTTGACGCGGGGTCAATACCAACGCGGGGCACTGAAGTCCACTCGGCAAAGCGGATAGACGGTAGACAATAGACATGCACTTGCTGCCCGACATGAGAGCTTAATTTAGTGCGAGGGCTAGCTTGTGGCCGCGTGGGATCAGAGGTAGTATCAGTTCTGGGTTTGACATCTCCGATTGATGAGGTGCAACTCAACTGGCTCGTGCTCAACCAATCGGGGATGCTGTCAGCAGTATGATGTTACCTATGTATGAGGCCGGAGTCCTGAAAAGGCGCCACATATTTAGACCAATGCTTATTGCATCTCTTATGTAGGTAATAAGAAAAAGCTTAAACTGCCAACGCTATTTCTCAGGAAAGTTCGAGTTCATGGTACCCTTCAGACTGAGATGAATCCGACGCTGGTTAGGTCCCCTATCGCCGTGCCCGCTGAGTCGTGAAAAAGTTGCAGCAACTCCCCTAGTAGCTCAAGAGGCCCTGCGTTGAGTATTGAGAGAAGGTCGCAGGTACGGCGCCACATACGGCGGCCTAATTGAGGGGGCCTGGCGGCGTGATTCCGCGGGATGGTTGTTCGGTTGGTCTTACAGCGGAACTCAGAGCCTACTCAGCCCATGCGGCCCATAGTTCAGTCAAGGTAGAAGCACTGATGCTAGTATCTACATGTAGCGGTCAGAGGATCTGAGCGTTTCTTATTCTCGGTGTGGCGGCACGGCCCGGACACCTGCATATTGCTCACGCCAGTCTGCGAATCAGTTCATGTTATGGCTTACGTGGAACGATGTACCGTCTCAACAAGAGACACGCAGAAGGAAATGCTGGAAGGCGAGACGCAGCGCCGTGAAACAAGGGTCTACCGCAGCGCACCGTACGCTGTGTGACGCCCCGGTGAGAGCAACGTGCTGGCCTTGGCACAGATTTCGTGGCACATCATGCACTCTTGAGGCTTCAAAGCGGGCCACACCGATACGAACCGATGTGGAGGCCTTTCAGCCTGCCACGACGACATGCTTCGCTCCTTAAGCGAGGCCGACGAATCCATCCCAATGGCATAAATATCCGTTGTGGAGTAGCCCAGGCTGGAAGAACTTCGTGATCTCTATTTTACAGGGCCTATTGAATCCCAGACAATAGTTGGCCTAACACTAGGTCGCTATTACCGAACCTTTGTATCAAACGGCCCCAATTGCAAAAATGACTGCCGCCGCTGCCGCCTTTGACCCGGCTGCCCCCGATGAGACAGCCATCCGTCTCTATTACAACACATCCACGGCCCAGCTCGCCCTCGCACTAAAGGCTGCCACGGATGCTGCGGACTCAGACTATGGCTTTGCCGCAAGTGACATCGACCTTGAAGGATACATTGTGCATGGTTCCGAACTTGCTGTCACCAATTTGCGTGGTGTCAGCGTGGTGCTCGCTATGACCGTCCCGAATGTGCCGGGTGGCAAGGCTACAGACAACAGCATCTCGATTGTCTCTCCCGTCTATATGTCACTCAAGACCACCGACATAACCAACACCAAGGTCGGAGCCTCATCATCAGCCAACGCAGCCTGGGTCTACTTCCTTTCGTGAGTGATATATCTCATCTGTACATGGCACAGCTAGCAAGGGGACTGACCCGAACGCTCAGCGGAACGGAGTCCAACGTCTCTCTTAAGGAACTTCATCTCGTCACAGGCAATACCACTACATACCCCATGGATAGTCCCGTTGCCTCCAACAGCTCCCTTGGCGCCTGGTACGATGAAGGCCAGGATGAACGATTTGTTGTATACCAGACCAGCGACAGCAACCGCTTGACCGAGTTTAACGCCATCCAAAGGTCTACCGCTGCAATCATGGCCACGAACGATGCTCGAGCAAAGACCTCCGTTGCGGCGGTTCCTTTTCAAGGCAATGTGTATCTGTACTACGCAGATAGCAGTGACAACCTGCGCAGGGTCACAAGGGCTAACGGCCAATGGGGCACTTCGGCAGTGGTCCGCGACAGCCCGCCAGTTGGCAACGGTCAAATCACCGTGACCGCTGCAAATGGGTTGAATCATGTACTCTATCTGGCACGCGATGACAGCATGGCACAGAGGGGGTTCACGCATGTGTATGACCGGATTTGATGGCCGTCATGACATTGTTCAGCTGAGCCGGGCAGTCGCGGACAACGCAAGGTGAACGGGAAACCTGCATGCAGCAGTCATTGAAATGTTGCAGTTTAGCATATACACGTTTTGGATACACTCGCAGTCTATGAATAAGTACGCTTGCCCTGGCAGGACCAGGGTCACGAAAGCCTCTAGTCGCACATTGCAGCCCTTCGCTGGTTGCCTTTCATTACACCCGCGGAACTTCCGCGGAGACCTGCTGGAGTCCAGCGAAGCCGTCCATAAAGCGTGCCAGGAATCACTGCAATTTGCAGCACGCGCGCATTGATTACCAAGCACACTCTAGTCCGGAAATGCGGTGCAAAATGATTCCATTGAGATAGGTCGTAGTGGCGGACGGCCAGAACCGCTGTGGCAAGTCTCAGGGGTCAGAACAGACCGTCTGGTGACACGCAGTGTGTAGCTAGCGCTGATGCAAAGGACTTCTGCCGGCGAGGGGATTGGGCCTCGCGCCTGAACGAATTAGTAATGTCGATAATGATGTTTAGAATACTTGTTATGGCCAATTTGGCCCATGGCTAAAGGCTTGTGTTCAGCATCTTCTTTGTGCCGCCGAGGGATTTACGACATTGACTCCAAATTGCCCCTCGTCGCATGTGTACTCCATTGTCCATCAACAAGCCACCCGTCGGATCGCGATCGTCATATTCAGACCGACTCGCTTCCCAAGTCCACATAGCCCAGGCCGGCAAGAGTGGAAGAATAAGGCAATGAACGGTCCGCGACCCGACTTTTCAGACTTGAGCGAAAAGGCCAACTCTCTAACAACGAACTTGAGGGCCAACGTGACACAACAAAGCCATGGACAACATGGCACCTGCACAATTACTACTGGTGGTGTTGAGAGCAGCGATATGAAAGCCACAGTTCGTTCCATCCATTGCAGTGTCTATTGAATGTCGGCATTGCTCACTACATGGCCAGGCCGAGACCGGAGACACCTTCCCGAGAGCAGGGTCTCTCGGACATGTAGAGGAACAGACTGCTAGCATATCCGCAGATGATGTCAAGACGGGAGGAATTCGGCATGATCCCATCCCTCTGACAGATCTGGACCAAGGCATTATAGGCTGGGACAGTGAGAGCGACCCCGAAATGCCCTTAAACTTCAACAAGTGGAGGAAGTGGACACTTGTGGCCTTGCTATCGGTCATGACTCTAGTCACGCCCTTGGCATCGTCAATCCTCTCGCCTGGACTGGCAAGACTTGATCAGGAATTCCACAACGAGAGCGAGATCGTGAGTGCGATGACTGTCAGCGTGTACCTCCTCGGCTATGTCATTGGGCCACTCTTTCTGGCACCGCTGTGCGAAATATACGGGCGCCGACCGGTTCTTTGCGCATCCAACATCTTCTTTTGTCTCTGGCTAATTGGGTGCGCCTTGGCACCGAACATTGGCGCATTGATAGTATTTCGCTTCTTTAGTGGAATTGGAGGTGCTGGCTGCTTGGTATTATGAAGGATCCTACCCCTATTCCCCCACTGTACGAACGCTGACTGTCGTCAGACATTAGGGGGCGGTGTCATCGGTGATCTTTTCAGGGCAGATGAACGCGGTCTTGCTATGAGCGCCTGGATCTTGGGACCTCTGTTCGGTGAGGAATGATATCAGTCCACAAGGTTTGATAGCTGACGTACCTAGGGCCCACGATAGGACCCTTAGTCGGAGGCTTTGTAGCGGAGACGATCGGGTGGCGTTGGGACTTTTGGATCGTCCTGATTGTCGCCGTCATGCTCACCGTGGTGATTGAGTTTTTGAACGAGGAAACGAGTCATCACGTCCTGATCGAGCGCAAAGTTGTCCGCCTACGGAAAGAGCTGGGCAGGGATGACCTGCGGAGCTGCTATGCTGCCACTGAAACGCGGACCAAGCACCGGATTCTACTTGACGGCCTCCTTCGACCCACCAAGATGCTCGTCCTATCGCCGCACGTGTTCTTCTTGTCATTATATATCGCCTTTGTCTACGGCACCCTATACCTACTCTTTACGACCATCCCCGTCATCTTTATGGACACATACGGCTTTAACGTCGGCTACACTGGGCTAGTGTACCTCTCTATTGGCGCCGGAAACTTCCTCGGCTGGATAGTGATTACCTTCCTCTCAGACAAGACCATTGTGCGCCTCGCCGAAGCCAACGGCGGTAAGTTTGAGCCTGAAATGCGACTTTCGACATCCATCTTCTTCGGGTTCTTCCTCCCCATCACCTTCTTCTGGTACGGGTGGACTACATACTACAAGACGCACTGGATTGCACCGATTCTCTCACTTATGCCTTTCGGATTCGGCGCCCTCGGGCTGTTCTTGCCCATTACGACATACCTGGTAGACTGCTATCCGCACTACGCCGCCTCGGCTATTGCGGCGAATACCGTCCTGCGAAGTCTTGTCGGCGCATTTCTTCCACTGGCCGGTGGGAGCTTGTACCAGTCGCTTGGGCTGGGCTGGGGCAACTCGCTGCTAGGGTTTATCTGTGTTGGGATGATTCCTTTACCTATTATTTTTTACAAGTACGGGGGACGTCTAAGGGCGGCGCAAAGGTTTACACTCTAGACCCAAGTTTCACCATCACAGCTATTATTGAGGGAATCCGGCTGCCAAGATATCGCCGATGTGCGCCCGCAAGATTGCCATCTGTCTCTCGGCTTCTTCTGCTGTCGTAGCACCACTTGTGTTCACCGGGTAGCCGTCAAGGAGTTTGGTCCAGACACCTTTATCTACGACAAAGAAGGGATCAGGGCGGGATAGCTGCATGATACTCTCCGCCAATGCCAACCGTTCCTTCCCGACAGCACTAAAGTACTCCGTCTTGCGCCTCTTAATCTCACTTTCGGGTTCGTCGTCCGCTTGCAAGGTCTTTGATAAGGCAAGCAAGTCGGGGTGAATGCTGATCTCACGTAATTTGGCCAGAAGACTGTCTGTCTCAGAAGAAGAACGACCAAAGGCAAGCTGATGGAGAGAGTGTAGATGGTGATAGTCCTGCAATGCATCGAAGCGGACGAGGAGCATGAAGCGAGAGACCATGTCGCTAATCTCCCAGTGTCTCCACCCTGGAAGTGGCAGGTTGTGCTTGGCTGCTTCTTCAACAAATCCTGACCGGAAGGCGTGAACCAGAGCCGCGTCGGTGGTAAGATCCCGCGGATGTGGCAGACCAGGGGTGGAGAGTAGTTGGGCCAATGGCACTGTCGACGAGAACGCCCAATCGATGACACAAGTGATGTTGAAGTCGCCGTCAACGAAGATATTTTGGGTGCTTAGATCGTGGTGGCACAGAGGGTAGCCAAGACTCGTCTCGCTTTGTGGCAAGTTGACATGAGAGACAATCTCACCGCGCAAATAGTACGCCGCGAGGCTGTATGCCATGCGATTGCTGCTTGACTCTGGTTTGTTTCCCACAGCGGCGTAGTCGTTCCAGAGCATTTGAGCGAGATAGAATGTCGCGTAATCAGGGTACTCTTGTGGCACTGGAAGAGGCGCGAAAAGAATGTGATGCTGCATCGGGAGCTGCTCTGCCTGTAGAAGGAGAGCGGACGCCAGCGAGGAGTAGTAGATGGACTCTTGGGAGAACGGGCCGCGCGGGACATCTTCGAGGTCCTCACGCCCATGGAAAATGTACCCTGGTGAAAGACAATCCTCGACATTGTAGCCTCCGTCATCTTGCTCGAGAATCGATCCAATCAACGGAAACTTTAATCGAGACAATTCCCAGGTAAAGCGACCGAGATGTGTCATTACTCGTTCCCTTTCGAGTTGCGTAAGAGCGCGTCGAGAATCGGTAGCTCTTCCTCGTGTGAAGCGCTCATGGGCCGGTGTTTGCCAATGGCACGTCGCAAGAGGCCTGCCAGGAGCGCGGCCCATGAGAATGTAAGGGATTTCGACGTCGTTTTGGTAAGTCGCACTGCGCGCCTTGGTCAGTGGGAACCGTCAATTGCGACACGGAAACGGCACTTTACCAGTAGTGGAACACCTCGGGAACTGGGATTGATGTGCTCTGCCGGACGCATTTCAGCGTAGCAGCTTCACTGGCTAAAACGCGACAGGCAGTCGTTCGGCTTATCTCGACCCCTTCGGGCTTTGGGGATCGAAACACCCACTCAACGCCGTCGGCAAACGTGAGGAGTATTGCCCAACTGAAGGCGCCGGACCAGGGCGTTTGCGTTTCATCGCAGGTGCATGGCTGTTTGCGAAGCGTCCCAGCTAGGCGCAGAAGGGCGGCGAGATTGAACCGTGCATGACGGTAAATATTGCGTCGGGGGCTCGAAGCCGGCATTTGCGTTCGTTCAACGTGTCCGGTCGAGACGGGTAGTCTGACGGCGCGTCCACACACATGATGCACTTCAGCATGGCGGCGAAGCGTTGGTGCCTGAATGCCCTGTAATACCAGGCACGGTCTCCCGGCTGTTCTGGCAGACCCACATATTCTATCCCCGCCAGGTCTCGCCAGGAACTCTCCTCGTCATTCACTAATCTCCTGGCACTGGGGCCTTGGGCCGCTGGCCTTGAGTTTGGCCAATGCTCATATAGGTATCACACAGGTCCCGACCCCGGAAAGTTTGCACATTTTGCGTCGAAGCGCATACAAAGAGCTTACAGTATAAATCCCGTACGCTGTTGCACCGAGAGATCCCGGTGTGCTCAGCGCTGACGCGTAAAGCCGCGGTCCCACCAGACAGCACTTGATGAGATCCACGTTGCAGTCAGCGTCGTCCAAATGGCCATCATTGTTGTTCACTGTCCGAGGCGCCCTGTCATCCAGCTCCTTTGACGCCAGCCATTGACACTTAAAGTTGAGTTGAGCCGCCGAATACTCGTTTCAGCCTAGGTACGCCGCAAAAGGGACGACAGCGAGGTCAGGGTAGAGATGGGTGGCACCAAGGATCGGAATCTCACGAATGTAGCCGGCTGAATAGCCATCAGCTTACCATTTTGTGGAAAGCACTCGCGTTTCTCCGAGAACATGCTGGCCAGGAATGCTCGGCGCCTGCGTCATGCAACCAACGCCAGCAAAAAGGGCCAACATGCTTCCGCCGCCTGAATGCCGTGGCGCGTGAAGCGTCTATAAAGTCTCGCCACAGTCTGCCCCGTCTTCGTGGCGATCTGGCAGCCTTTTGAACTGCATTTTGTTGCAAACACTCCCGGCTGGCCTCTGACTCGCTCGCGCTTGTAATCGGACGAACCGTCCTTACATATACTACGTGTGGCAACCAGGCGAGCACCCGTCAAGGCAAGGTCTCTGTGTAGGCTGCTGTGAGCTTCGCTGAGACGTAGTACAGAGTACACCGATTCGAACGGGGGCTAAGCTACGGTCGCCATGGAGCCAAATGACAGGAGGTCATTCCAAAGGGACGTGCAGGTGGCACAGGACCATCCCGTGCCGGGAGACCGGCTCGAGCGTGAGAGCCCGCCGACCGGGCCAGCGGATACCGGTGGTAATGCGGGTGGTGTTACAAAGAAAACCACCGCTCCCAAGTTGCGGTCTTTTATAGACCTTTGTTGTTGGTTCTTACTCGGCCAGCGTTGACATTTCGGGATGTAACGTTTGAGTCACACCGTCCTAAAATGTAAGCTCACTCGCGACAATCACTCGAGATATACTCGGTCGGCACACACGTTCGTACAGGCCAACAACGTGCACATCAAAGTTCAAAGCCAGCATCAAAGGCACGCTCCCTTGTCGCTAGCGCAGTGATGGCAAGTAGAAGTCAAAGCAACATTGCACTAACCCGCTGCAAGGTACAACGCGGCGAAATTTTATTATGGCATTCTCTGAGTGTGCACTGTATGTCAGTTTAGGTCCGTTGTCAACATGTCGCGGTAGCCCAACTCCAACCTTCAATCTACCACTAGAAGGAAGTGAAAGTATTTGCGTAGGTCGTTGGCGTCGATTGCTGCCGGTCTCAGGCCTTCATATCCCTCCACTTTCTTCAGTGCGGCAGCTGTGTTGTCATTCTTGAACCGAGCCATACCCTCATATAGCTCCCAACGTGCTCGCTCCCCATACACCCTCTCCTCTAGCATGGGCAGTAAGGGTTTCAACCGCGGATTCGCCCCGGATTGGTCTGCTCGCCGCAGCCGCTCAACCCATTCGGCGTATGGCAAGCCAACCAGGTCGACATGGCATAGCTTTGCGGCAAGACGAAATAGCTCGTTCATGTCAATACTGCTCTGAGCGTCTGGCGTGATATGATATGCTTTGCCGAGGTTGTCATTGCGCAAGGATATGAGCCTCATCGCCGAGGCAACATAGTCGACTGGCAGCAACTCCTTGCGCTGGTCGGGGAGTGAAGGGTATATACCTAGTCGCAGGCAGTCTGCCAGAAGCCGGCTGGCAAAATCGTCCGGGTTGCCGACACCGTCCCCACTGTTGCAGAGCACGACGCCGAGGCGATACACCGCAGCAGGGAAGCCACGGCGCATCAGATGTGAGACCACTTCGTCCGAGACCCATTGGCTTTGCCCATACCCCATCTCATATGGGATGGTTGTCTCAAGGTATGGCGTAAGGGGATCGTCCTCACTTAGCTCCTTCACTTGTTCTCTGATGAGCCCCGTCGGACCAAACGCTGCTATGCTGGACGTATAGTGGAGCGGCTTTGACCGTGAGCAGACGGCAAGCCTGAGTATGTTGAGCGTGCCCGAGATGTTGGCGTCCCTGGTGGCAGTATACGGCTCATTGTAGTTGACCTGAGCTGCCAGATGATAGATGATGCTTGTCCAAGTGGCTAGCTCGTGGTATTCTGCCTCACTCAAACCCAGCCTGGCCTGGGACAAGTCCCCTGGAACGACCACAACCTTTGACATCAATTCTTCGGAAAGGTTCGGAAGCCGATACTTGTGGAAGTTCTGGCTCAGCTTCTTGAACGCAGACCGAGGAGTCTTTGCGCGAACGAGACATCGGACAGCTCGCACTTCGGGAGACTGAATCAGCTCGAAAAGCAAGTACGCGCCGACAAAGCCCGTGGCTCCCGTCAAGAACACCTTGCCCTCACCCGCGGAGAGCCAGTCCACGGGCGGTCCTTTCGGGATTGGAATGTCCCTCCACAGGGTCTCGGCGTCGTTGCGCAATACGTCTTTGATCTTGTCCAAGTCATCAGCGGCGTGTTCGGATTTCTTCCTGTCCAGCAGTGATGCCAGAGCATGCAGCGTCGAATGCTCGTATATCTGGCGGGCTGGAAGCGATGTGTCAAGCTCTGCTCGGATCCCGGCAATCAGCGACGCCACATGCAACGATGTTGCGCCAAGGGTAAAGAAGTCACTTTCCAATCGGATATGCTCCTCCGGAACAGTGAAGAGGCTGCGGCTCCAAAGCACCCTCAATACTTTCTCTGAGGCCGTGAGATCAAGCACCGCTCTCGGTTCGTCATGAACGTCCCGACTCTGCGGGCCATGAAGCATCGCCATCAGCAACTTATGTGCTTCCTTTCTGTCCACCTTCCCGTTCGGTGTCAGAGGCATCTTCTCGAATTGCACCAGCTGAGGCACCATGTAGCTTGGAAGACGGGCTCTTGCCTCCGCGAGCAGAGCATCGTTGCTCGACTCCGGCGAGGCATATGTGATGCAAGCCACGAGCAACGGCGCATTCGAACCTAGCGGCTCCGCTCTCACCGCTGCAACAGTCTTGATCAGGCCTGTTAGGTAGAGCTCGGTCTCGATGACATCTAAGTTGATCCGGTAACCCCTAATTTTGACCTCACGGTCTTTCCGGCCAAGCCAAACCACGTTGTTTGCGTCGTCTGTATATGCAAGATCACCAGTACGGTACAGAGATACCGCGTCTCCGCTGCACGTGAGCCCCGAAACTGGTATAAAGGCCTTCTGCGTTGCTTCAGGGTTGTCGAGATAGCCGCGAGATAAGCCTTGCCCGCCGAGATAGAGCTCGCCTGTGTTCTTGCCAGCCACCATCCGCAGAGATTCATCCAGGACGTATGAAACGGTCTGGTTGATGGGCTTGCCAATTGGCAAGAAGCCTTTGGCCACATCATCTAAAGTGATAACGTGTGCAAGTGCAAGGATACAGCTCTCGGTTGGTCCGTACCCATTGATCAACCGCCCAGGTGGTCCGTTCTCCAGTACGACTTTGCATGAGTTCATGTCTGGAGCCTCCGCGCCCAGAATAAGCGTTTTGCATTCCGAGAAGGCCATCGGACATGCTGCCGCGATGACACGGAACAAGGCGGCTGTGATCAGCAAGTAGGTTACCTGCCTCTCCTTTAAAGTGCGAGCAAAGATATCCGGGCTCAGCGCCTCCTGTCGATCCAATATTATGATCGTTGCGCCGTGGAGGAGAGCAACCCAGGTGTCCACGAGCGAAAGGTCGAAGCAAGTATTGTTGAGATGGCCAATCACCTCTTCGCTGGAGTCGGGCTTGCAGGTCTCATCTCGGGCGAGTCTCATGATACCACGAGCGTGAATTTGGACACCCTTAGGCTTTCCAGTTGTGCCAGATGTAAATAGGATATGAGAACGGAAGTCGGAGGGGAGGGTGCGCGGCAGGCCTGGGACTTCCTTCTCACCATCTGCTGGGTCTCGGCTAACAACGACCGGTATCTTGTGGGCCGACAGGCCGCGGCCGTGGCACGACTCATCCGTGATTAAAAGTCTCGATTTTGCCAGCTGTAGCTGCAGCTCCAGGTCTCGGTCAGGGCGAATTGGGTCCAATGGGACGCAGGTCGCTCCGGCGTACGCGACCGCAAGTTGAGCAACAATGTGATGTGCCCCAAAGCTAGTGAGGATGCCGACAGGATCTTCGGGCATTATGCCATGCCGCAGGAGCTCCAAAGCCAGAGCTTTGGCCGCAAGGTCCAGTTCGCTATATGAGATCAAGAGCTGCTTGTCAACTATAGCGGTCTTGCTCCCGAGTCGACTTGCATTGCCGGCAACAAATTGGCCAATGTCAGCACCACCGCTCTCCGACAGAAAAGAGTAGTCCATAGCACTGAAACCGAGCAATGATGTATGAATTTGGACTTAATTAAGCGATGGGCGCATCGATGTCTTGCCGACTATGACAGAAGTCCTGCGAGTCCTATGCTGTATATATAGCCTGCAACTGGCGACGTGACAAGCGCCTCCCAATGTGGGTTAACATGAAATTCAACGCCAAACGTTTGGGGGGTCGGTCGAGATGTCCACCATAGAGACATGTCAGACGAAATAGATCAACATATTGCGTGTTGAGGTTGTCACAGTGGCGTGATCTCCAGTGATCACAATACTCATGCCAGTGTGCCAAAGGCCTACGAGACGTGTCCACGTGTCAACACAAAGACAGCTTCTCTCGATTCCAAGCATACAGAAGTCAGTGATGACATTGGATTGCTTCAAACTCTTCGGATACATGCTTACGTGAAAGACTTGGCTCAGCCCCCTATTCCGGCCCTTGTGTCGGGGACCGACGATGATGTGTGCGGTATGCTGTCTCAACCTCGTAACGGGATTGGAGAGTCAATCACTGCCGTGAACCTCTCGGGCCCTTGTTCATGCAGGTGACCTGTCTTCTGCGTCTCGCGTGGGTCACCAAACCGCGAATGATGGTGCATGTATGAGTCGGTCCAGGTTATCCGACGCACCCTCGCGGCAATTGCCGTGCCGCTGTCGTAATAATGACTTGGCGCAGGTATCCTGGGAACATGGATCTGGATCCCATTTACGTGATGAAATATGGGGTACATGCTAGCTAAATATTAGAGGGTAGTGCTATTTGTACAGCCAACTTCTGCTAGTTGTAGAGCCCGCCCTACCGCAGCAGCAACGACAGGAACGACAGGAACGACAGCAACGACAACAAAGGCAGCAACGGTAGGAATAGTAGCAAATTACTAGCAAAAGGCAGAGCGCCGCTATCGTCCTATGCCAACACACAAAATCACCGGCGAAGCATTGGGGTCAGGGCTTCGCCGAAAAACCCGTAGGACGGCTCTACAACAGCAAAAGTTGGCTCTCCGAATAACACTATCCATGCTAGGTATACAAGATACTCTGTATAATAGTAGATGGACGAGAGCTTGCGATTTCATCACAAACTGCCGGAGGTTGGGATGATACCGAGGGTGACCTCTATACGACGAGTACAAATCCGATCATCTCCGAGAATCGCTTAAGGACTGCGTGAGGCCTCAATCCCTCTCCAGGACCACGTATGTACCGCATCGCACCCGGCGTGGTCCTTGGAAAGAGACGCTGCCAGCAAGTAGAGATATACATGCATGTGTCGTCAGACCACTGACCGGAACAGGGCCCAACTCTTGTGCTTTTCCTAGGTGGAACGTCCCAGTGGTGCACTGGAACACTTTGTCGTGGCGAGTTGACCGATTATTTGTCCGCATTGTTCAACGCTCTTGAGCGTTAGATTGAGCGATTGAAGACGTTTGGCTTCTCGTTGGTTCAAGCTAGGTTTCCACATGACAGCTGACTGAATCGTAGTATTTCCGCGGGCTGTACGGTTCCTGCCGTTGACGAGCACGTAAGGAGGAGGGTGCCCCGCACCGAACCAGCCACGCCCGTACGACGGACCGCAACTGCGAGTCGTAGGCTCGCGTTCTTGAGGATGTACGGGCAGCAAGGGATAAGGGTGGATGTCCCTACTTCCCTTTCAGGGCGGGATGCATGATGCCCGCTCCGGCAGACTTCTTGCGTCACTAGCCTTTACCAAGGACAGCTGCCGAACCAGGCCCCTTGACTCGCGTCGCTGCTCGCCTGCGTTCCGCTCAACCAGACTGGACTCTTGATTGAGGCACGAATCAAATTGAAGCACAACTCACGCCCACCTTGGGCGCATGCCTTGGCCGAATGTTCGTCATCCTGCTTCTGGACCTTGATGTCCGTCCTGCAGCTTACCACCACTCCGGTCTTCACGGAAGCACGGCCAGTCGCAAGGTGCGCTATAATTCACGGATATCTTGCGAGTGATTCCAAGCACACCTTTCACTTTCCTGTTTTCTTTGCCACGGGGTATCGTCATAGTAATAAACAGCGATCCCCATTGCCAGTCACAGTTGATGATTTGGGCGAGCAGGCGTTCTCGAGTAGGTACATCCTGCTGCGTTTGAGGAGAGGAGCACCTTCCAAGGACCGACAATGTCGCACACAGCGTGGTTGGTAGCGGGGGCTTTATTGGCTGCTGGCCGCCATGCCATTGACTCGGGCGTTGACTCTCGGATATGTCATATTAGAGCATGACTAGCAGTCATTAGGCACTCTCCTTTACACATCAGCAAGCCCATGTTAGTCGATGCATGCGTCAATTTTGTGGCCGGATCACGTTGCAAAGTCTGGCACCAGGGCACTGTGCCGTCACGATGGGTTACATAAAGGAGTAGCACATCCCCTACGGTGACGCATAACTTATTTGACGGTAATTGGATGCAATAATCTACCGATTTCGAGTCTTCCGGCACATGTAAGCTCTCACAGGCGTGCTCGGACACTGCCCTCCTCAAGCACATAGTAGCGCCTGAAGCTTTCCAGGCAACGAGGATTCGCCACAGTCGAGCTAATTCGTTGTGGAATTTTACCCGTGCTTATTGTTTGCTTGATCAGTGTCTCGACCTTCTTGCCATTCACCGTCACGGGTATTTCCAAAACAGGGATAATGAAGCGCGGCACATGTCGCGCACTCAACCCGGCGCGGATGGCTTCCCGTAGACTTGTTTCCAAAGTGCCATCAAACTGAAAACCCTCCCGCATACTGACGAAAAGGAAGACAGATTCGTCGTTATCAATCCCGTCGCGTCGTCTCCCGACGCACAGAGTCGTGTCGATAATGTCGGTGAATGGATGTGCTTCAGTGATGGAATAGATCTCCGAGGAACCGAAACGGATGCCTTGCGGGTTGAGAACACCGTCACTAAGCAATTAGCATTCATTCACTGACCTTATTGCGCTGTTGGGGTGAGCTATTGCCCGTCTTACCTTCGACCGTGAATCTGGGACCCGCCAGTCACGGGGTTGAAGCTTGCCCAGTCGTGCTGCGCCCAGCAAGGGTAGTCGAATCGCTCAAAGTAGCTTGCTATGTATCGTTTGTTCCCTTCGTCTCCCCACATATAAACTGGCATCGAAGGAAAGGGTTGCCGGCATATCATCTCGCCAGCATGACCGAGATGTTTGACGGACTCGCCGGTCACAGGGTCCGCAACATCGATGTCGTGACCCAGCATCGGCAGCTGCAACTCACCCGGGTATAATTGGCCTGCAGGATCGGTGCCTATCCACGATGTCGCAATGTCGGTGCCTCCAGTGACGCTGGTGAGATGTATCGTGCGAGGAAAGGCCTCATAGAACCAGTGATATTGAGCAGCGGCCAGATGTGAACCCCCAGTCTGGACCATTCGCAGCTCAGGGATGCTGAATTTCTCTCTTGGCACCACGCCACTAGACTCTAGCTGTTGTAGATAGCGTGGGGATACCCCCCAGTAGGCCACTCTGTGCCTTTGCACTATTTCCAGCATGTGCGCGGGTGCAGGGAAGGTTGGCGAGCCATCGTAAAGAACAAGTGTGGTGCCAACCGACAAGTGGCCAACCATGATGTTCCACAGAACCCAAGAGGGGCTCGAATACTGAAAGACGACCTCTCCCGCCTTCAATGAGTTGTGAAGCTTTGAGACTTTCTTGTGTTGCAGTATGACTCCGTGTTGGTGGACTAGACATTTCGGTGGTCCGGATGTTCCACTGGAGTAGAGGATGTAAAGGGGAAAGGAAAAGGGCAACCTCTTGAACTCCAGACCATCAGAGGGGTGCGACAGTGAGCAAAACTTTGACATAGTCGTATACTCATTGCTGGTATTGTCATGGAGTGGGATCAGAACAACCTTCGGTTTGGTTGGCAATCGTGAAAGGATAGAAGAGATCTTGGCCATACTGTCACGTTGACGCCCTTTGTATGTGACATGACTGTCGGCAAACAATACTGACGCTCCAACCAGTTGGAGGCGTGATATGCATCCCTACATGGGCGTTAGTATACTTAGTTCGGGGTTGTTTCTTTCCTGCCTCGGAACACTTACATCAGCACCGAGATCAGAAGCAATCGACGTGTATATTGCGCCCAAGCTTGCAGTAGCAAGAAATATGGCAACCGACCAGACGGACGTGGAAATAAGGGCAGCGACTCGGTCTCCTTCTTTGATGCCACTTCTCTTCAGAGCACTTCGGATGACCCTGACCTGCTCCCGCAGTTCCGCCCACGACCATCGCTCACCCTCAAGGCCTTGACCTTCACGTAATCCGATCAGCGCTGGGGCATTGCCTTGCAGCTGAGGCTGATTCAAGACGTTCTCTGCATAATTGATAACAGATCCTTGAAAGAATGGTGGAATTTTGTCGATGGGTATGGCCGGGTCATATGCTCGCGTTGTCGATGGGGCCAGTTCTGGCACAATGCCGACGTAGGACCATAGATCGATCCAGAATTCTTGAGGAGAAGTAATCGACCATTTTTGTAGCTCTTGCGAGTTCTTCAAGTTGACGTTGAACTTTTCATTGATGTGCTTGCGATATTGATTCATGGGAATGGCCTCTGGGGGTGTGCATGGCTCCCAGATGGGCTTCGGGGCCTCGTAGGACTGGACGGTTGGGACGAGTTTCTCCATTTCCGCCATGCTGTCCGTGCTTCCGGTCCAATTGCATTGGTACAGCCTTATTTTAGATATAGTCTCCCTCATGTGACGTGACAATGGCCGGTCCCGGAGGACAACAGGGTGCAGCAGGGTGGTGCCGAAAATCGCCGGAGGGGGCCCGGCGAATTTCGGCGTTTTAAGTTGGGCACACCTTGTCCGGCGAAAACCACAAACTACCATCCGACATATAATTCGATACAGGATATGTCATATGATGAGTAACGCAAAGCACAGGCAGTCAGGCAGTATCCTACACGTCGATACTATGGATTCGTCGAGAATGAGACCATCAACTGTTGACACGGGGTACCGGCTGCAACCCACACCCCTTGGAAACCCGGTTACCTCTGACGCATATTTCCAACGCGTGCTACATGGCTACCTGGATCCAGAGCTCGTCGAAAGCGTCACCCCTCAGCTGATTAAGTTTGGTGACGACGCAGTGTCTGACACTGTACATGCCTGGATCGCCAACTCTGAAAAGGAGGAGCCTTATGTGAAGCAATACGATGTCTGGGGCAGCCGATATCCGTATGATAAGCTCGTGACCTCGGAGGGCTGGAAAAGACTTGGCCAGTGGGGCGCAAGAAATGGGTAAGACCCGGGCACGAGGTCCTCTCTCCATTCGTAATGCGATGATGCTTACCGCTGTCTAGCGTGGTCTCGTTGGGCTATGAACCAGAGAATGGGCCATTTAGGCGACTGGTGCAACATGCCTTGTACGTGCACTCATCCGCACTGCCAGCGCAATACTGATTCTCGCAGCAACTACATCTTCTCTGCATCCTCGGGGGTACGATCATGCCCAGTCTCCATGACGAGCGGTGCTGCTCGCCTGGTCATGCGTCACTTACCCGGCTTGCCTGACGATCACCCCTTTCACGAGGTCTTTAGGAAGCTCATCGCTCGCGACGATGCCTGGGTCTCCAGTCAATGGATGACGGAACGGCCCGGAGGCAGCGATGTGCGCAACTCTGAGACGGTCGCTGTTTACTCTCCCCTACCAAGCAAGTCAAACAAAATCGGCCGCATCGATGAGGGGGATTACCTTCTCTCCGGCTTCAAGTGGTTCACATCTGCGGCTGATTGTGACATGGCCCTGATCTTGGCCAAGACTGAGTCTGGGGAACTCAGTTTGTTCCTTGCGCCAACAAGAACCACAGCTGTGGGAGAAGACGGAAAGCCGTACGAGAGAACAAACGGGGCCAGAATCCACCGGATGAAGAACAAAATGGGTACCAAGGAGCTTCCGACAGCCGAAATTGAGCTCAAGGATACTCGCGCCTGGATGATTGGCCCAAAGGATAAGGGAATCGCGACCATTGCGCTACTGCTCAACGTCACCAGAACGCACAACTTCATCACCGCCCTGTCTTGCTGGAGGCGAGCCATGCACATCGCCAAAGCGTTTGCCAAAGCGCGCCAAGTCCTGGACCAGCCTCTATGGACATTTCCGATGCACCTGAGGCTCCTGTCTACCATGGAAGTCAAACACCGCGGCGCGATGCAGTTGGCCTTCTTCACGACATCCTTGCTCAGCTTTGCAGATTACGGGTTTCCAGAATTAGGCGCCTTCGCTCATCTTCCTCTCCCCGAGCCCGGGCGGCCGACAGAGATTCTTCTTCGAACCTTGACGGCCACCACCAAGGCCATCATTTGCAAGGTCGGCACGCTGGCCCTGCAAGAGTGCCAGGAAGCCATGGGCGGCGTTGGCTACCTTGACGATCCCGATGATCCCGAGTTCAACATTTCTCGCCTATACCGCGATACCGCCGCCAATATGACGTGGGAAGGGACAACTAATGTGCTGGCCAGCGAGGTCGTCCGACATGTTCTCAATAACGATCACTGCGACATCATTGCAAATTGGATGCGAAATGCCATTGGCAAAATAGCCGATTCCGCCCTGAAAGGCGCATTGGAGCGATCCTGTTCAAAGTTCTTCAAAGAGCTGGCTCCTCTGAAGGACAACATTGGAGCAGCCCTGGCAGACGGACGGCAGCAAATGTTCACTTTAGGGTGGCTTATTAGTGGTGTCTTGCTTGCGCTAGACGCCCAGCGAGACAGCGAGGAGATTGCTTCTGAAGTTGCGAAACGGTGGGTGCTCCGTGGCGAAGGAGGCTTTGGCGAGTTCGTCTTGCCCGGGGTCATGCACGCAGGTCACAGCGAGACTCACCTTTCAGAAAGGGAGCGGAGAAATTGGGATTGTAGGATTGTATGGGGCGTTGAGTTGCCGCGGGACGCTGCTGCTGGTTTTCGTCCTGCTGTGAGCAAGCCGCGACTGTGAGGAATAGCTGTTGCTCGTGGGCCACGCTGTTGCCAACATTGAAAGGCCGCCCAAAGTGAGGGCTCAATGCCATCATAGCACGCGCGGTTGTGTATGCCCTACAAAGTGTATTTCGTACCAAATAGAACACAGCTGCTCCATACAGAGCATCAAACTCAATTGGCACTCTTCATCGGTCGCATCTTGGCAGCGCACCTTGCTTCATTGGCGGTCCGATGACGGCGCTCCACGGACCGAGTGGCCGTTGGTGCTGGAACTACTCGGCCCACGGGCGGCGACTACCCCGCATAGTGCCCCGTGGGGTTGCCGGGCGGCCGTTAACGCGGCATCGCACGTCGCAAGCCTCTGTCGTACGCATTCCGTTTCCAACATGATCGCTGCTGGCGAGCTCGCCGAGAAGAAATGCCCTACCAAGCCAAGGGAAGTAAAGCCTGCTCTATATGCCACAAAAAGAAGGTCAGGATCGCCCACACCCACGTGAGAGACAGCCAGCTCACTTGTTCATCCTGTAGATCAAGTGTGACCTGGCAGGAGATGGCCCGCCTTGCACAAACTGCAAGCTCGGCAATTATGCATGTAGGTCCGTAATCCTGGCCGTTTTTGCAATCAATCATCACTCTAGTATGTACGCAGTCGATCTGACTATGGTGCCAGACCACACCAAAGGAAGCGCAAACGATACACTCTGAGCCCCAGTCCCCCAGCTTGCGACGGCCCTGAGCAACACACACCCAACACGACGGGTACCACTGGTCTCACGGCCATCTCAGACCTCGATACCACTGGGCTCCATCAGATCACAGGTCCCGCTACATCCCCGCATTCACCTATCTCGCAGAACTCGCAGTTCCATAAAGCCTACGAGATACCCACCGTCGACCGGAGCTATGATGGGCGGAGCGAGTACCTTGGAGACCAGGTCCCCTTCACGGAGCCTCTGCATGTGTCGCACACGGGCCTCGACCCTGAGCACGGGCTTCCACACCTTGACGTTCGTTTCCTGGCACTCAGGAAGGCTTTCGATCTCCCGTCTCGAACCATGCGCGAGAGCCTCATTGACGCCTTCATGGAACACTGTCACCCCTGGACGCCGATAGTCGAGAGGCGATGGCTAGAGGAGACTGACCAGCGGCGGCCGCCGCTATTGCTCCTTCAAGCCGTGTTTCTCGCTGGAAGCCGAGTTCTGTCCAGTCCGCTCGTGCATACATCATCGCCCGAGTTTTACGAGCGAGCGAGAGCACTCTTCTTTCATGGACATGAGAAGAACACGACGCTTGCCATTGTCGCCGTCTGTCTTTTGCAGTGGTGGAACCCGACCGGTCCCGAAAAGTTCTCGGTCAACACCAGCGGATTTTGGGTACGCATTGGCGTTGAGCTCGCGTACCAGGTGGGACTCCACAAGGAACCGGCCGATGGGCCATTCAAGAGCTTCCGCCGCCGGTTGTGGTGGACGCTGGTTGTAAGCAATTGAAGCCCATCGACGACGGTTCCGACTCAGATCATTGATACATGTGCGCAGGTTCGCGACAGCATCATCTCGGTCGGGACTGGTAGACCACGGACGATCCACCTCGAAGACAGCACGATGAAGCCACCTAGCCTGGAAGACTTTGCTGTGCAGGACATCCAAGCCAGTTTGTTCATTGCATATGCTTCTATCTGCAGGCAAATGGGGGATATAGCTGAGGCTCACAGGCGACAAAGCCTCACTCCCTCAGTCAGACAACGCTTCGAAGATGCCTTGTTTCGGTGGGCCAAGCAAGTGCCCCAACAGCTGCAAATTGTCCACCAACACAACGAAACATGCGCACTCGCGCCATACAACTTTGAAGCGCGTCAACTGGCGGTGCCTTATTTCGTCTCTCTGACCTTGCTCCACCGAACACCGAAGGCGCAGGCGTCTGCTCCAACCATTTGTCTTCTTGCGTCGTCGTACGTTGTGGCGATCATCGAGGAGTTCATCTGCCGGGATCAGTTGCGCTATCTTGGACCGGTCTTTACATTCTACGCCCTTGTCACGGGCCTGAATCAACTTACTGGGTTTCGCTACGAATGCTTGCAGGAGGTGGCAGAGCACGAGTTCAACGTGGTCAAGGTGGCGCTCGAGGAGCTCGGCAAGCGATGGGGCTCGGCTCACGGAGCGTTGCGAGGATTGATCAGAGCCAAGGAGGCAGTTCAACAACAGCCGCGCTATTCCAGACGGCCGCCAATCTTGTCTCCCGACGAGGCTATTTTCTTCACGGACTTTGGGCCTGAGCTTTGCAAGATGTGGGACGTGGGGTTTGCGGGTTCGACGGACCGTGGACACGGATCGGTTATCGCCGCGCGTAAAGACTCGCAGTCGTGGGACTTCGCCACGACGGCTGATGGCATGTCGCTTCAAATGCAGTCGCCAGATCTACTGCAGGGGCCGAAAGCTTCTTCAAGCTCAAGGGATCCTCGCGAAGCAAGTTTGGCGGACGCTTCTGCGTACGGGTACGAAGATTTGACCCAGTTCGAGGATCCCTTGGTGCCGGCGGAAGGGTTCTGGCTGTTTGAGGATCTAGAGTTGCCGGGCATGTTCTCCGACACATTTGTTCCCTGAATGCATGCTACATCACGGCGAAGGCGTTCGCAAGGCGAGCATCGTGGATCCTCTGCAAAGCATCCCCTGTTGCAGGGACGGGGCGTCGGGCACTCGCTGGGCTTACAGGGTTTCGGGTAGCCGTGGCCGAGTCGTGAGAGGCTTCCAATACCCGCGACCGACGCATCCGGAGAACACGCTGTATATGGCAACCGCCAACGTTGCGCCGGCGGGAACTGACTGAGCGTGCGCGGTTCGGCCGACTGGACTACTGCGGCTTGTGCAGCCAGGGTGGTCAACTGACACTCTGCCGCCATCACAGTCGAAACAAAGCTTACCCCGGTGTGCTTGACCCTACTGTCGCTCTCTCCGTTGGACGAAGAATGGTCGCCATTGTTTTGGTCCTCCCGTGCCTGGTGCCGTGAGCGTCAGCGCTAATGTGTGCGCCCTTGCTCTGCCGTGGTTCGCAGACGCACAACACGTTCAAGCCTGAAGATAGACTTTGGGGCTGTTGTTCCAATCGAATGACTGGTTCGTCCGGAATGGATCGTGTGATATTCCGTTCTGTTCGGGGTAGCTTCAGGTAAACGCTCCAACGGTAGGTCGAGCCTGTAGGGTCGGCGAGGCTTGTCAGGAATGGGACGATGGGGAATGGGGACGGGAGCGGCTGTGAACGCTGGATCAACCGGCACTCGATCCCCACATGTAATCTGAGCTTCTCCCCGGAAGCTAGCAACGCGGTGTGGATGGGAGCCCTCACATCAGCCTGTTCAGCCGGCAAACACGGAGCTGACACCTGGTAGCGCCGTGAGCTGAGCACAAGCACCTGTCAAATTGAGCGGAATGTAAATGCAAAGGGTCTGTGAGGCTGGATCGACTAGGGCCGACGAAGAGGGGGAAACATATATTTAACTCGGCCGGCGTTATCGCGATGGGAACCGGGCACGTTCGGTCTAGCAAGCCCCCTGCGAGCAAGCCTACTCATTGCGACACAATGCCTCCCAAATCGCCCACCAAAGCTGCCGCTGCGAGCAGCAGCGGAAGCCGAATCCCCTTACACCTTGTTCGCCACGGCTGCGGCCTCGTTGCCTTTGGCTTGCTCTTTGGGTTCGTCGTGCCGTTTACGCCATACCCGCGACTAGGCCTCACCGCGCACATACAGTTCTCCGTGGAGGGAACCATGGTGCTCGTCGCGGGGCTGCTTCTCCAGTCCGACCCGTTTGCCGGCGCGCGAAGTGCATCCGCCAAGCCCGTTCCCCTAGCGGACAGACTGGGACCATGGCAGCGACGCATCATCTACATCGGCCTCTCGCTGATCTGGGTGACCTTGCTATCGGAGGCGGCAAATGCCTGGTGGGGCACGCAGTGGGTACTGAGGCAAGCCCATGCTGCCGCGGGCTTGAAGGGCGACGGGCCTGCCGCTCGGTGGATGGAACTGGTGGTGGAATATTGCCACAAACCGCCTGCGTTGCTCCTCGCTACGGTTGTAAGTACATCCTGCTGTTCTGGTAACGGCACAAAGGCTCATTGCGTTCTTCTAGTTCCCCACGATTCTATACGCCCTCTTCCAGGAACCGTAGGAGCATAATGGTTTTACTTGTCCCATCGGATCCGCAGTGGACGGGTCGGGGGTCCGTCGCCCGCGCGGGCCGGGCGGGTCGGGCATCGGTTAGGTGGGGCCGTTGCGATAACCCCCGCGTCTACAGTAGGCCCTTTCGGCTTCCGTCAAAGGTGTATAGGCCCAGGCAGAGGACCATGCGTCAAGGCTAGGATCTTACTTGTTCTATTTGTTCAATGAGTCGGCAGCTCGCTACGGGGGCGAGTGTTGTCCCCTTCCAGCTCCATGACCGTATTACCCTTCGCAGCGTCAAGTTTATATCTCGCCGAACTCTCCAACTCTGGTCACGCTTGCTCGGTGGAATCCAGTTCCGACTTGACATGGCCGGTATCGTTGCTGTTATCTTCGAGATGTGGCGTTTTGGGCCTTGACTGTTTGGATCCATGTCGTGGTCTTCCGTATGCCCAGATCGAGCAAATGACCAGGCCCGCCACAACGACGCAAATGCCTATCACAATGCCCGCGACGCCGCCTGCTCCCAGCCTCGCCGCTGATGAGTAATTGCCGCCACCTCCGTTCTCGCCTGAGCCGCCCGTGGGGCTAATTGGCTTTGTCCCAATGACGTCGGGCTTGCCATGCATACAGCCGAGTGGTGGCTGGTGGCTGTTTTTTGCTGTGTTGTGCGCCCAACATTGCTGCTAGGTACAGAGCATTGCTGGTGGGCTCGGCGAATGGGCAACATGGAACACGACGTGGAAGCACTCGGTGCGCCCGAACAAAGTTTAGATCCGGCCGATCAGTCCCAGGATCCTCTTGCAGGCCGGGGGTTGGAAAGCTGCGAGTCTCACGACAAGCCTTTCAGTGGACAGTCCCGCCGTGAGCCAAACACACGGGGATTTGTTGGTTGAACCTTGGCACAGCTGACACTGAGCTTCAGCTTTTGCGGTGTTCACGGACGCTGACTCATTGTCGTTTATCGTTTATCGTTTGCCGTTTGCCCACGTTTGTCTTAGTGCTTACATGGAGTGCACCACCGCTGCTGGTCAATACCATTGCTGGCACTGTCATCCTGGCCAGACAGCCCAGACGCAAGAGCTGCCACATCTCCATCATTCCTGATCAGCCGTCATTCTTTCCATGCAAGCTCGTATGCATTTCGAGGAATAGAGCTCGCTAGGCGTACTTCGTACAAGGCATTCAACCATCATTCTGATCTCGTGGCTGCCGATATGCGCAAGTTTCACAAGAAGTCAAAGTTGGGCTGCAAGCAGTGCAAAGCGAGGCGCGTAAAATGCGATGAGACACGTCCGGTGTGTCGCAAATGCTCGCATGCCAGCCTCGAGTGCTCATTTATACTCGAGAAAGCGACAAAATGTCCAGCCGACGACGTTTCTACAGCCCCGACCAGCCGAGCGAACGTGGACGCAGTGCAAGCGACAACCGCAAAGGGCCAGCACACTATCCTGAGCTCATTGCCAGTCACGACGACTCTGGCCACGGCCCTACCTCCACCGCCATATACTTCGCTTGACGAGCGTTTCAGCGCATTGCACCTTCGCCTGCTACGCCATTTCGAGCATGACTTCTATCAACACCAGAGGAAGGTGCACCCAGGGCTGGATGAGTTGTTAGCCCTCTTCGTCGAGACAGCTTGGACTACGCCATACCTCCTGGACGAGCTCCTGGCATACGCGGCGGCGCATAAAAGCACCGTTGACAGAGTTAGCAACGGCTTTTATCCGTACGAAGCCAAGAGGCTACAAACTCGAGCTCTTACGTTGTATAACAGCGAGCGCCCCATCCTGTGCGATGAGACATGCCTACCAATGTTCCTCTTTTCGGGGCTGTTGAGTCACCACACCATGTTTGAGGTGCGCATCGAAGGACTGCATGACCTCCGGTTGGCCGTTGATGCCCTCACGCAATCTATCGAGATCCACCGCGGGCTTCATGCTATAGCTCGGTCGGCGTGGCCTATGTTCTCGGAGCAAGACCAGCAAAGATTCACCCGCAGCTGCCAAAGGGAGATACCGGACGTTAGTGGCGGTCCGCGTTCCCGGGACGAGTGCAATACCCTCCTGGATCATCTGGATCAGGCTCATCTGGAACCGGTATGCAAGTCCATGTGTCGGAGCGCGGTAGAAGACCTCCAGGACAGGTTCGACTCGCTTTCCCTGAGCGATACACATACGACGTGGGCCGCCATCCAAGATTGGCTCGTTGCAGTACCAGTGGGATACGTCGAGCTCCTCAAGCACATGCAACCAGAGGCGCTGGTAGTTCTCGCCCATTTCGCTGTTCTCCTGCACTATGGCGCAGAACATTGGTTCATCGCGGACCTGGGTGCGCGCTTGGTCCAGCTCGTGAACGGCCATCTGGGACCGCATTGGGAAACATGGCTCGAATGGCCAATCCGCGCTACAGCAAACGATCCGAACCCTTATAGGAGCAAATATTAGGCGCTGCATCCACAACACTCTGGCTTTGCATGTATTGTGACGAAGAGTTGCACTGATGCCTAGCTACTCCGGGCGGGCGTTGGCAGCCTCTTTTTTCCGAATTTTCATGCCATCCAGCCACTTGTTCGCCTCCTCCACGTCGTTATGCTGGTAGACCTTGACGATCTTGCTTCCATCCTCGTTGAAGTCCAAGAACCACACGAAATTGCGACTGGCTGTTTCGCCACTGTTAAACTTCACCAGAATCTCGCTTCTTGCAGCTGCTCTCAGCTTCTGCGTGTCGACAACAAGGTCGTAGACGACGTGATCGTCGAATTGGTAGTGCTCCATGCCGTTGAACTCTGCTGCGTATTCTTCGTTGGACATCGAGTAGTCTGGTGGCGCGCCTCTTGCAATGAGAAACGCGGGCGGCCCGACATGTCGACGGCAGTCATCGGTGAGGTAGGCAGCCAAAGCCTCCATGGACTTTGTCTGACTGGCGTCTACATAGCTTTTCAGGAACCCTTTTGTTGTAGTTTCAATCGCTTGTGCCAGAGATGACATTGTGGAAAAGAGCTGTGAGCGAGGACAATGAGCAATTGATATGGCTGAGTCTGGGTGTCTGTTTCTCTTGTCTAGTTGCTTGGTGAAAGGGATCGATATGAGGAATAGTGCCTCGTATTTATATGTGAGTTGTATGCCATTCAGCATATCCTTAGCAAGTGGTCCAGGCGCTGGCTGACGTAGGTCTAAGAGCATGTATGAGTCCGGGCGATACCGATTGGGTAAGGTTTCGCGGTAAACGGTAAACGGCAAGCGGTAAACGACGAACGATGTGGAACAAGCGCAAAATGTTGCACGCTAAACGATACCCGAGGAACGCTGTACGTTATACGAGGTACGGTAAACGACGAGAATGGACAATAAAAGACAGATGTGAAGAGTGAACTCCAAGGATCATTACTTTGAGCAGCATCTATATTGCGCATGAAGTAAGCACCTAACTATACCAGTTACCATGTACGGGGCCTTGTACATGGTCGGTCTCAACGCCAAAGCTTAAGTGCCCTACTGCAATGACATCCAAGTCCCCAGAAACCTGTTCATAAAATTCCAAAGGCATCTTGACTACCCCCCACTTGACTTTGCTCTTAGATAGCTCAGACAGAGTATCATTTCCAGTGGTATGGGTGTCTCCCACGGCCATCGTCAGTGACTCCTCACAGCCGTTCTTGACACTCATTAGACCCGTTGTCTCCCTTGTGACTTCGTGCTCAGTTGCACTTGGGTCTCGACGCCCGGCAGTGGACGCTGCAGAAGCGTGACATGAGGCAGCGATGGCGAGCGAGTTACTGCCAACAATGACCATGTTGCCGGGAAGCTTTCGGGCTGAGAGAACTAACGGAATGCAGATGGCAACAGCAAACACAATAATAGAGACCATGATTGCCGTGGTCGAGTACCCTAGGCCAACGAACCCGAAGTCGGACAAGCCGAGGCTGTTGTCTCTCATTGTCGGAGACCTGGTCCAGGACCCGTAAAAGCCTTGCGTCACGTTGGTCAGCATCGGAATTCTGCTGAGGCCTGTATCCGAAACGTACCTCCGTCTGTCATGAACACGTAACATGAGTTAGAGACCAGCCAGTGCAGTAATATTCCCAAGGCAATGCACGGCACACTCCACGAGTATGGCAGTCCCAAGAAATGTGTCGAGACCTGTTCTCCCTCTGGATCGGTAACCCGCAAGGGGCGAAAGCCGGTGCCCATTAGAGCCCACTCCTTGGCCAGAGACAGCCGCGTGATGAGGGAGTTGAAGTTCAAGTAGGATATGGAAAGAACACATTGAGCGACATTGGCGAGAAATACCATGCGAATGAAGTCGCCAGAATATGCATCTGATGAGCCTTGATCCTGTGTAACAAATTTGTTCTTGCCGCTTATTCCAAAGTCTCCTGAGCTGTTGACCGTTAGCTGTCCCAGGCTCTGTATTTTGCTAATGAGAGGCCCGCTTACATCCTGAATGTGCCGCCAGTAGCCTTGGAGAAGTAGTAGAGTGCAACGATCAGTACAGTGACAAAGATGGCATATGCTCGCAGCCATGAGCCGACAGTAACAACGAGGTAATATCGCGATGATTCTCGGCGCCATTGCCGTGCTTGCGGCGACACATGTCTGTGGCTGTGCTCTCCGTTGAGGAGCTGTGCTCCTTCGGCTGCCTCACTGTATTCCGCTCCTTTGCTGCTTCTGAAACGAGATAGAAGTCGATCCCAAGTAACGTGAATGTCTCTCATTTCCAGGGTGCACATCCTCGCAGTAGTCGGGTCAGGGAGTCGGAGCAGGGATTCGATGGCATCTCCCAACGTCACAAGAGGATGGTTGTCTTCTCGGGACACGAAGCGGGCCATGAGCAGGATGCAGTTGACCGCTTTGACTGAGACGCACACGACGATTGCCATTAGCAGGGCGTTGGAGACACCAATCTGGCATCGCTGTGGCGCCTGTTCGGCCAAGCAATAAGACACGTCAAGCTGGTCGTATCGCGCATCAAAGCCACTGCGCATCTGCGCTTCCAGGATTCCTTCTTTGAGAGACTTTTGGCTCCAAAATGGAAAAGACCATGCCGTATCGTGGGGGTTGCTGCTGGGATCCACGATATCGATGTCGTCCGTCGTGAGTCCTTCGAGGCCGAGGTTACTTTTGCAGGAATTCCGACACTTTCCGCCCTCAAAGGTCGACATGACCACGCAGTTGGTATGCAGCCATAGCGAGTTCGACTCCTCTTCGGGAAGAATGGCTTTCCAGAACGTCGAGTCGGCATTGCTCATGGAGGGAAAGACTTGCTTGCGCGACCATCCTGATGCAGGACTATTGCTGGCGTTGACCACCAATACAACATTCGTGTAGTCTTCCATGCCTTTGCCGTCACCGCAGTACAAGAACTCTTTGCGGCACGCGTCTGCATCCAGGCGATCCCAATTGGATGCAGTCGTTGCCGCCAGGGCAAGGTTTGCCGCTGTCGCCGAGCTCTCGTTCATCCACATGGCGGGGAAGATGAGTTCCTCTCCTGGCGCATACCCTTCAGACCTCCAAATTGACGAGTCGTCATCGTTCGACTGTCGGCAGAGCTTGTCGTTCTTCTCATGACCTGGGAGCCCGAGGATGCTGCAATTGTACGGTACGGCTGTATTCCACAGGCTGGCGCCCGGAGCAAAGTACTTCGCACCATGTACAAACGACTCCGCCGCGATGGTCATCCCAAAGGTCGCCCGCACATTTCTCACTTCAAAGACAAGAGAGTTGAAGAAAAGATGTAGCGGAATTGAGCTGCAAGCCAAGAGGAGCCAGCACGCGAGCTTGAGCGGCCGCTGGTAGAGGAAGTTGCGCAGCGACGGAACGCCAATATGGACCCAGCTGGAGCGAGCGTGCGCGGTGTCGAGCTCGCTGCGAGTCGGCGCACTCAAAATTTGCATAAAAAAGCTGGATGAAGAGAGTACAAGTGTGCTGATGATGTTGAGGAAGAGGTGCAGGAGGAGGTTGTACGTCTTGGACCGGGAGCAGGGCCCCTCATACAGACTGAAGGCAGACTCGAGTCTGCCAGTGCGAACACAGCCATATATCAGGATGCTCAGCAAAAATGCCCACAAGATGACGACGCCGACCGTATTGATGGCCGCCGTGCGCTTCCAGCTTGGCGCGCAGAGGAGCGGCGACAGTCGCTTCCACATTTTCGGTGTGTGATTGGAGCCATGAACACTCAGTGAGTATGCGTCGCAGTATTGGTGGATGCACTGGTACACTGGCACATTGGCCGAACACACCCACCAGGCACGTAACAAGCACCTTGGCACAGAGGTTCGTGAATTCGACGTGTTGCCCTGCTTCCTCTCGGTTTTATTGTGATCGGCCAATTAGTCATCGAGTTCTTCGGCGGTTTCACCCCTGGCTCCCTGTTCCTCGAGGCATATAACAACCTAGTCCCGCAGGTCAGCACTGTCGAAATGGTGCCGCAGGAGCAAACTCCACAGAGTTTGCGGAGGCGGCGATTCTCGACAAGCGGCAAACTAGGCCGAGGAAGTCGAATAAGCCCTCTCAGTTGGTTACCCCTTCCTCTGGCCAACAAAGGTAGCCGGCTTTGCAAAAGGCGCTTCCGATCAAATGGAAACGACTCGCTCTGGGGGTGACGAAGCTGTTGCTGCCGTGGAAGCCGGTCGCGGTGGGCCTGAAGCCCTCGGCGACTTCCATTTCGCGACGGCCCCCAAATTCCTTCAGTCAACAAATTGTCGGCCCCTTGTGACCGCGTGGCCCCTGAACGTCGCGATGATGAGCGGTGGCGATGGTCGTTTCCAGGTGGGAGACTCAGAATGAGTGAAAGCTCTCACTTTCGACGCAAGTAAGTGGTGGCCGCCTGCGGACGCCGTCAACATGAACAGCAACCCATCAGCGACCCGCATGGGGGGCAAACGCTGCCCTGAAGCCAGAGCGGGAGCCTCACCACGAGACTAGCCCCTGCGCATTTCATGGGACAGCCTCAGCAGTTCCTGCAGGGCTTCCCAACTGATGTTGTCGCCTTCATGCCTTCCCTACGTCATGTCAGCTATTCACATGCATCGACAAGAGCGCGTCTGGGAATGAACCAAGGGCATCCCGGGGACGGGCGAGCCCACTTACAAAAGCTCGCCTGTAGACGGCGCGATGGAGACTTGCGTTCCCCTGGATGTATGCGTCGGCAAAGCGACATACGCGACGGAACACCATGACCTCTTTGGGCGGGAGCAGCGCCAAGATCTGGTCGAGAATCTCAGAAGGCAAGGAAGTGAAAAGTAACATTCTGGACAAAACCGGTTGCGAGCCCTTGCGTGTCTAACGCGGAGAGGCAACCCAAGTTGGTGTAAAAAGGGGAGGGGCGGCAACGTCGTCGTGTTTACAACGCTCATTACTCGCAACTGGCAGGGAGCTCGCGCAATCCCACAACTCAATTGCACCCAGCCCGCCAGCACATCGTCTCCACTATCGTCCCAGGCTACAGAGATCCACTGCACAGCAGTTCTTTGACGATCTCTGCGCCACCTTCTGTGTCCCGAGACACAGCGATCTTGCTCAGAATGGGCGACGATGGCGGCGCCTCTCAGGCCCGGCCCGTGTTCGCCGCCTCGGCCGGGTATCCCTGCGATGCGCAATTGGCAGGGAACATCATTTGGGCCTGTCCACTCACGACAGGTAGACCGAAGAAACTTTTAACGCCCTGCATAGAAATTGGGGATGCCACAGACTCAATATCTGCTGCTCAATCAGCCTTGAAGCGTCGCCAGCGTCGGTGCGGGAGGCGGTCAAGCGCTAGCGCGACAGGCCGTCGTAGAGAAAACGAGATGTGAGCGCGGCCAGACGAATCACCTTGTCGTGACGCCAACGCGACCGCCGCAGAATTCCCGAGGATTATATAATTCGCAGAGGCACCTAACGTCTGTGCTTTGTTGGAGACGGTAACAGAAGGGACTGACTCAGTCGCTGTTTTGTCTTTATTACTACATTACTAAATTATAGAGCGAAGTTGCCGTTCTTGTCACTAGACCGAGCCGTCGACATCAGCGTCAATATTCCCTAGTCAAGTTGATCTCTGAAGACGTCTTGGACGACGCATCGACGGCCCTCCTCGTTCCGTGTCGATGCTCCCCACCTGTTGACGACTTGCGATCTGCGCTGTCGCTATCGTCGTCCATTCTCTTCAGCCTGTGCACCACAATCTCTGTGGTCATCAGAACCCCGTTATCCGGGTGCGCTTTCCCCAGCTGGCGGCCGTCGTCGCTGCCATAGGCGTATGCCTGAGATGTCGACATGTTGCCGTGATTGCCATCGGCGCCCTTGAACGTCTCCATGTGTATCGCTGCTGCGTCCTTGGTTCCGACGCCCCTGTGCGAGTTCAACCTGTGCGATCCGGAGTTGTGGTCACGGTTCTTGGTGACCTCGATCAGCTGGTTGAGGATCCTGAATTCCAGCTTCAGCTTGATGCTGTAGACTAAAGCCTTGTATGCCGTCTGGTAGACATATAAGTTTGCGTATTCGAGGACGAGAATAGGAATGTCCAGCAGGATGACCACGACGTTGACCATCCAGAGATGGTTGCGGATCCGTCGAACGCTGCTCCCATGGAGAGCACCCTGGACCTCGAAAAAGGAGGCGCAAGCCTTGAGATATATCAAGGATATGAGGATTTCCTGCAGCGAAAATACGGTAACCTGAATCTTCTCGTAAACGCTGTACGGGAATTCGAAGATCTTTGCCTGCGGGCTGTTGGCGCCAAACATGAGGATGATAATCGGAACATGCAAGACGATAGCGTTGGTAATAATCATGCCTAGAACCAGTTTCAAGTAGAAAGGGTTTCGCAATATCAGGTGCAGGCGCGAGTAGAGAACGAGTGACTGGCCCGTCACCATGAGAACCCAGCCCACGGAGACGAGGGATATGAAGAGGACGAAATAGTCGGGCGACAGTAGCTGCTTCAGCAGGAAGCCGATCGAGTGAGGAGCGATTCCATTAGTGGCCGCGAGGAAGCTCCAAAAGTAAAGACTTTTGCGGCTTTTGAAGGTTGTAAAGATGATTACGTTGAGCTCGACGACGTTGTAGAGAGAAAGGGCGATGAAGATGACGACCGGTGTAAAGATCTTGCCCGTGCCCTCCGCATTATCGGAGCCATCCGCGGATGCCATAGCGGTGGCTTTGTTGTATGGATGGCGTGTTGCCGAGTGTTTTTCCGTTCACGGGAATCGCTGTTGAAGCCGATACCGCTTTACACCTACAACAACATGTCAGTGTCTTTGATCGGAACGTCCCGAGATCTTGAGATCAAAGAAGAAAATGGATCCTTACGATTCTATCGCACCAGAGCCGCGATGGTGCTCGGCTGGGGAAGCGACAAGTGGGCATGCCCATCAGATGCAAGACTGCAGTCAGTGAAAACGAGAGACACTGGTGGCTCGCAGCCTGCGTCCATTATAATGGATTGCAAACCTGCATAGCAGGTCAGGGGTCTGACTCGCGTGTTGCCGACGCAGCTGTTCCCGACCACGCGGGTTTGAGTCCACAGGTGGCTTTCAGCCACATTTTAGTACTATTGACAGCCCTCAGGGCCGGGTACGTATGAGCCAGCCCGCAGCGGGTACCGGGAGGCGACTGATCAAAAGCCCACTTGCAAATTTGCACGATGGCTTTTACAATTTCATGACACAACGAGATATTTTCCTGTCTTGTTTCGAGTCAGTCTCTGGTCTGGAGGCAGGCTGGGCTGGCCGTTGGGATCGTGTTCACGGCCGTGACTTCCAACATGCCCGACAGCGACGAGAGACTGGAGACCCCCACAGAAAGCCAGTGCTGTCCTTGTGCTACCTAGATCTGCCGATTTGGGTACGCAGATCACTGTGGGACTCGAGAAGTGTGCGGCTTTGCTGCGGCTTCCAGCCAAGTATAACACGCTCGAGAGGCCGAACCCCAGATCCTGGTCCTAGGTTCCCACACCTTGTTGTAGAAGCTCCTTCGTCGCCGCGTTTCACGCTAGTGGCACCTTTTAACCAAGCGACCCCTTCGCCTTGCCTCGCCTGGCCCCGGCACTACGAACCAAAGTTGACGGGACTGACCAGGGCCTGCGGGGTTGTGGGGGAGCTGTCGGGCAACGCAAAGGCTTGCCACGGGGAAGGCGTCCGCGTGCAACCGAGAAATCGGACGACTCTGCAGCAGCAACCCTGTATCCACGAAGTGCTGATTCCGTGTTTAGACGCCTCCACAACGCTCAGCTGCTTATTTTGCACTCTGCGGCTCGCGTTTGTTGATTAGCTCTGGGCGCAGTTGCTCGATTGGCTGTGAGCCACCAGGGTGGCAGAATCCTTAGTTCCTTTGCATGTGCTTTCTCCTTTAAGTCGATGCAAGTCGGGACGGTGGAACCCGAGCCTCAATTTCTTCCCCTCACCAACATGCCTGGTCGTACGGCACGAACCCAGTCGAGTTCGTGTTACGAGGTGCACCTGGCTGTTGATCGATGAGGATGCGGGGACGCTCCACGGTGAGCCAACCCGCTGCCTGTGACCAGGGACATTTGCAAGCTCGTTGTGTGCCCACATCGAATCGAAGCTACATGGGTATGTTGTGGAAATGTACCTGGCGTCGCTTGAGGCGGGTGCGAAACCGTCGACACCACACCATTGCTTCCAACTGGTCACGGCAAGCTCGTTCCCGTGCAAGGGGCGCGCTCTCTCGCGAGAAAACGTGGGGTCCCCGCATCAACTTGCATACGCGAAGATCGTCCAACATGCCACTGCATGCGGACGACTGGATCGGACGGCTCGGATGTCAATTCTGAAAGGCGCTCTGGGGAGCATGCACCTTCGGACGTCCCAACTTGAACTGGAGAAGATGTACTGAAGGCACATGCGCTAGCACTGGGGGTGGCGTCACGCTCGGACCCTGTGGCTGTTGAAGATTGTGCTGTCAGGGCACGCGCGAGAAGTGTTGCCCCTGTCGGGCTGTCACTGTGCAGTCGTTGGTGGACGGGCGTTGCCTCGTCCGTTGAAGACCCCGGCTGTGATGGCTTGTGGCAAAGATCCGGACGGCTTCAAATACTGAAAGGAGAGATGGCGCTCCGACTCTGGCTGAATTCTAGCACCATCGAATGGTAGCGGGAGAGTCGTCCTCTTGGAAGCCAGGATGTGCGCCAGGAAACCTGGGTAGGGGGATTTTCAACGGCGGGAATCGCGTCCGGCCGAAATCCTGCTCTAGGGTATCGGCGATTTTGCAGCCAAGACAGCTGGATTTCCAGGAGAAGCGCGGGTGTCGCGCAATGAATGGTGGGAAACGCTCATGGAGGCTGGCTCATGAGGCGCCTCTACGTCTCGCCCTGCGATTCATGCCATGCATCACATGCACCATCAGTACGAGAAGTGTGAGAAGCGGATGAAAGTACTTCGTAACTGTAGGCAGAGCGATATAATCGTCGGTTGTTGTCGGCGTGGTGGATCTCTGTCAATCACGGCTCGGGCCTGGAACGCGGGCCTGGAACAGCGCCCGTTGTTAGCTTCCATGGACAGGCGTGACTCGAGACTCCCCACCACGAACTCCATATTTGTAGCCAACGAAGCGCGGCCGTCGTGAATCGTGATGGAAGCGCGGGTGAGTGCCGACCCTCTAGACGCGCATTCCATGTAGAGCCGAAGTTTAGAGCTCTTGGGCGCGGGACCATCAGTGCGAAGTAGGCACTCACGATACAGTGGATTGGCCGCCATCACGTAAGCAGCGGTCCCGCGTCTCAAGCGGTCCAAACCCAGTTTGCTGCATCGTCGCAAGCTTGCCTCCTGCAACAGAGCCTGTCCAAGGCGCGGCGCGGCGCGACAGCACAACCTTCGGCTATGACCTACACCGCAAGCCGGTGTCCACTCCCGCGTGAACGGTGATCGATGATGAGCCCTCCTCGCGGCGCGCCGTCTCCATCGATCCACGTCTCGACCTGAAATGCCGCGGAAGAGCGAGAAGAGCCAGCCCAGCGGCCGCGCCGCAACGTCAACCAAACCGATCGGCGCCGGGCCCCTAGCCCGATGGCTGACGATATGTTTCGTCAAAATGAGAAATCAAACGTACATTCGGCGGGTGTGGAAGCGGCCGCCCGGCCTTTTGACCGTCTTCGGACGGTGCATCAAAGTGTACCCGTTCGAAAATCTGGCCGAAGCCCATGCCATGCAGTTCGTGGCCCAACAAACATCGATCCCCGTGCCGAAAGTACATTGCGCATTCGTCCAGAACGGCAAAACTTATATTGTCATGGACCGTATCGACGGGCAGATGGTAGGGCGGGGATGGCAAAGCCGTTCAGACGAGTCGAAGAAGCGGATTCTCGACCAGCTGCGGGGTATGGTGAATGAGCTCCGTTCTATACGTCGCGTGCCTGAAAGTACGGTCGTTTCTGGCGTCGAGGGAGGCCCTTTCTGCGACCCTCGATTGCCGTCGACGCTATTTTGGGGCCCGTTTGCCACCATCCGTGACTTCCACCAAGCCCTTGTAAACAACATAGACTTCCAGGTCGCCAACAGCGACAGCATGGGTCCGGAGTATTCCGATCTGAATGACCTATTCGCCTTTTATCGACAGTCGCCCGAAACACTAGTCTTTACGCATGGCGACTTGAGTTGGCGGAATATCATGGTGAACGGAGATGACGTGGTTGGCATCATCGACTGGGAGACATCAGGGTGGCTGCCTCCATATTGGGAGTACACTTGCGCGAAAATGGTCACCTATAACGCATTTTCGGATGAAGAGATAGACATGTACGTGGAGCCGATGCCTTGCGAGCTTGAGATGGACAACATTAGGCAGAAGTACTTTGGCTTTTGATAATGTCGCCCAGCAATGCGATATTAAATGAGGAGTGCTATTCGCAGAGCCAACTTTTGCTAGTGGTAGAGCCCTCCTACATTGTTTTTCTCGGCCGCGCCATGCCCCATGTTGCCCTAGTGATTTTTACTTCGCATTAGCGTAGGTATGGGACTACAGCGGCGCGCTATCTATTGCTTTCGTTGCTTTCGTTGCTTTCGTTGCTTTCGTTGCTTTCGTTGCTTTCGTTGCTTTCGGTCTCAAGTTGGTCATGATTCTTGACTTTGCCGACCAATATGCGAACCAGCAATCGATTGGTCGGTGCCATGAAGATGTCCTTTTTCTCGATCTCCACACTGGTTGTGAGGCAGGCAGATTGTCACCACCACCGACACCGTCCCTCACATGATGCATGGTGCCCTGGCTCTCCGGATTCTCATTCTTAGGCCCGACGATGAATGCCCAATGCTATCTAGGTGCAGTTAGAATTTTCTTTGGATAAACAGAAACCGCGTATGGTTTAAGCGTAACTTGTCTTCGAGCCCAGGCATCTTTACTTTGCCTCCGCGGACATACAGGGCGACGTAGAGGCGGTCCTTGTTCGACGGCATTGTTTGACGAGACCAGGCCGTGTCAAGGCAGACGCCTGTCGATAAAGAGATGGATTTGTATTGCAGATGGCAGAATGGAACGGGGTCGCCGTAGATATCTGATTCACTGTCGCAGCGAACGCGCCAGCATAAATCTTCATGGATCTGTGACGGCTGGCGGCACGGGGTCGTGTTGGTACCGACAGTCCCACGCGCGCGCGTATCCAGCCGAGCCTGCACCTGCATCTGCAGCACACAAGCCTCAGAAGTAACTTCCTGCATTTATGCCATTGGCTCACAGCGGCTTGTTGGTGCAAGTAGGTATTGCATCGACCAGGGGAAAGAGGCTCCTGGCCCAGGCCCCCCTTTTGCCAGCCGCGCTGGACATCTTTACACACTATTTATGGGAATGAAACGGTTGCTTTCTTTTGGGGCCTTGTACTCCTTCCAACACAGGCCCGAGCGAAAGAAAACGATTCAGGATGTTCGCCTGGAAGGACCGAGAGGCCCGGTAAGAAGGGCCGGCAATAGCTTCCAAGCTGGTCCGAGGAGGCTGAGAGGGTCAGTTTGTGCCATTTTATGGTGCCCAGACTTGGGGAAAGCACGGGTCGTGGGCGAGACCGCCCGCTGACCAGCATTCCCAGGAGAAGACGAGGACTGATCAGCAAGTCCAGCCCGTCAATTGAACTTCGAAGCTCAACGGAATGGCCAGGCTCAATGCATCCGTCCTCGACGCTCTGCCGCACAGCCAGACGAGAGAAAGAGCATCATATTTTTGCAACTGCAAGCCGAAAGCCCTGCCGCGAACCCACACAGCCATGTCCAACAGCGTTGCAATGCGCTGTGGATTGGCGCCCGCGTGCCCAAGCTCAAACCATCCGTGGCGCCAACAAACCGTCTTTGCGCCTGGAGCGGAGCCACGTCTATAGATATCTTTATATACTTCATGCCAATGTCATACAGAACTGGCAAACAGTGCTCGCCTCCCTAGCGGTGGTCATGAAATAAGGCTTAACACTCCTCCTACGTCTTGCCCGAGCCCGACTCCGGATTGGGCAACGGACCTGGCTTCGAGAAGATGCCCCCAAAGAACGACAAGATACTCGACGTGCGCAGAATCATGCACGAATACAGCGTTAGGCCCGTGACGAGAATCTCCTCTTGGGCCTCCTTGGACAGCCCACGAGCACCGTAAAACTCAATGGCCCCGACCTTCTTCCGCGCCCAGCAATTAGACGCGAAGCGCGCCACCGGCACGCCGTCCGGCCCCTTGCAGATAAAGTCCCAAGTCGTGAAGTCGGCCTCGCTGCCCCAAGTCATTGCCACCAGATCGCCCGTCTGTGAATACGCGCGCGAGAGGTGCGTGTACTCCGTGTGCATGCGCCGCAGGGCCTTGAGCTTGCCCTTTTCTCCGCGCACCTCGTAACCGGCATTAATCGAGATGGGGTGCAACGTGCCACTACCGATGCGCGTGCCGGTGGCCGTCTCCGTAAAGATGAGATGGGGCGAGGTTAACGTCTTGTAGTCGACGGTGTAGACGGAACCCGCCGACTCCCCGGCCTTCTTGATCTGGGCCATCATCTTGTGCAGCGTAAAGTCGACCTCGAGCCGGGCCGCTATGCCGGGGACGTTTCCTTGCGCGGGTTGTGCGACAAGAGGCTCGACGTGCTGCTCGGCCTTTTCGTCGACGGGTCTCACGTCCCCCGGCTTTTCAGCATACGCTGGAGGGGGGGCGTCTTCGGGGGCCGTTGTGGACATCTTTGCTGCTGTCTAAGCGCCCGTAGTCAGTGATTCACAGGCGACTAGGAGTATGGTCCGCGTAAATTTGATGAAGTCTCGTTATCGTTCAAGCAGAATTAGTGTGGAAATGAGATGGCGGCTTGCACATGGATGGGCATCAACACGACTGTACGCCGGCCGCTGCTTTTCTATCGCGACGTCATCCGTCACCTCTAATACTCGCGCAGCGCATTACAACGTGGCGCGCTCCGGCGTCAGCCAGCTCACTGGGGGCCGTGTCGGCCACTTCCCAAACGGGCTGCATGTGCCGCCAGGCACCCGAGAGCCGAACGGGCCGACGCGACAGGAAGCTTGGCTGCAGTGTTGCAAGGTCATGAATCTCATGATATCGCCTCCCAGCAAATGACACCGGTGTAAGTCGGCAGAGACGGGTATTGTCTTCATGATGTATTAGTTGATGCCTTCCTCGTCGTCCACTCGGGCATCCCCATTGGTGTCCTTGCCGCGCGATCCATTTCACCTCCTGGCTTCTAGACCGCCCGCCGGTCGCCATCGCGGCCGTTCCCATAAGCAACGATCCTCGATCCTGCTGACTCGCGATCGGGGCTAGCACCTCTTGGTACAGCGCGATGCATTTTCTTGCTCAAACATGGAGCCGCTCGACACGGCTGAGCGATAGGTCTGCCTGGGGACGTCACATTGACCGCCCGCGGCTCGGATCTGCCGCGACAGCAAAATCGCATAAAGAGCGCCAAGCTGCCATCCCCATCGCCAAGCTTGCTTCTTGGCGCATCAGCTGTTCAGGAACACAGGGCCCCAACCTGTGTTGTACATAATCCCTCCTCGCCATGGCCACCAAGTTTTTGACCTCGTTCTTGTCCATCGCGGCCGTTTCGCTCGCCAGCGTCCCCCAGCAATTGGACCCGCGGGCAGACTCAAAGATACAATGGGGCCCATGCAACCAGACCATTGTCAATACGACACTGCCCACTGAGTGTGCGGATTTTACGGTGCCTCTTGACTACACTACGCCCAGCAGCAAGGAGACGATCAAGCTCCAAATCGCCAAGATCAAGGCCAAGGTGCAGCCTGCCAAAGGCACCATTCTGATCAATTTTGGAGGTCCTGGCTCCGATGGGCGAACGAGCCTGGGCAAGCAGGGCGGCTTGTTGCAAGTGTATGTGTCTTCATAAGTACAATTAAGTATCAGGACCGCTGACGACCAGGAATACAGTCTTAGCGGCTTCGAGTACGACCTCGCCGCCTTTGATCCTCGGTGAGTGACCGGGCCCGCTCGTGGCCAACGAAATCCTGTAAGATGGCTGACAATCATGAACAGTGGCACGGGCAATACTATACCCGAAGTTTGTTACGAGACCACGGCTGCTGTCAAGAAGTTTCTCGCCGCTGAGTCGACGTGGTACGATGCATCCAATTCGACTCTGGAGCAAATGTGGAAGCAAGCCACAACCAACGCCGAGACATGTTACGCGGCGCACAAGAAGACCCAGCCGTTTCTTGGAACTGGCTCTGTCGCGCGAGACCTCATCAGTGTCGTTGATGCGCTAGGCGAAGACGGCATGCTCCGCTACTGGGGTGAGCTTGCACCCCGACCTCAATCACAAGTGGCGCCAAACGGTCTGCTCACCATGCTGTTCATCTTAGGCTTCTCATACGGTACCACTTTGGGCGCGACAGTCGCTTCGATGTATCCCGAAAGAATTGACAAGGTCATCCTTGATGGCGTCCAAAATGTTCATGAATATTACCATGCGCCGGCGTACGTATTGTCCTGTATAAGTCACGAACACTAGAGCTAACGGGTACTTCGCGCGACAGTGACTTTGAAGAGTGGTCCGATGCAGACAGAGTCTTCTCCGAAGTGTTCCTCAGCTGCGTCAAGGCAGGGCCTACTCTATGCCCCATGGCTGGAGCAAACTTGACCGGTGAGCAGCTCGAGGCTGCGGCGTGGAAGATCGCAGAGCGGCTCAAGACCAACCCCATTCCCGTCAACGGGAGCTCCCCGTTGACATATGCCGGCCTGCGCGGCTTCTTCGCCAACGCCATCTATGGTCCCAACTCGTGGGGAAACCTGGCAACGCTGCTGGCGCTGATAGCCGGAAATCGAACCCAGACGCCCGCATTTAATACGGTATACGAGGACATGACGACCGCATTGCTCGGGACAATCTCAACCTACCCGCCCCTGTACGGCATTCACTGCGGGGACAGGACTGTTCGGATCAAGAGCCTGGATGATTTCCGACCTATCCAGGAGAAGCTATCGAAGGTGACCAAGGTCATGGACGGCACGGACACGGATGTGAGCATGACTTGCGGGCAGTGGAAGTCCCAGGCAGCTGGAGCATACAAGGGCAACTTTCAGGCCAAGACGAAGAACCCGATCCTCTTCGCTACGAACAAGTACGATGGCCACACGCCCATTCGGTCCGCGCAGAATGTGAGTAGCGGATTCGAAGGAAGTGGAATGCTCGTGGTCAATGGCTTCGGTGTGAGTACTCACATCACTGCAAATGTTACGAAACAGCTCGACTGACACGCTGCACCTAGCACACGACCTTGTCCCAGCCATCGGTGTGCACGATTGAACACACCGCGGCTTACTGGCACAACAGGACTCTACCGGCGAAGGGGCTCGTCTGTGACGTAGACGGTGCTCCATACAGCACCTACACGTGGGCCAATGCCACGGTGGCGTACATTCGCAAGGCCAATGAGTCCTCGTCCGGAGGTTCGGGATCTCCTCCTCCCCCTCGGAGCGCCGCGTCTCAGATGGGCCATTCAATCTCCATGATAGTCTTTGTCGTTGGCGTGGCGTTTGCGTTTATGCTGCAGTGAGAGCCGGAGCAGGAGTATGGGGAGCCTGGCTGGTCGTAACTAGTGTACACGATAATCCTTGCTACCAGGTGCTTAGTTACTGTGAGCCTTCTCATGTTTGTCGTTGTCCCTTGAAGTTACTAGAGGGATATTTGGCCCTTCCACGGGCCTTCATATGGTCTTCACAGATATCCAAAGCTGCCTTCCCATGGGGCTCTGGAGTCCCATATCCCGCAGCTTCATCATGTCATCTGTTGTACGCGTGCGGTCAACCTCAATCTCGAAGCGCTGATATAGAGCACAAGCGGTTAGCACAAGCTGCGCTCGGGCGAAATGCATCCCGATACAGTTGCGGGGTCCCGAGAGGAATGGCCGCTGCATCAACTTCATGGCGGCAGTGGGAGTCTCCCATCGGTCCGGAGTAAACTCCAAAGGCTCGGGAAAGACCTTTGGGTCTCGTTGAGTTGAGAAGGGTTGGCTGCTGACTCCGACACCTTTCGGTACGTATTTGCCGGCGATGACCTTTCCTGGTGATATCCGAGGCGCCATTGCAGATGCGGGACCTCGCAGGCGCAGGACTTCTTGAATGACGCAGTTCAAATACGGCTGCACAACAAATCGTCAGCGAAATATGCCGTCTTGATGGGATTGTCGCGAGCTTACCAAGTTGATTGCAGTTTCCAGGTCCGGAGAAGTAGACCTGTCCGGAAAAGCGGCGCGAACTTCTTCTACGAGGCGGGAGTACACGGCAGGCCTGATGCCCACCTCGTAGATGAGATAGACGAGAGTCGTAGCGGTGGTCTCGCTGCCTGCTTTGAGAAACAAGACGGCATTCTCGATGAGCTCTGCATCCGAGAAGGACTTGTTGGCGCCAGCATTTGGAACGTCTCCTTCTGGGACCTCTGAGTCTTGCGCCTCCATCATCTGTCGTAAAAGCCCACCCGTGTCCACTTCTTCGGACGCGATTCGCTCACGAAAGTCGTCGATACAAGACTGCACGAATTTCACGATGCGTGGTCTTGCTTGCTGTGCCGCTGCAAAAATGCCAAAGGGGAGGTACTTCGCCACCGGAAAAATGCCGTACAGTGGCGCGATGCTAAAGTACGTCTCCATGTCTCGAGCACCGTCGCTGTGCTTCCCCTTCAGGAGGTCAAAAGACTTGGCGAAACTGAGCTGGCTGATGATATCGAGGTATAGGTCGTGCGTCAGATCGTGAACATCGACGGGTTGTGCTGAAGTTCGAAGCTTTTCACAGAACATCTTCACTCTGTCGGTGATCTCGCCCACGCACTGGCTTATTCCAGCGGCGGAGAATTGGTGGGCGAGGAGGCGCCGCATCCGAGCATGTTCGCCGCGGTCCACGGCGGTGAAGACCGAGTCGGCAATGTTCAAGCTGATGCCGCTGTAAAAGGGCGCCGCCTTGGGGCACGGATTGGAGCTCTGCCCGTAAATGTCCTTGATCGAGGCTTCGTCGGCGAAGCACAGCTCGTCGGGCCCCGTGCGCACGACTGGGCCGTACCTCTTGTGCCATTCGTAGCGGCTACTGGTAGCCTTGCCCGCGACCATCATCGCAATCATGTACAGGCCAGTGACTTTGCCGAGGAGCGGGCCGGGGTACGAGGACAGTGGATGCAGGTACAGGCGATATATGATCAGCCACGCCAGTCGGGCGAGCCCGAGCGCGGCGATGCAGCCCAGCACAGTCGGCCAGGTCATGGCCGGTCCCAGGACGGCCTGCATCGTGTTGAAGATTGCTCTCGCGTCACTCCGAAAGCTGAGGGATCCAAGATGATTGTTGAGAAAAGCTGGACGCACACTGCCGATCGAATCAGGGCTGCGCTATCTTTAAAAGAAAGGATCTGTTTGGCCCCCAGCCTTACGCTGCGGCATTCCACTTTTCGACGCGGGCATTGCCGAAACGGGGATCGAGGATCTCGCGTGTACGAGACACGGCATCCTGCAACGGGAGTGAGTGGCAGCAGCCTCAGCATGTAGAGCAGCTGAGGCCATCGCCGCCGTCGCCGCCGCACCCAACGCAGCAATCACTGGGGTTGAAGTTTGGTGGCCAAGTCGGCATGTGGGCACTCTGCCGCTGGGGCTCTGGGGGTGGCTTGTTGGGGCGCCGGGGCCGGTGATGAATGCGGAGAGAACGTCGGGGTCGTGGAGCCAACTGGCCACGTTCCCGTCACGCCACATGTTACCTGGCAGTGCACGACATCGAACGCGCCGGCTCTTTAACCTCAGACTCGACATTTGATTCATCTGCAAGGGTTCAACATGCTTCGTTGCTACCTGTCGCACCCAGCCTTCAGCAGACTGAAAATGGCCTGTCATGTCAGTGCAAGGGGCGCGACGCACCCGTCGGCTGTCATGACCTTTGCCGATGTAGACGACTTATCCAATCTGCGACAGCAAAGGCAATGCGGGCTGTGCCGTGCCATTGTAGCATCGCTCGCCGGCTCAATGCCGAACGAGTCAGTGACGATGATTTAACCAGCCGAATGGAACTTCAACGAGATGTAATCGTTCAACCGATGTCGGCGACACCAGTAACTCATGATGAGCTGTGCTGAGATCCCAGGCAGAGTGCGGTCCGCGGGACCTTGACGTCAGCAAAAGACAGAGGCAGCGCGCTTCAGCGCCCCTCACTTCCCCTCAGTTGAAGCGTGGTCGAGCCGGGAACGTTGCAGAGGTAGCTTAGCTAGTTAATAAAGATCAAGACCCTTGTAACGTTGTAACGGTAAGCGGGACAGGGGATGGCTTAGATTGAGAACGACGGCCAAAATGGCTCTGAGCTTAAGGCCCTTGGATTGAGTCTTTGGGGACTCGCTCATGAGACAGCAAGAGTGCCGAGATGCCAGACTGTGCCTATCTCTAACTGAAAGTTGGCTTCAAGCTTCCTCGTGCGAGAGGCCCGTGATGCAATGAACATGGACTCGTCTTCCAAGCTCCAACGGAGGAAAAACCACTGGTCAGAATGATCCCCCGCAGTTCAGTGTCCGTGCCGTTACGCCCAGGGCCGTTCACTGGGGCGCCGCTATCCATCATTCACTCCGCCCACATCAGTTCCCCGCACTCCCTGCGTTCAATGTTCCCCGTCTGTATCCACCGGCTCTTGCCGTGCCATTCACACGATACGACGGGAATGACCTTGGCCGATCATGAGCAATGGTCAATGTTAACTACAGGCCGCGATCTTCTCCCGGCGGATATTTAATCGGGTCGCGCGGGTGCATATAAATATAAAAGCGTTTCCCTTGATGTTGCATTGGCAAACTGGCACGGCTCCAGCGAACAACCATGGTTCACTTTAACCGCGTGGCATGCCTCCTGGCACTGCTTGCCAATGTGCAAGCTAACCCCGTTGTCAACAATGTCCGTGACGACAAGGGTCAAGCCCGCAAGCTTCCCCAGCTGTGGCCGGCTCCCCAGCAGATTACCGCCACCGGCTGCGGCATCTCGCTCAAAGGGGCCGTCACCATCGTGACGGGCAACGCCACCGACGCCGCCACCATTGACACAATCAAGGCCGTCGTCAAGGCTGCCGGCGGTAAGCCAACAGTCTCGGCCCACACCACCAACCACGGCACTCAGATCTTGGTCGGCACTGAGACCGACAACGATGTGGCTGCCGCCGCTGCGAAAAGCCTCACTGGCGATTCCGCAAAGGGTCTGGCCGCCGACGGCTATGTCCTCGCCACGGGCAAATATGAGCACCAGCCGACTGTCGTCCTCAACGGCGTTGACACGCGCGGCACCTTCTATGCGTCCCAGACGCTCCGCCAGCTCGCCGAGGGCCGCCATGGCGTTCCCGGCGTCAAGGTCCGCGACTGGCCGCTCATGGCCATCCGTGGCTCCATTGAGGGCTTCTACGGCGTCCCTTGGTCCCACCAGGCGCGTCTCGACCAGTATGTCTTTTACGGCAAGCACAAGATGAACACGTACATCTACACGCCCAAGAGCGACTCTTTCCTCCGCGACGATTGGCGCAAGCCGTACGGCTCGGACGACCTGACCCAGCTGAAGGAGCTGATCACGACCGCCGAGGCCAACCATGTTGACTTCACCTTTGCCCTGTCCCCTGGTCTGGATCTGTGCTACTCCTCAGATGACGACTTCAACACCACCGTTACCAAGTTCAACCAGGTTCGCGACCTCGGTGTGAACAGCTTCTACATCGCCCTCGACGACATCCCGCTGGAGTTCCACTGCGACTCGGACAAGAAGAAGTGGCCCGACAACGGCGATTGGCATTGGATCGCCGACGCTCAGGCCTACTACCTGAACCGTATCCAGACCGAGTACCTCGAGGCCAACGGCCTCCTCAACCTTCAGACTGTGCCGACCAACTACGCGGGAAGCCAGCCTGACCCCTATAAGGAAGAGTTTGGAACTCAGCTCAACAAGAACATCAGCATTCAATGGACTGGTGAGGGCGTGTTCTCGCCCAACGTCACCGTGGAGAGCGTCGTTCGCGCCGACTCGACCTATGTCACCGACAAGCTGTACTTTTGGGACAACTTCCCTGTCAATGACGGCAAGACGAACCGACTGTTCCTCAACCCGCTTACCGGTCGTGATGCCGACCTGTACAAGCACCTCCTCGGCTTCACTTCGAACCCGATGGTGCAAGCGTATGCATCCATGATTGCGCTCGCCAACTACGGCGACTACACGTGGAACGGCCCGGCGTACGACGCCGACAAGTCCATGGCTGCGGCGCTGCTGGAACTCGCTGGCGGCGAAGGGAAGGTCCACGACGCACTCGTCGCCTTTGTCGACCTCAACCAGAACTGGCCATACCGGACGCCCACCGTCAACGCGCCTCAATTGAACAAGGACATTTCCGCCTTCTGGGCCGCTCGGAAAGGTTCGTCCTCTGACAAGAAGGACGGCACAAAGGCGCTGCGCAATCGCCTCCAGTTCATCACCACCCTTCCTGACGTTCTGCCGCGCCTCGCGATGAAGGGCTTTGCCACGGACTCGGCTCCCTGGGCGACCGTCGCGATGCAGTGGGCGACGGCGTGCCAGCACCTGGTGGCCATGCTCGACGCTATCGATGCGGGCGACAAGGCCAAGGCCACCAAGGAGTTCAATTCGGCTCAAGACTGGGTCACGAAGACCAAGGCCAAGACGGTCAGCGGCCTCAATGACAAGGGCGAGGTCAGCCCCAACATGATCACTCCGGTGACTGGTGATGGGGCATTTGACACGTTCCTTGCCAACGCCACGACGATTTACGAGAAGCAGTGAAGAGTGCGATTGTCCATGTCAATGTCGGGATGATGTAGTGTGTGGCAGTTTTAGAGACTGGTGCCATGCTTTCACCGGCGTGCATTGATCTTTGAACCTGCATGAGTACCCAAATAATAGAAAAACTACCTGACGAAAAGTTAAGCCGCCGCTGTGAAAGAATCTCGCATTAGTCTGCTGTACTGCTGGTGTTCAATCGGGGAGATTGGACAAGGAGATCATTCCATGTCCTTCGCTGGACAAGACGAAACGCTTTCGCGGTTCGCTGTGGCTTGATTCATTGAACTGCATCCACGAAAGATAGCCCAGAAATTCAACTGCAAGTCGCCGCCACAAAAGATCTAGTCCATAATCTTAAATAGAGGAGTTTAATTAAGGTCGAGTCGGTCGATGCGACGTCAATATTGACATTGCTCCAGCCGTAGGGTAGTCATGTTTGCCTGTGGTCGACTTAGCACGTGTAAGCGAAGGAGCGCTGTAAGCCACTCCACGGCTGGCTGATTGCGGAGAACGAACACACGGTCGGATACTTCCATGAGTACTGTGACTTTGTTTCTTTCATTCATAAGCTACGGTACGTAGAGAACGGCGATCCATTTCACTCGATTATGCCTTGGTCGGCACAGCGCTCTGGGCCGTCGCCTTGGCAGCAGGCAGATCAATGGGCGTGTCCTCGCCGTCCTCCTTCATGCCACCCAGGATCATGGACTTGGGCGCCATGGCCTGCCACAGCTCAGGGTCGGTAAAGGCCTTGAACTTCTGGTCGTGCCACTCCCCGGCGGTGATGGCGCGGCCCTCCGAGTCGATGAACATGGTGTCGTCCTCGGCGCGCAGGAAGTAGGCGATGGAGTAGCGGTGCTCGGTGGGGTCAAAGGGCACGACGCGGTGGATGCAGCTCTGGAACTTCATGCCGCTGGCGAAGCGCAGCGAGTCGCCCACGTGGACAAAGGCGCAGCCGGGCTTGGGGGCGACGAACCCCATCTCGCGAGCGCCGCAGGTGCCCGGCGGGCGGATCTGGAGGCCCCACTGCTCGCTGAAGAGGAGGGTAAGCGTGCTGATGTCGGTATGCTTCTGGTGGCCGATGCGGTTCTCGCCGGCCAGCTCCGAGGGGAGGTAGTGCATCATGGACAGCTGAGGTGGGCAAGCCGTGTTAGTCCAACTGGCAAATAGGCCGCAGAAAGGGCGCGGGGAGACAAACAGTCGTCGTCGACGGGCGCTCGTTGCGGTGCGAGTTCTCGAAGCGGCCGGCGCCCGTCAGGTGGAGGCCGGTGGACAAGGCCGACAGGATGACCTTGGTGACGGTGTTGCAGCTGCCGATGGCGTTCTCGAGGATCTGCAGGTCGCCGCTGTTCTTGACCGTGGTCGGGATCTTGGGGCTGTCGCGCTGGATCTCGTCTCGCGAGACCTTGAGCATCTCGTATCCGTCCTTGGTGCCGGCCGCGACGCCGGTGCGGCTGCCGACAGGCTCGTAGCTGTAAAAGGCGTGTGTCAGAATCCGAATTATGTCCGTGAATGACAGGGTCGCCATTCAGGAACAGGCAACGCACCCAAGATGGGACGAGATGAGGCCAAACTCGTTCTTGGCTTCCAACGGCGCGTCAAAGAAGCGCTTCATCAGCTTGAGCGTCTCCTGCTGGTCGGCCAGCATGCGGCGGCCATCGATGCCCTGGAGGTCCAGGTAGAAGTAGCCGTCCTCCAGGCAGGCATTGACCACCTTGTCAATCTCAGAGGGATCCTGAGAAAGAAGCAGGCCGTAGTTAATGGTCTGCATAGACCAGACGGGCACCTTCTTGCCCATCCAGTCGATGGTCTGCGGGGGGTCGAGGACGGGAGCCATGGTGGATGATGGTTGATGGGTTTGTGTCCAAGGGGTACTGGATACAACCAAACGAATATCGAGTATGCCGGTAGAGGCTCGATAAAGAGATGGACCAGGACTCGGGTTCCACGGATTACGAGAAGTTGAGCAATATATAATGCCCAGGGTAGCATCGCTCGTACTCCCTAACGCGCGCCAAGCTGTATGGTGAGGAGGGGCTAGAGCACAGGCACACAGCCAAACCCCACCTCATCGAGCTTCCCCTCTTCCTTCGTCTTATCGACACCACGCACTGACGCTGTGTGGAAGTATTTGATCTAGTGATTGCAAAGCGCCTTTTGCCCACCTGTTCATTCGCAGTCCGCACAAAGCTCGGTGTGGCAGTGTATGCCGATGGGCCCCTTTAGCGCCCTCGTATTTGGTACAGCTCTAGCAAATGCCGCTGTGCCGTCGACGGTTCCCCTTGGCACCCAGACTAGTAGCACACCAGACATCGCACCTCGATGCTCTGTCGAGACTCGCAGTCTCTGTATGCGGGGTCCTCAAACGCAGAGTGCAGGGCCCGACGAGCCACGGTCTCGTCCGAGTCGAAACACTTGATGAGAAGCACGTCCTCGGGCGTCATGCCGTGCTTGTAGTACCACCTGTGCCCTGGGCTGTGGCGGACGACCCACGACTCGCCCACAAAGCCGTCTTCTGTCATCTCAGCGCCCACCAGGTCCGCGTCGGGCACGGAGCTCGAGTCGGCCACCGCAATGGGGTCCTTGAGGATGGGTCGGATCGGCCGCCACACGTTGATGATTTGGTACCGCTTCTTGATCACATCGTCTGCTTCATCGGGAAGCTCCCAACGCAGCCGTCGCTCAGCACCCTCGTACGACTGATCGACGTGCGTCCTGGTGACTGGCCCGCGGTTGGCCAGGTTGTGCAGACCCAAATGGTGCCATTGCGTCGGGCCTCGACGCACCTTGTGGTTGAAGATGTGCACTTGTCGTGCGCCCGTGATGGCCTTGACGAGCTGCTCGCACTCCGGGTAGTAGGTGGTCCGTATCTGCTGCTCATCCGTGAACAGTTCCTCGCGACTCTTGTGCTGGCAGTACTGGAACCCCTGACCGTCGAGCGTGTATCGATCCTCCTCTCCGCTCACGTCGGAGACGACAAAGTCGTGAGCCTTGTGAGGTCGCTTGTTGCTGATTCTGCCCTTGCCGATGAAAATTGGCGTGGGCTTGGAGCCATCACCGGGGTCATCCCAATAGTTCAGAGTGGTCGCCACGTGGTGTTTGTCGATTGTCATGATTTGAGGTTCTGGTTCAGGGAGGAAAGGGCGAAGGCTCAGGGGGCTCGGGTAGTTTCCAGGGCTTGGTTTTAGCAGTCGGCCGCTGACTCAGCCCTAAACCAACCGCCACGATGGGGTCACAGCGCACGTTCTCACCTGAAATCGTCATGAGGGGCCTGTTCCAGTTCTCATCTCCTCGCAGTCCGCCTGCCCCTCAAGGTGCCATGTGGCAGATGGAAGAAGACGATGGCTTCATTCTCGTACCCAGACCGGGTCGCGAACAGGTCGAGGACCCCGAACAAGTTCCTCAGTACCTGCCAGACATTGACGACATCATCCACGGTTTGGAACCTTCACTATGGCCCTTGAACACCTTCATCCATTACAACCCTGAGCTTGGCTACAAGGAGCACAAAGCTCACGATGCCTTGACCAAGTTCATGGAGTCGCAGGCAGGTTGGGTTGTCACACGATCGGCATTTGGCATGGAAACAGCGTGGCTGGCTGTCTATGACAGCGGCAGACCTGGCCCGACAGTGTCATTCAACGCCGAAATGGGTGCGTTCTCAATTCATCCTTTTAAACACGCTACCTGCGCATGCTAACAGGACAAAACCACCCAGATGCGCTCCCAGGATTAGGGCACGCATGTGGCCATAACCTCATCGCCGTGGCTTCCTTGGCCGCAGGCCTCGCTTCAGCCAAGATTCTTCGCAGACACCGTCTCGGCGGCAAGGTCACCATTGTCGGCACACCGGCCGAGGAAGGCGGCGGCGGCAAGATCAAGTGTCTCGATGCCGGCGCCTACAGAGACGTCGACGTCTCCATCATTTCCCACCCGGGGATCCTCAACAACAGTCCCATGGTTCGCACAACCGCCTTCACCCACCTCAATGTCGCATACCACGGCCGTGCCGCGCATGCAGCTCGCAGCCCTTGGCGCGGCATCAACGCACTCGACGCCATGGTTGTGGCGTACAACGCCATCTCAGTGCTGCGTCAACAGACACGCCCTGACGACATCATCGGCTTGCAAATCACAAACGGCGGGAACAAGCCCAACGTCATCCATGAGCACGCCGGCGGCGTAGCCGTCCTTCGCGCCACCAGTGCATCAAGACTGCGTGAGCTGCAATACAGAGTCGAGGCGTGCTTCAGGGCTGGGGCCGAGGCCACTGGGGCGACTGTCGATATCGAAGTTGTTCCGGGTTACCTGGACCATGTCCCCAACAGCGTGCTCGCAGCGGCGTTTACCAAGTACTGGAAGGCTTTGCCTGGCGTGCCCGATCCACCTTTGCCGCTGCCTGGGCAGTTCACCTGGGTCAAAGCCAGTACGGATCAGGGGAACTTGAGCTACGCTCTGCCAAGCATGAACGTGAGTTTTGCGATCCCTCCGGGCGTCAACGGCGGGCAGCCGCACAGTCCAGATTTCGAGAAGGCGTCAAGCACCAGGGGGGCGTTTGACAGGGCCATGAGGGTCGGCAAGGCCATGGCTGGGACGGCCGTGGATATCTGCGCGACGCCTGGGCTATTGGACCAGGTTCGTGAGCAGTGGAAGCGAGACATGGCGAGGCAGGACGGGGCTTCCGCGGTATAGCTAGGCGGTGCATCGGCCTTGCGGTCGGTGCGTTATTCGGGTTCACCGCAAACACCGGCTGTAACTGGGCGCTCTCCTTGTTCGAGGCCATCGTTAAATTTCCTCCCAAGGAGCTGGTGCATCTTCAATTGGCAAGGCCGCGATGTTCTTCAAGAATTGGGGCACAAGGAAAGCTTCCTACGTCGGCCCATCAAAACCTCCATTTTCGGCATCAATTCCTGGATGCGGAATGGTTTCGGTAGAACGTCGTCCTCCCGCTCTGTTAGTGGGCCTCGCTCACAAATGCCGGCACATTGATCATGAACACTTACAATGCCCGCTGCCTTGGCGTTCTTTATCTGTTCCGACCGCGCGTACGCCGAAATGCCGATGATGGGGATGTGTTTTGTGATGGTGCCGTCTCTCTCGTACTCCCTAATTCGCTTTGTGCAGGTAATCCCATCCATGACCGGCATCTCAAGATCCATGAGAATGACTGAGACATCGATGCCTTCTGCCTCTTGGCCGACCCAATATCGCGATTTTTGGAGTGTTTCGAGAGCCTCCCGGCCGTGATTAGCCACAAGAGCCCGGTGACCAGTGTTTCGCAGCTGCTTCTGCAAAACCCGCTGGCTGATGACGTTGTCTTCGACAATGAGAATGTCGAGAGGAGGGTTTGTGGGTGGTTCTCCTTCTAGACTTGGAGAGTGAGGCGTCGCTGGTGCCGCATCTCCGTGTCCAACTTCGGAAGCCGAAGTTTGCTGGTTGTGCGCTGGTTGTCTCGTGCTTTTGCGACCTTGGATGTAGAAGCAGAGGTTGCTGCCTGTCTTGGTGTTTGAGACGCCGATTTGACCGCCCTGCGTCTCGGTCAGGATCTTGGCAATGAAGAGGCCAATACTCGAGCCGTTTTGTAGTCCATGCGAACGCCGATTCCCCGGCTGAGAGGTTTCGAAAAGAGCTCGCAATTGTTCCTCGGTGGGACCCGGTCCGCTATCCTCTAACGAGCAATGTATGTTGATTGTCTCGCCAGCGCCCCATTCGTCCTTCTTGACGTGTATTCCTGCTGTCCGCTCGTGGCTGAACCTGTCAAAATATACGACGCCTTGATCGGTCACCTCTTTGAGGTCCTTGGACGCGCTCATTGTCAAGGTGATTGTTCGCCTCTCTCGTCCTTGGGTCGACTCCATGGCCTTGTTTATCAAGTTGGAGAGAACCTGCTGTAGCCTGGGGGGATCCATTTTGATCTCCGAGATGCCATACTTGTCGAAACTGTCGTCCAGTTTGAACTCAACTTCAATGCCCAGGGACTTGAGTTCCGGCTCGAACATCCGCAGCGTTTGCTGAACTACCTTGATCGGATGCTCGTCGACCGGGGTAACGGATAGCAAGTTTGAGTTCAATTTTGCCAGGATTATGATGTCGTCGAGGACTCGCTTTTGGTGGCTTGCGCACAGGTTGATGGTAACAGCGGCATCCAGACAGCTCTGTAGTTGTGAGCTGGTCTCGTCCGCATCTCGCTGCGACATGAAGGTTGAGAAGTTGTTGACAATCTGTTCTGCGCACTGAAGGACCACGGACAACGGATTGCGCATCTCATGGCTTATAACGTCGATGAAGCTGCTTTGTTGAAGTCTGAGATCCGCCGCACGCCCCCGTCGGTCGTTCTCTATGCTTTCGGCGCATTTTCGTGAGGTGATGTCTGTAACGTAACCGAGGATACACTGTCGCATACCCTCGGTCTGCTTCTCAAAGAAAGCACTCAGGTGAAACCAGGCGTCGGCGGGCCGGTCTGCTCTTCGTTCCTGGTTGCTGGGCCGAAACTCGACGGAAATGGGCTCCCCATCGTCAATCAACCTCAGCCATGCGGTTTCGAGAGTTTGTCTGTCGTCGTCATTGACGCTGCTCATCCAATCCGTCACCGTGTCGCTGTGGCCTTGTAGTTTGGAGACTTGCCGCCACATCTCATTGCAATATGTGATGCGCCCGTCGGCGTCCGCCATGAACATTCCCACCGGTGCATGTTCGGCCATCCGGGAGAACGCACCCTCCGCACTCGGTTCGGTCTGTACTTTCTCCATGCCGCTCTTGAGACGTGCCGGCAAACTCCTTGTCGAGCTGGTACCGTCTGGAATGGTACGTTGTTGGAAGTTCGATCGGGACGTGTCGCCTGCATCAAGCGAGCGACCGCCTGCCCCCAGGCCTCTCGGCAGAGTGTCTTGTTCTCGCGTTGGCGCATCGGTCGCGCTTTTGCCCGCACTCGAGTAATGCGGCCGGCCGAGACGTCTGGGAAGAACGACAGAGTATTTCGACCGGGATGTCTCACGATTGGCCTGCTGGTCGGTAGTTGAGGGAGGGAACGCCCTGGCTGGCGTCTGTGCCTGAGACATGCTCGTCGGCGCTTTATTCGCAGTCATTGGGACCTGCAGCGCAGCAAGGACCAGGACGATGGAACAGAGAGGAACGGCTCCATGCCAGAAAGGGCCATCGGGGGCGTGATGCCCATTTCATTTATTCCCAACCCAAGACCGGCGCGAGAAACGTCACCGAAGACGGTGCTGGATTGAGTTCTGGCTAGCCACGCTTGGGTAGGACTGGTCCCATCCGGGCCATTTGGCCACTAGGCATTTGTCGATGCGACCGTCGTGCTCGGGCGCCAGAGGCCTGGAAACTCCCGCCAGCACCGATGCGGTTACCTGTTCACCGTTTGCTTCTTGCTTTTCATGTTCTCAGGCCATCGGTTCATGCGCAATCACTAATCACCATGTCCGGCGACGGTCGTCCATCCGGGGGCTCGACCGTGCACTTTGATCCCCTCGAGTTGGACAAGTTGGGCATAAGCATTACTAACTTGTGAGTTCACCATGACATGCCATGAGCGTGGCAACGTAAGGGACGGTGTTTTACGGAGCGTGAACCCAAACCTTGATGAATGGAGAAACAGTGAGGGGACTGCGCTGGTGATTGATCGGGACCGGACAACGCCTCCGTGCCGCCGCAATCCGGCGGGGCCGGCGTGCTGTGGGGACCACCAAACCCGTCGTGCCCGGCTCTGCCCGCTCAACATCGGGGAATAATTTTTTTCAAAAAGAAGACAAGGAAGCGGACCTCTTACTCCGCTTCCCCAGGGGCGGGTTGTGAAGGCATTCCCAGTTCCATTCGTGTCTAGACCACAGGAACCAGCCTTGGACTGACTCGGCGCTCTTGGCGTGATCCGTTCATCGAATGTTCAGGCTCACAGCTGGTGGGGGTTTCTGTATTTTGGGTCGCGAATGCCCTCATTTCTGCCAGGAAATGGACAGCGCTCGTCGCCACTTGTAAAGCCGGTCGTTCTTGGCTGTTTGATGTAACAATGCTGCCACAGGCATGAACGTGGTATCCTGATTCGCTGTCCGTCATCCATGATGCTTCGCGAGCTTTCGCCTTGGCAGCTGGGCAGTAACGATAATGTTCCAAGCGAGTACTGCGCAGAGTAGACATCGGAGCAATATGGATAGCAGGACCACATAGACTAGAGCCCTGAAGACATTGTACGCCGAGCGCGAAGTCAAGATTCTTCAGAACCATATTCTTGAGAGCGTACACACGCCTTACCCCGAAGGATACCACACCCAGCGTAAGGCTTGCTGCTCATCTTCCACAAGCTAGATATGTCGGCGAATGCAATTGTAAAAGAAGATAGCACATCGATGGGCATAAGAATGGCAGCGCAGTTGGGGACAGCCCGACTCCCATTTCTCGCTGCATTGCACCTTGTTCGGATTCCAGTGCAAGTGGCAAAGGTGGCCCCCAATAAACAGCACGTATGCCCCGTCTGTCAGTGACCCGTCAAAATTGACAGCATCCTCAAAAAATTGGAGCGCGGCTTCATCCGCCTTCTGCGTAGCGCCAGGTTCCCTCATCGCGTTTGTCAGTGTGACGGTAGACGTGCAATGACTGTGTCATCGTAAAATTTAGTGTATGCGGCGCTCTGCTAATGGACCGCCCACAATGCATGAACCGTCATGTAAATGACTAAAGACCGATTGTTGCTTTGGCCATCTTGCACTACTGCAACGGGTTTCTTGTTGTAGGCATCTGGCGCGACGAAGTAAAGGACTTGGGCGCCGCATCTCTCCGGTAGCCTGGTGGAGCCCACTGTAGCACTCATATTCCCCGCATGCTCGCTCACCGTGGGGCGGCGGCCTCGGCCGTCTTCAGCGGGCTCTGAAAGCCTGACGGAGCTACAGCTACTACGTAAATGGTCGTATCAATTGATGTACAGAGAACGTTGTTCGAAGCTAGTCCTCCGATGCAACCTAAGTCTTCTTCACGATATGTTGTGCTTGAAGCTCAATACATGTTGCCTACGGCTCTCACTGTCAAACAGGAGCCATTCGGTGCAAGTGATCACACGGGCGCCTCTAGGCGACGCTTCGGGGCTTTCCGATAGGCCGTTTCCGCTGCGTTCGAATGAGGAAAGAGAGCAGCGGCAATGCCCCTGGCCGTGCAACCTGTACCACGATTACCACACGCTTGGCGTTGTACATGATGTGGAATCAATGCCGCCCCGGGTATGCACTACAATTTGTAACATGTTTGTCATTGCACGCGCCCGCTTCTTAGACATATATAGATCTCTACGAGAGGATATAAGAGCCTCGGCAGAACTGTCGTGGAAGATTGAGTATCGCCTTACGCCGATAGCCAAGCTCGGCCATCGATTCATCTATACTCCACGCGTACCACGCCTTCACTTAGCCCACCATACCCAACTCTAGCGCCAAAGCGTTAAACTGTGCCGCAATGGTAAGACTCCAAGCGGCTACGAGTGGAACTCTCAGCCCCTAACAGCCAGGAAGGACCCAAAGACATACCTCATTCTTATGGCGCTGGCCGGTGCTTTGGGCCAAAGTGTCTCGTATAAGCAGTGGTTGAGCGGTGGTTGTCCCAATCAAGCTTTCTTGACGGCTAGCGTTTATGACGGCACTTGTGTTCAGGTTGAGTGGCTCACTACTGGAAGCATCAAGCTCGAACAGACTTCTCCCTGCCCTTATGGCCAAACAATGCAGGTCAAGGTGTCCAGCAAGGTGTGCGAAGAGTTCGTTGTCGACGAGCTGTTGGACGGCAATAGCGGGTGTGTTGATGTGAACTTTATCCCACAGGCGATCCGCGCTACATGTATATAGTCTGTTGGCTGTCAGTCTAGTGCAACATTTCTATCTGTGCGAACAGCACTCCTCTTGCCAATCTTGCGCTCATCATCTAACCTTCACGAAAAGATACAGAAATTCGTGCACAGGACTAACGAAATGACATATGCCAGTGGTTGGTGCGTGCATGGCGCCGACTGACAATGCAGTGTCCGTGGTGAGAGAGAAGCATGTCATCAGCCCACGGTCAGACTTATGTAACACCGCAAAGTGACGCATATCATGTGGCCGTAAGCTAGACATGCTCTACGTTAACATCCTCTTCCTTAGCCTTGCCTGGCCCTGCCAGAGAGGATCTGACCTCGGGAAGCTCATTGGCTTGCTTGAAGTGCCTCGGAGATACCTTCATCGCGTAAAGCTCATCAAGCTTTTCGAAAGCAAGGCCCTTGGTTTCAGGAAACAGGTACCAACCCCCAACACTTGCGATTAAGCCCGTCCCCAGAAAAATGAAGCCAACCTTCCCGCCCAAGTCACCAGCGTCTGGGTTGATCATGTAAGGAACCGTGAACTGCATGATCAACCCCCATACCGAGTTAGTGATGGTGATTAGTCCCTGAGTTGCTGCTCTTAGACGCATGGTGGCAATTTCCGAGGCCAAGACAAATCCTGTTGCCCCAATCGAAAGCTGATATATCAGTGCCCAAACATAAAGTATGCCGACTATGCCCCAGCTTGCTCGACTCTTATTAGGGACACATCCAAGGATCCCGATGATGAGCAGCATGAAGCACAGCACAAACTGTGGGCCAACGATCAAGAACCGACGGCCGTATATCTCGGTCAGGGGAAAGGCGGCGCAGCTCGCGACGAGCATAACCACGTATAGGGCGATGGAGGCTCCAAAGTAATCTTTGATGCCAATCAGCTCGAAGAAGTATGTTGCGTATCCAATTACAAACGTGGCCCCAATCATTTGCTGGGCGGAAGCAGCAAAGATGGCGGTAAAGGTGCGCTTCCGGTTCGTGGCGTTGAAGCATTCCACTTCGAACTGTACGTTTATGCCTAGGAACCGATGAGGAGGTGTCGAATCCACGTCTCCATGGAGATCGTTCGTAATTCGTATCTCTTCTTCCAACCGCGCCACTTCGATATCGTAGTATTCGGTTTCTTGAAAGCCGTAGATGCGGCGAAGTGCTCGCTTTGCATCGGTCGTGCGGCAGCGGCGAACAAGCCAGTAAGGTGACTCGGGAAAGAACGGCCACGAAATAGTTAGTAGCACTGTTTGCCAATGTTTTAGTGTTCGCTATCATCAGCTTTCTGATGGTGAGGCTTACCCGGAAAAAAATACATGGCAACGACTGGGAGCCACCATTGCCACCTCCCAGAGATGTGGCTGCTGCCTTGGCTGACGATGACTATGGCAAATTGGCCAAAGACGATGCTCGTGTTGAAGAAGCACAGAAAGAAGCCGCGTAATTCTGGGCGACACGTCTCTCCGATCCAGAGTGGCGAAATTGTGAACATCAAGCCGATTGCGATGCCGTTCACGCCTCGGCCGGCAAGGTGGACTTTCCAATCAGGGGCAAGTTGCTGTAGAAGTACTCCCGCCACCGAAATGAGCGATGCAGCCAATATACCCCATTTTCGGCCGAATCGATCTAAAAGAGGCGCGAAGATGAATGCTGAAACTATTTCGGTTGCTGGAGCGATGGAGTTCCAGGCAGAGAGGTAGTGAGCCGGGATGAGGTAGGTCCCGTCAGACTGATGTACACCAAACTTCTCTCTGAACGCAGGCAGGGCGGCAAGCTGACCGCCAGCCACGATATCGAAACCCTGCATGACAACGCCGGATGAGATCAAGAGGGCTAGGCGAGGCATGTTAGATCATGGGCTGGGATTAAACGTGGACTACGGGGGAGTCCCTGCGTACCCCAGAGAGCAAATCTCGACTGCGATTTTAAAATCTTCCATTTGTTCTCTGGGTTGACTACAGAGTAGTCAACACTGTACCTATCGGTTAGCTGTTGGCCGAACCCGCAACATCAGACCACAGCAGGATCTGCCTACCCGTTGATCAGAGTCATGTTGAACTAGAGTGCTTTGGTATCGTGAGGAGGTTGGAACCGTCAGGATTGGGCGCTTGCAAGACCATGCTCCTTTGTTGAATTCGACAGTCTTGTCGCCTTGGAACGACTTGTGCATGTACTTATACAAGCCAGGGAGTGGCATATCGGTTGCATGGAAGTCGGAACCGTGATGCTGGGTCTGCTGATCCGGGGTAGTGAATGCATGCATGTTCAAAGCTGGGGGTGGAGCCGCATCATGCAATCCTCCGGATTGCGGAGTTGCAACTTGCGGAGGTCGGCCGGAGCTCCGACTTGGCCACACCCGGCGAGCCCTGAGCCCGCGGAGCTAAGCCATCGTCCGCGAAGGCGATCTCCACTCCACCCCCAGACTGAACTCAACCGGCTACATGGGGTCAATTCGCTTTCAACCACAACAGTGCAGAGATCCTAGAACCAGTGAATTATCTCGGGCGCGAAATGAACCGCCTTCCCGTCACTCTGCAGTATAAACCAGTGGCGGTCCGGTCGTGACTTCATGCTGGCAAGAGGCGACACTGAGAGGACCCTTACCTACTTCCCAGCCAGACCTTTCGCCATGGAACGACCACAGAGGTCTGCTCAAGAGCCGAAGTTCCACTTCTTCGCAACAAGCTGGATAAACGACCCATGTGCTCCAGGGTACGATCCATGGACAAAAACATATCATCTTTTTTACCAATGTATCATCAAATCCCCCCTAGGGATATTTTCCACAGTATAGCCCTGAGCTAACGAATACACAGGCAATCCCACGAGCTGCCAATGGGGGAATATGTCCTGGGGCCACGCCACATCTATGGACATGCTGACTTGGGTATCTGCCTCTGTGACCCCAGCGCTCATTCCAGGCGCTACCTACGATTGTGAAGGCGTCTTTACTGGCTGCTGGCTTCCGCCCTCTAAAGCTTCAGACAAAACATTGCGAGTGGCCTACTCTTCTGTCAAGCATCTTCCGTTTCACTGGAGCACACCACCTTACCCGCGAAATGCAGCTGGTCTGGCGATAGCATCGTCGCTTGATGGAGGACTTACCTGGGAGAAATCGCCTCGAAATCCAATCTTGCCTGGCGAGCCAGCCGGTGTAGCAGTCACAGGCTTTCGCGACCCTTCCGTCTTTGAGCTCCAGCCGACGGTCCGGACTCCTCGCACGCCGACACCAAACCTTTACGGTCTCATTGCTGGCGGCGTTGAGGGGTCGGGGCCTAACGTCTTCGTCTATGAGATTGACATTGAGAACCCGGAAGATTGGAACTATCGTGGCACGTTACTGAGCTTGCCCCCGAGATTTCAGCCTTCGAATCATTGGAGTGGCAACTATGGAGTCAATTGGGAATGCGTCAACCTCGTCACGCTTCGTTCAGACTCAGAAACTCGTCACTTCCTCCTCCTTGGAGCAGAAGGGGATGTGGAAAAGCAGCAGGTGAAGAGCCAGCCTCGATCCACAGCAGCACCCAGTCGAACTATACGGCCACAGTTGTGGTTATCTGGAGAGCTCACTCCCACTTCTAGTGGGCTGCAACTTCGGCCACAATACGGCGGATACTTTGACCACGGGCCTTACTACGCTGCAAACTCCTTTCACGACCCCGTGAGTGATCGACGTATAGTGTACGGTTGGATCCCAGAGGAAGACATATCCTTGGAAGCCGCCAAGGCAAAAGGGTGGAACGGTTCGCTTGCCATTCCGCGCGAGATGTTCCTTCTCACAATACGGAACGTGGAAGGGTCTATGCGAAGCGACTTATCCGACATCTTTCCATTTGAGATTAAACGGGAGTCCGATGGTTCGATCACGATTCTTACGCTTGGGGTGCGACCCATACAGGAAATGGCGAGACTTCGAGAGGGTTGCGACGACGTCTCAGAGTCGAAAAATGTCATCACATTGCCCATGTCGGACCTCATCACCCATCAAGTCATTTCTCAAGCTCAATCAGCAAATTGGGAGCTCGAGGCGATCATTTCGGTACAGCCAGGGTGCAAGACTGTCGGCTTCCATGTCCGCCATACAAACGATCTCTCCGTCCGTACGTCCATTACGTTTTGCATTGACACGGAGACGATTTCCGTGGATCGCTCGGCCTCAACAACAGACCCAGCGGTCAATACGTGCATGGATGCTGGACCGTTCACTCTCCTGACCCAGCGACCTCCAGGCGAGGAAGCGTCGCTTGAGAAACTCAAAATCCGCATCTTCTCCGACGGGAACATTCTGGAGATTTTTGCAAATGATTGCTTTGCGTTGGCTACCATGGTCTATTCCGAGAGGTGTGGTCCAAGGACGGGAGGCATAAGTGCGTTCGCGACGGGAGGACTAGGCAGTGCCGTGTTTGAAGCCGTTCATGTGTATGACGGCCTAGACGTGAACAAACTACCCAGAACAGTAGACGAAGTTCCTGGCTAGACATGTACAGCATGAGCTCATGCGTCTTCCATATTCTATCTCAATTACTGTTCAACACGAACTACGACCATGATTCTGCCACTCGCCCAAACAGTGCTTCACCCAAAAATGACAGTGAGGGGCTGGTGTCAATAATTCGTCTGTCCACCGAACTTGTGGATTCCAGGCAAGCGCGAAGTCGAGACCAGTCGACCACACAGTTTGTCCTGAGGTATTCACTCTGAGACGCGTGCATAACTGCCATCGACGTCATGAATATGGAAGCATAGAGTGTCCAGCGATTGACGATGCAGTGGCGAATGCAGATGAGCAAGCTTGGCATTAGGTGCATGTAGGCGTCAAAAAACCGCTCGCAGTGTTCAACCACTTCGGCCGTGGCAATGCCGTCTTCCATGCACTGGTATACTGCAGGCCAGTATATTGACAGTTTGCAGCAGTAGTACTGGACGCAGAGAAAGTTGCCGAGCGGCTCAACTGATGCGAAATCAGGCGACGGTGTAACGTCGTTGAGTTCAAGCCGTTGGAAGCGTACGGTCTCGGGTAGGTAGTCATACCACTCGTCCAGCTGCAGTTCCAGCTCTCGTGCAATTTTTGGAGCGTAGATAATGCCGCCTCGTGACGTCCTGCGGATGGCAGTGTTGCAGCGGTGCAGCATGCGCCTCATGGCTATTTCTGCGAGAAAATATGACTGAGTTTGATCGGTCTGGGTCGCTTCCGCCGACACGATGCTTGCTGGAGAGGTTATCGAGCCCTGAGGCGACCCGGCTTCCAAATCGAACTGCCATGCGCGGCGGCTGTTGGGCAACGCGACGTGATCATCGTGGTTCCAAATACCACTGGCAACTACATCGAACTGTACGCGGAGTTCGCTTTCTAGAAGCAATGTCGCCCAATAAGCCCGCTTCGTGTGCTCGTATAACTCTCCGTCGCTTGCATCGACATACTTGAGGAGATTCTGAACCTTAAACGAGGCAACCATGGCGTAGTCATATGCCTGGCAAGGCTTGGACAAGCAGCAGTGGTAGATACTGAGAAGTACCATGCACTGGACACTCTCGATGCTGTTTTCGGTGAGCGCTGGAGGTAGAGACGCCATGGCGGCTTCGAGAAACAGTTCGCTGCTGCCGTCATTGCATGATCCACCCAGGTCGACGTCTTGTTGGGCAAGCGTGCCAATTGCAGCGACGAGCAGCACCAGACACGACTCAGCCCCGGGGGTTAAAGGCCCCGAAATGATGGTGAGATAGCGCTCCGAGAATCCCGGACGGAGGATTGGGTACCAGACGTGGACGTATTGCGAGAAAGCCGCGAGTGCCGCAAGAGCCTCTTGTTGCTGGATAAAGCGCACTCTTGGGGATGTGCCCACTCCCACCGCTGGTGCATTCCTCTCAAGCTTCGCAACCGTTGTGGCAAAGCCAGGGCCAAGGCCAAGGATGGTCATCATGCATTCGGTCCCGAGCAATTGGAACGGCAGCTTCTCCTCGCCAGTGAAAGCGTAGTCTTCTCGACTACAGTGCTCATGTTGATCTGCAGTGGCCTCATTCGTGACGAGGCAAGCCCGTTCGCCGCGGGAAATGACATTTGTGATGTAGTCAAGCCGTTTATTGATTGAGGCTAACTCAACCTCCACCCTGCAGCGAGGTCAGCCAGGGTCTCGTCCGCCACAGAGTTGCGGGGAAACGTACCGGGATGCTGGGCCAGGCGCGGCTTGTTCGTAGTGGCACTTGAGACCACGGATACGACAGTAGCCGCAATGGGGCCTCTGGCTGTCACACTTGGTCCTCCTGGCTCGACAGGCGTCACATGCCGTTGTCGTTCTTGTCCGGGTCCGCCGTCGCGGAGCCGCCGAAGGTGAATCCGATGGATTTGCATCCTCATGGGATGCATCGCGGAGATAGTCCATGCGAGGAAGCCACTGCTGTGTTTGGGCAATGTCTGGACCCCGAACTCGGCGCAGCGATGGAAGAGACAGGGCATCGGGCTTAGTGTCTGATCTCCGCGACGGGCCCTTTATATCAGAGTCGAGGCGCAAACCTGCGATGTGTGGGGTGTGGAGCAGTGTAACTGTCCCCCACACCCGTCGTCACGCCACGTCGCGGAGATGAGTCCACCCCCGCGAGGCCCGCGACATCGTGATCCCTGACGAGGGTCCCAAGCCAAAGCCGTCCACATCTCCTGTCTGGCCATAGGGGCGCCCTGGCGGGGTCCTCGCGGAGGGCGTCACAGCGCCGAATCACTAGCACCTTTAGCCGGGAACGATATGCGCCTCAAGATTCGTTCTTCCGCGATTCTGGGGCGGGAAACTGGTGGGCTGACGACCATGGAACATTTGGTGGGACCACAGCAGTCTTTCAGGTGACTAGTGGAAGCACCTTCACCACTCACGAACGGTTGGATTCCCGATCGCATCAACACCGAACTTCTGGTTAGTGTGACTGTCGGGCCCGGCGAGTGGTAGCCGAGCATCTAGTCACCAGAGGCGCGAGACAGCTGGGCTTCGCCTCCTTAACCCACAAAACGCCCGTCTGGTGTCCATCAGGACTGTGGCCCATTACAGCTTATAAAAGCCCACCTGTAGGAACGAACAAATCCCAATCCGTGTCAGATCCCAAACAAGTATCCAAGTCCTCACTCGTTTCAAGCTTGAGTTTCCTTCTTCTCCCATCAACCCTGCTGACACAATGGCCAACCCCATGTCTTCTCTCAATGGAGACCTCCTGAACAACGTCGCAAAGTTGAAGACGGCACGCACTGGTCGAGTGTCGAGCTGGGACCACAGCGGCTTGAACGAAGATGCCTGGGTGATTCAGCCAGGCGAAACTGCTGTGTTGGCCGACATAGAAGGTCCCGGCACGATCACACACCTCTGGTTTGTGCAGACATGCCGCCGCATTGTTGGTCCTGGCCTGATCCCATACTCAAAGTCGGGCGTGGCAATGATGGAGGTCCACAACGCTCTCGGCCTCAACTACGAAGTCAGCGACCCTGACTATTACCGAAAAGTACTCATCAAGATGTACTGGGACGACTCCGAGACGCCCAACGTTCTGGCCCCGATTGGCGATTTCTTTTGCCTTGGGCATTCCATGGCAGCCAACTTCCAATCGCTCCCATTTACCGTCTCTGTCAAGCCATCAGAAGAGAAGAAGTTTGGAGGCGCGGCTGCTTTCAACTGTTATTTGCCGATGCCCTTTAACAAGCGCGCTCGCGTCGAAATCGAGAACCAAAACGACCAGGCCTATATCCAGTATTTCTACATTGACTACGAGCTATTCCCCGAGCCGTTGAGCAAGGACACCCTTTTCTTCCATGCCAACTGGCGTCGCGAGAACCCGACCAACGGCTGGGCTCCCGAGGGCGTCCAAACCAACAGCTTGGAGACGCAGGTGCCCAACCTTGATGGCAAGGACAACTACGTCATTCTGGAGACGGAAGGAGCCGGTCAGTACATTGGCTGCAACCAAAGTGTTGCCCATTTTCAGGGAACATGGTGGGGTGAAGGCGACGACATGATTTTTATCGATGACGACACATGGCCTCCCTCGATGCATGGTACCGGCGGCGAAGATTACTTTAGCCAGGGATGGGGCATGCAGAAGAACGACTACCCCTTCTGCGGCACGATTATCCACGAGGAAGACGTACCGAATCATCAGGTCAGCTACCGATTCCATCTCGCCGACCCAATCCGGTTCAACAAAAAGATTCGAGTCACCATGGAGTCGGGTCACGCGAACCATCTGCGGGACGACTGGTCCACGACCGCGTACTGGTACCAGACCCTTCCGGGGCCTCGCCTTGACATTCTGCCGGTAGAGCAGCGCATCCCCCGGAAGCAAGACTTCCCCGCTGGCCAGCATCCCGAACCTCGCAATTTGGAGTCCCTGGACGACAGGAAGAAGGCGATGGTGAAGCAGCACGATGACCGAATGGAGGCATTTGTGAAGGATAGGGATATGTGGTTGGAGAGAAGAGCTCGGGATTCTCGAGAGCGCTCCAAGAAGAACATTGAGTACGCCAAGGATATTCGCCGGCGCTTCCTGAAAAGCCTGGAGAAGTAAGAATGCTACCACCAGTGTATTTAACTGACTATACGGAGATAAGAGATCGTTTATCTCCGCTCCTGACTCATATTCGATTGCGTGATGAGGCAGATTACATTGGGGCATGTTAATGTTGGCTAAATTATAACGGCCGTGTGCAGCATTCACTTGTTTGATCATGCATCGACATGGTGCCTAATAAGGTGAGGATCAAACAACGAACATTCGCGCTACCTCATCTCCCATCCCGACTGTCCATCGCAATCACCAGCCTCTTTCAGCCTCAGGTGTTTCCCTCTCCGCAGCATGATTCTGGTCCTCGTCATGGTGAACAGACCTGGCATGTCAGACTCCGAGTCAGTCATAACTCTCCCAGGATGGATCGCATTGAACGAGGCCAAGGCAAGAAACATCGGTAGCGCCTCCAAAACGTAGAAATACACTTCCTCAGTCTTCAGGGCACCGTAGTCGCCGACACCACCAGAGAACTCAACCAGTCTATATATAATGCGCACGGTGATCATGGCAAGTGCCCAGTATAGGGCGCACAACAGTTGACCCCACCCTGAGCTGAAGAGCCTTCGGACATCCGCTCTCTGCATCTGCCGCTGGAAGACGATACATAGGCCGACAAAGATGACAATCATAAGTTGCTGACAGGCAATGCCGCCCATGTAAATGTGAATGCCGAGCTGTTGCTTCTCAGGTGAGGCGCTCGGGTTGGCCATGCCACCGCCGACGAGTTGTATGACGAAAGAAGCAATGTCCAAGAAGACAAACACAGCGGCAATGGCGACAGCTGGAATTCCGAGAATGGCACGCGATGGGTGAAAGTAGTAGATCATGCGGCCGAGAGTCATGTACGCGAAGGCGTTCACCCCTTTGTTATGTTAGCTAACATCAAGTCTTGTAGCGCCTGTGGGCTTGCGAGCCACTTACACAACGGCGCCAGTAGAATAAATATCTGGAATACGAGGAATATTCCGTCACTTTGTTGGCTTTTTGAACTCAAAGACCGGAAGGTCATCGCCATCATTTCCCAAATGGCTGCCATGATGATGACCCAGCACCACCTCTGCGAGTTATCAGTGAATCATTCTTGCCAGGAGGACAAATCGAATACGTACGAACCTTTTTGTATGCCACGGCTTGCCATATGTGTACCGTAACTAGAACTGCAAACAGTGCCGCGAAAGCAACTGCTGCGCGGAAGCTGGGATAATAGTTCCATATGGCGCCGCAGGTTCCCGGCGGGACGTAGCCATTCGCGTCTGGAGTGATGGTCTGAACGCAGGTGGGGATGGCGATTGCAATAGTCTGGCCAGGAATCGTAACGTGTGAATCAGTCTGCCCATCGATAGTGATGTATTTCGTCGTCGTAATAACTCCCGTCGGTGCTGGAGTAGTAGTTGGCGCGGGCACGGTTTGTGACTGTCGGGCCTCCAGTGCCGCTCCGGGTCCGATTGTTTGGACAGCAAGCGTTGAAGCCAGAGACGCAAGTGAAAGAAAGCACATACGCAACATTGTAGAAGAAAGCATAACAACAGACTTTAAACGAAATCTAGATCGGCATATCCTTGATGAAGGGCAGACGGAACATTGGCTTACACTTATAAGTCCTCGAGCTCCCGGTTGAGTTGTGGGGACGTAGCCGCACCGACGCTCAGCCACAGGTCTCCAGTGTCTGCACCTGCAGGGGGTTTCCGAGCTCAGTCCTTGGGTGTGGGGCAAGTCCGAACCAGCCAACCAGATAACACGGCTTGCTTTCACCCAAGCGCGTCCCGCCACTCTTCATCCACCAGCCGTACGGAGCCCGAGCCCAAGTGACGCTCGAGCGCAAAGAACTCGGCGATGCAGAACATTATAGGAGCAACATTATCTCAACCGCTGCTATGGAATTTATTTCGAGTAGTACTATTCTTAAAGCCATATTTTGTGACTTGTACATTCGCAGAACCGTCCTACGTGTTTTCTGGGCCGCACCCTACCGCCATGCTGCGCCAGCAATGTTTACTGTGCGCATGGGACGGTAGCGGCGCGCTGCCCATTGCTGCTGCCATTGCCGTCCCTGCTGTGCTGCTACGTATTGCTGCTGCAAGCTCTACAACTAGCAAAATTGGCTCTACGAATAGAACTACTTTTTATTTTCCCCGACTAGCACCATTGTCCAAGTTAATTTGGTCGTAACGAACCTCGACGCCGCCCCCCGTACGAGGAAGGAGAAACAGGATCTTCCGTTGCGCCATACTCGTGTCACCATCTGCAGACATGTGCATATCTGGTTCCAGCTCATTGTCTCGTATCCGTTGGCTGTCTTTCGGCGGCACTTGCATGCTCTCGTCCAATGCTTCCCAACCGCGAACGTCATTTGGCGTGATCCGAATATCATGCTCAATCTCAATGATGCGCACTCCCACCGCGCTCATGATCCTGTAGTCCCATAATGCCTCTCTCTGGCAAGAGAGCAATTCCATCAGCGACAGCGCCGCGAGGCGCAGCTTTAAGTGTCGGCATTTAAGGACCACAAAGTATAGTAGTGGACAAAACCCCATGGAAAAGGTGAACTTGTTCTCTCCTACGTCGTTGATCGCGTGCCGGACCTCCGTGGCAATCTGAACGACGCGCCTAAAGTCGTCGATATGAGAGTCGTAACCCATCTCGTCCGGGTTAAGGCATGCTCTGGTCCATATTTTGGCAACGAGGTAGCGCATTTCCAGGATTGGAGACGGAGATTCGTGGCCAGCGGCACGAAGAACGTTGAATGAGGTCCACCACTCGTCGAGGTCGGCTTCTAAGTTCTGTTGATCACGCAAGAGAAGTTGCCAGGGCCGGTCCCCTGGAAGTGCGCTCAGACGGGAATGACCGGTCATTCTAACGAGCCTCACAGAACGTGACAGTAGCTCATCAAGTGACTCTACAGCCTCAGGTAGCCCGCCCTTGCAAGTGTCTGCATGACGCTCGATATCGGCAAGAACCGGGAAGCTCGAGACACTTGCACCGAAGAAGTGTGGGAAAATGCTTAGGTGACGGAAGATTGGAGTCGTTTCTGACTTGGCTTGCGAGGAGTTGAGGAGTGATATGCCATGGGCGGCATGACTTATTGCTGCCTGAACGTTGCCGCGTAAAAATTCGATGCAGACAAAGAGCGTGCACACGAGTAACACCACCTCCAAGTTTTCAGGGCTTTTCAGGGCGATGCCCCGAATCGCGGCGTTGTAATTCTGTAAGGCAAACGCGCTGCCGTCGTGGCAAGGCTCGGACGTCGGTTGTCGGTCCTGGTCGCCGAATCTCCTGTACAATGAAGTAATGGCAAGGACAGCATGTCTCGCTGCCGGCTCACTATGAGCCACTTGCAAGACTGTATAGGTCCAGAATGAGCCGCCCAAGTCCCCGCCAAGCAAGGGTGCCACGATTTGACGGAAGAATACGAAGTCTTCAAGTCCCTGATTGTCCATTTCTGGCATCGTTGTGGGGAGGTATTGGGGCGAGCGGCTGAGAAGGTCATCCCACGAGTATGACCCCGGACGGGGCGGCGTGTAGCCGCTACAGCGCCTGCCAGTGGACTTGCAGCGCAGGCACTCTGGGCGCCCCTCGTCACACTTGATCTTGCGGATCCTTGGGGGTGATTCTGTGAGTTAATGCACAGAAGCAGGGAGATTGCATACAACAGAGGTTGAGCTATGTGTGGCAGTGACTTACTTGCATGTTGCGCAGCCTGTGCGAACCTTTTGAAGTCCCTTCCGAGGCATGGTTTGACGCCTTGCTGAAAGTCGTGCAACTCGTTCGCGGCAGAACTGACAAGCGTTTGCGATCGCCTCGCGGATAACACACGGTCGCATGCACCAACGTATATTGGGCTTCAACAGGATTGAGAGACACGCCCGGGCACCAAGTTCACAGAGCAGTCTGAATTGAGTGACAGACCTTCGTTATCGTCGAGACGCGTCGATGACGCGTCAAACAAGGACTACGTAGGAGACGATGGGGCGGTGCCAGCGTTATTATTAGCGCTGAGCGGTGCTGGCACTCTGGCAGGCTTCAAATGCATCACCCCGTTGACATAGTGGGGCAAATCCGAGCCTCCTGCAACTCTCCCCTGTTCCGCGCGACGAATGCTCCGGCGGCTTGCGTGAAACTCACATCGCCGAGCCTCAATGTCCAGTCCGCGATTTAATGGGCGCCGCGAAGAGGCAAAGCCCCCCGTTCGGCGAAATGTATGGCATAATCCATTGAACGCATTGTCTCTTGATCTATTGTGTAGCAGGGAGGGGTCACGACGACTGCTCCCCCGGCACTCCGCGCCATGGATCGCTGAGCATTTTTTGTCCCACACTCGATGACCAAAAGGACCCATTGGGGCACTCAAACTCGAGAAACTGGGCCTCCTTGACGTCGCACGAGTAGCCCGGGACCCTCGGCGTGACATGGTACCCCTCTGGCGTAATGGCCGCCGACGCTTCAAAGGCCTCATGTAGGTGATCGGTGTATTCCAGAATGCTCTTTTTGCCGGACACCACGACAAAGTCGATGGTGCTGATGTGGGAGCAAAGCTCAACCATTCCCGCTCCCCCGGAATGCGGGACCACGGGCACGCCAAATTTGGAGCTCATGAGCAAAACTGTCAGGATTTCGTTGACCGAGGCGAGCCGGCAGGCGTCCAACTGCACGGCGTCGATGGCTTCGGCTTGGAGGAGCTGCTTGAACATTACACGATTATTGACGTGCTCGCCGGTCGCGACGCCAATTCCGTATGGCTTCAGCGCAGCTCGGATCTTGGCATGGCCGAGGATGTCGTCGGGAGATGTCGGCTCCTCAATAAACCTAAGGATTGATCAGTTTTTTTCCGACCCGGCCTTTCCAGTGGCTTCACGCTTTACGCACCATAGCTTGAGATCGGCCAATTGCTTCATGTACTCGATTGCCTGGTCTACATCCCAGAGCTGGTTGACGTCGACCATAAGGATGCCCTCGTCGCCGACAACTTCGCGGACGAAACCCAATCGCTTGCGATCGGCCTCGATGCCCAGACCCGCCTTGAGTTTGAAGTGGCGGAACCCTTGCTTCATGGCATTCTTGAGCAGCTCGCGCACCTTTGGCTCCAGTCAGTAACGGCAAATGAGGTAGAGAAGCTGCAACTATGCTAGTTCGTCACTGCTTACCTTGTCGTCGGAATGACCTAGCCAGCCGGCTGAAGTATTGTAGGCGGGAACGGCTTTGTTCTGCAGAGCAAGCTGTATCCTGTCGGCCTTGGTCTTTGCTTGTTGCTTCAACATCTCCAGAGCTTGTTCAGGCGTCAAGACATCGGAAACATATCGGAAGTCCATCGTTCGCACAAACTCCTCTGGTGTGAAGTCGGCAACGAGCTTCCAGAGTGGCTTGCCCTCGGCCTTTGCCCAGAGATCCCAGATGGCATTGAGTACGGCATTTGTCGCTAGCTGCAGGACGCCGCGCTCCGGAGACATGAAGCGAATCTGGCCGGATGAGATCTTGCGCTGGGTCTCGCCCATGTTTGCCGTGATGGAGGAGAGCGACCGTCCGACAAAACGTGGCGCAAGGGAGCGGATCGCAGTGCAAAGGACACTGCACTGTCTGTTAGCCCACAACGTCACACATAGTAGCGGCTTGAAGTGCGTACTCATTACCTTGGCCGTTGGCAAAGGACCATCCGGTACCGATCAATCCAGAATCGGTCTTATACTGCAAATAGCCAAACGAATTCTCTCCAGCCAAGTTCATGGGGTCTGTTCCAATGTTGTCCAGCGAAGTTGGCCATCGGAGATCCCGGACCGTGAAGCCGGTGATCACAGCATCGTTAGGTGCCATAATTGGAAACAGGGCTTGGGCTGGGGTCGCTGCAGAGCATTTGTCGCAATATCGCGGGCAAGACGATCCAACCAGCGCGACCAACCTGGCGTATTTACTCCCGTGACCAAACCGACGTGCAGTCCGCCCGGGATACCTCTTAGCTACCCCACCATCCCAGGTCGGCAGCTTTCTGGCAGAAAGGCAGTCGTGGCTTTCCGAGCTCGGAAACTGGCTCGGGAAACTCTGTGGTGGCGGGGTGAGTGGTGATGGTGGCGGCGCCCGGGCTGGTCAGGGTCCTCAAGCATGGTCAGCCAGTGCAGCGGGGTCTGGAATTGGAGACGCCTGCGCCGAGTGGCCGGTGTAAGTTCCGCGTCCCTGGCCGCACTTCCCTACATTTCGGTGCCGTTGGACCTGTGCTGGTATCATATGGGTGGCTCTGTATTGCTGTTTGTCTGTGTTCCAATCAGTACGAAAGCACCGATCGACAATTCATCATGCTCGCCCAACAGCGTATTCGTCTTCAACCCGGAGTCTATGCCCCGGTTCCTACGCCGTTCAAAGACGGAACTGAGGAAATCGACATCGCTGCCTTTGACTCCACCGTTTCTCGCATTGGCAAGGCTGGTGCTGGGATCCTGGTCGGAGGGACGCTGGGCGAAGGGCCCATGCTTGCGTGCGACGAACGTGTCGCCCTAATCAGGCGCGCAAAAGCGTCATTGCGAGATGCTGGCCTTCAAGACAAGATCCCCGTAATTGCAGGCGCAGTTGGTGCGAGTGTGCGAGAGTGTATTGCCCAGGCAGAAGACGCAGCTTCTGCGGGCGCAGATGCGGTGTAAGTCAAACACTGCGGCTTCGTCAAGCACTCCACCCTACCCATGTTGCTAATGAGGCATGTACATCTAGCATTGTGGTGGCGTCAGCATACTTTGCCTTTGTTTATGGCAAGGACAAAGCTGCAGTAGCCAGTTTCTTTACCTCGGTTGCCGACGAAAGCCCACTACCCGTCCTCATATACAATGTTTGTCTTGTCGTTGCCTGTCCCTCCTCAAGCTCGCATAACGTTGACCATTGAGCCGTGGCAGATCCCCTTTGCTGCTGGGGGAATTGACCTGGATGCGCAAATCTTGATGAAACTCTCGTGAGTACTGGGTGACTCGACAACATGAAAGCTGCTTCGCCGAGGCGGCAATGAGCTGACGATTTGATCTGCCAGGGAGCACCAAAACATTGTGTACGTCTGCGCGCGACTTCCTACTCCGCATTACATCGGCTACAGATGATTATTTCTGCTAACTCAAGTTATCGTCTGACGTTGAAGAGGCGTGAAGCTTACATGTTGCAACATTGCGAAGGGCCATCGTGTAGCACTTCACGTCAACACTCCCGAATATCGAGCACGTCACCCCTTGCCGTTCCTAGTCCTCCCAGGCTCCACGGACTATCTCCTTCCTGCATTGGTTGGACGACAGCATGGCTGTATCGGCGGACCGTGAGTGATGCCGCATCCATTGTGGCGCCCGAAATTTCTGTACTGACCGCAATACCGCTTCCTCTTGGCAAACAGGGCGAATTTGTACCCAAAGACCTGTGTCAAGTTGTACGAGACAGGCGTAGAGGCGTTGGAAACTGGCAACTTTGAGATGTTTGTGCACCCTTTCCGCGCATTAGCAGTTAGGAACTGCGTTCTGACTTCCCGACTACATGTAGGCTCCGAGAGGCACAGAAATTGCAAGACCTCGTCACTGAGGCAGATTCTGTCATCAACAAAGTGGTATGCTTCCATATTCCCTTCACCCACCGCGTTATAGCACAGGTTCTAATGGGATGTATCCATCAGGGGTTCCTTGGTATCAAGACAGCCATGCGTATACATGTGGACAAGGCAATTGGCGGGGGGTTTCGGAAGCCTTTGGTCGCGCCTGGGCCGTCTGCGGAGGAAGAACTCAGGGCAGGGCTGCAAAGAGTTTTTGATGTTGAAGTTTCTCTCTGATATGTACACATGGTCGAGAGTAGTACTCTCATGTTGCAGTTCGCGAGAGGGAGGCGACTTTCATTCTTAAATACTCAGACCCATGGAACGCCCTGGCCAACTGGAGTCATCATGAGTTCCAATGAGTCCCAAGAGTCCCACACACCCGGCATTGCATGTCCGTGATCGCCTACCAGCTCTGACATTTCCGTACTTCCCGTTCCGTAAATTTGCTCCAGCTGATCCGTGCCCATGTCCCGCCCGGCTGTGACTATGCTGTACGGCAGCAGATCATCCATGTTTGGGGGAACAAGGTTCGTAAAGTCTTCATGCTGCAACGCACCAGGAGTTCTGTCTTGAACAATGAGATCCACGACATCGACAATCTTTCTCAGATCATCGATGATTCGCCCTGCTGATGGCAGCGTGACGGCAAGGTCGCGAAGCATAGACATTCCGAGGTGATACGATTCTGTGTAAGATGGTCGATGGTCCTGTAGGTTGATTGTCGTGAGGTCTCGGCAAAGAAGAGTGGCCAGGACAATGATGCCTCCGCCGAGCGAGATGGCCATATGGAACCTGTATGAGCTCGGTTTGTCCACCTCCATTGCGTAGGCTTGTATGTCCCGAATGATGTCCATCGCTACGTCACCACAGACAAGCCCATCCGTTGTGCCGTAGTTTAAGGATACCATTCTCCGTCGGCGAAGCAAGAGGCGTAGGTGGTTCATGCGCTACAGAGTTTTGGTAAGCATTTCATGCACATTTGCAACCTGACGTGGGGGAGCTGTGGGCAAGAGGACTAACCGTCCGCACAAGGGACTGCTGCCAGAGTTGGCGCGTCGTCGGGCTGCTCCCTCGAGGTATAAAAGGCATGGACAGAAACGTGGTGTTGAGCCAGTACTGGATGCGCGCATCGAGAACGGTAATCTTCTCTCCGAGCTCCGGACCGTCTGGGCCCGAGAATGCAAAGACTTGGTCCCATATCTCGCCGGCAAACTTAGCAAATGCAACCATGCATGAAAGATAGGCGCTATGCGTTGTCTCGGAATGCGTTTCGGGAAACGGTTGGCCTGGGAACAAAGCCTGAGAAGTAGGGTGAGCTGTTAGCACCGGTTCTTCAGAGTGTCGGGGAGCGACCGTGATGCGAACACTCCACATGCCTTGTCGTCGATCATCGCGGGCAAATCCACGTCAATATCGGAGTCCCTCACGCCATATGGCCGTCCGCAGCTTAACGATATGCGTCGATCTATAAAGTAGATCGTCCAGAAGAGCCGTTGTCGCATATGTCGCAAGAAGGGCGAGCAACCAGTCCCCCATAGCCTCTGCTGATGGAGTCCAAACTGAAAAGAAAGACGACAAGCTAGGCCTGCGACATTATAAGCTGCGTTTGCCTTGTCGGCATGCGTAAGGTAAAGTGCCTCGTTGAAATTTAGCAGGGTTCCTGAGATAGATTGCGTACTCTTTCGCCTCGCGGAGGGCAAACGACTTACTTCGTAGACTAGGAACTGTGCCAAACTCAGGTCGCCACGACCACTGATCTTTCGCTTCTGCATGAGTTCGTCCGCAGCAAGATACCACCGCCACCCAGGCAGTCTACCTCTCTCTTGTACGGGGCTGACATGGACCAGGATATCTGTGCAGGCAAAGAGAATGTAGTTCAGAGCAAGGATACAAACATCGGATGGGTCGATGGTGCGAGTCGTCAAGAGGCTTTGGCACCTTGAGCGAAAGTCCGCTTCGTTCAAGCAGGGATGGCAGGGATTGATGTCGTTGAAGAAGAAGTCGAGGTATTGGACGTATTCCGCCTTGCTAGGAAAAGGAAGATGCCTTGGCCCGCAGCGGATGTTCTCCAGGGACTTGGAGCTGCTTGACTCCGTAGGTGACGAATGTGAAATGGCCCGGTGCGAAGCCGACCGCATCTCTTCCTCGTGGGACCGAGGCGAGGCGGATTCTTGATAGCCCAGCTTCTCTCGAATCGATGCGAGATTCGCGTTGAAGGCGTTGAGTGGAGCCTGGAAGGCCGTGTCTCCTGCAGAGCCCCCGATTAGCGCGGCGACAAAAGGGAGATATATGCAGGCAGCGAACCCTGGAATCCATCGTCATCGTCCGGGGGCTGTGGTTCCGTGCTGTTCCTACTCTCGTTGCCCGTCGGCAAGCGACTGACTAGAGCTTCGAGCGTCGACTCCATCCTCTTCATACGCTCCTCCATCTCCGTTGAGGGAAGGCAATGGCCCCTCGGCCGGGAGCACGAGCTGCGCTCCTGCTTGGAGAGATTATGGCGGCGCAGGAACTCTGCCGCTGCCGCTGGGTCATCGGAATAGATGCATGGTTGCCCATTACCAGAACACCTTTGGCAGGGCTCGTTCCCAGAGCACTTGAAAGCTGTTTGTTAGACCGTTTGCGCGGACCGCGAGGAAAGAAACGGACAAACCTTCAGCTTCCGCGATCGGCACTGCACACTGAAGGCGCGTCAGCAGGCGTCTCGGCTCAGATAAAATGACCATTTACCAAGCCTTAGATGAGTATTTGCCTCGTGTTCTCCTCGAGCGACCAGGCGGTGACGAGCCCCGGTCCTCTTCTGCAGCGTCATTATGCGGCGTCATCACGAAGCTGCCTTTCCAGCCGATTCGCCCTTTAGCGTGCATCAAACTGTTGCTTTCCGGAGATGGTTGGCCACCGGCGACAGAACCGTTGAAATGAGAGGCTCGCCATCGGCTAAACGCTTACTTGCTCTACCATGGCGTTCTTCGTGGCTTGGGCCAGAACCGGGAATGTCGCGGAACTCCACTTCCCCTCACGACTTTTCGTGGGGTAATTGTTCTCGACAATGATCCAAGTTCTATTGGTCAACCTTCAAGTGCGTGCTCCTCAGCCCGGACACCTAACACCGGAGTATTATTGCAAATGCCAATTACGCTCGCCTCCCGGTGAGGGATTGGATGTGATCACGACAGGCTCGCGATGTAAGGCCGGCAGCACAGAGTCATAGGCGGCCACGTATGAACACTTTGAGTATCGGACCTTTTGACAGTACTCAAGTCGCTAGCTAGTCGTGTGCCCTGGTCTTTGCACTCTCAACCTTGATCTCTGTTTGTGAGCAGGTATGCCACCGGGTAGTGAATATAGGCGTCATCTGCTGCCAACAAGGCAGGCAGACACGGCAGCGGGGGCTACTGACTGTGAGACAGGACTGATGAAGTGCGAGACAAACATTTGCCCTTTGGCCCAGGGGCTTCATCTTTCTTGGGAGTGCATGACCCTGGCAAGCACCTCAGCCTGGGCGTGCGGGCTCCAGGCTGGCTCCAGTCACCCCGCATGCCCGGCTCGCTGAGATCGACCGTGGGGGGTGAACCCGGGGGCGGCGACCAGGGTCACAGGCGAGGCACACCAACGTTGTTCAGTGGCGAGCAGGGGCGCCATGTGGCTGCCAATAGTTGTGTTAACCAACCACTCAGGCTAAAACTGTTTCCTTTGCTGACCGAATGCGACACTGTCCCTGACAAGCCTGACACTGTTGATGGCGCTGGCTGGGAGACAGGGGTCGAAGGCGTGATGGGTTAGGTTTCGCAGGGTGTCTGAACCCCATGCCACTCGATCGCCGCGACTGGACGGAATGCGAGGAACTAAAAAAGCCAAGCTGAGCAGAGTTGACAAGCTGTCTCGCGTCAAATGCGGAACCCCGCTCGGACATTTCGGTTGGACAAACCCGTCAGCGGCCCGGTGTGAGACGATCACTCCACGATATTCGCGGCTCGCGCGCCGGCTCGGGCTACCTTGCTCTGTTGGGCATTCACCATGCCTATTTTGCATATTGTTTCACGACTGGCGGCACTGGCGGTGTTTGGCTGCAATTTTCTTCGGATCCGGCCTTAGAATTTCGCCTCGTTCCTCTTATTCCCGTGACGGAAAGCGACCGCGACTAGGCTGGGTCACGGTGATGCAGTGGCCTTTCTCGTCACAGACTCGTCATCAGGGCTGCGTTTGAACTGTCACGGCTCACGCTGGCCTCGGAGTTTCGTCTCCCGGACTGCTCCCACGCTCAAACAAGAGGCGTCGGGGGCTTTGGTGTCTGCTATGGGTGGTATCGGCTGCGCCTTGATGTAGTGCAAGGATCGAGAAGGGCTGAGACTAACCCGGTCCAAGTCTTGCTCTGTTCTCGAACAAGATTCCAGATGCCACGGCTTCGCGTGCCCTGGCAGCCACGCGCCCAGCGCATGGCTGAAACCGAGATACCACTCCCCCAACCCATTAAGCGCAGCGACAACGTGGCTTGTCGCTTTGACTCTGTCTTTGACCGGGAATGTCGGGATGCAGGAACGTCTTCGGGAGCTGATGCATGGCAGCACCCACTGCGGCAGGGCGGGCAGCACCCACCGTCTCATTTTGGGACCAGCCGAACGGCCTGGCGCTTTATGCCCCTGACGCCATTCAATGTGACATCTGATGGTGTGTGTCTGGAAGCACACTAGGCCTTCAAGCGGTTTACACCCCCGCGGTCGCGTGGCGTCAACTCTGGCCCATTGGACTTGGCAGTCGCCAGGCGACAGGAACCCTGTCGGGCGTCAGCAAGGCGGCGCCCTCCGTCATCGAGATATTAGGCTACTGAGTCCTCGATAGAGACTGAGAGCCCCCTTTCAACGCAAACTGTCGACACGCTGTTGAAGCCTTTGAGCCTCACTGCGCAGCAGTGTCGGTGCATCACGAACAGTTGGCGTGAACTCCGGTCTCGTCCGTGAATAATACACGACGTGCCTCGAGCATGGCCCTTCCAGACTGCGCGGTACGTGACCCGGTCTACAGTGACATGGCGAACATGAATCTGACTCCAAGTCCATCAGGCGGCATGTATCGGCACGGCCCTGGCTGGCGGTATCTGCGCGAACCAAACCTGCACTTGCACAAGCGAAGCTTTCCAAAGCAATGTCACAGCATGTGTAACCAAGGCATGCACAGTCCTTGAAGCTCTAGGTATTTGGCCTCGCAGCAAAGTAATATCCATGAGCAAAAAAGTACTCACAGGGAAATGAAGCCACCAGAAACTTCACCGCGACCTCATGCGGCGAGCCCGTGCGGGATCGGACCAAAGAACTCGCCACGATCACCATCGCGCTGGCAGTTCTGGTCTTGGTCTTCGTGGCTGCTCGACTCGGATATAAACTCTTCGCGAGAATATCTTTTGGTCTTGACGACTGGTTCATCATTGCCTCGGTTGTCGCGACGACGCCCAGCATCTTCGTCAACGTATTCGGAACAACGGCCAACGGGTTGGGCCGGGACATCTGGACACTATCACACGACGACATCACAGACACTCTCAAGTTCTTCTGGGCCGTGTGCGTCTTGTATTTCCTGGAAACGGCCCTGACGAAGCTTTCCATCATCTGCTTCTATATCCACATATTTCCTTCAGCAAAAGTTCGCCGCGTCCTATGGATAACGTTCGGTGTGACGGTCGCCTGGGGAGTCGCATTTGTCGTCTGCGGCATCTTTCAATGTCGGCCCATCAGCTTTTTCTGGACTCATTGGGATGGACTACATGAGGGCCATTGCGTTGAGCCTAACGCCATCGCCTGGTCCAACGCCATAACGAATATAGCCTTTGACCTCTGGATCCTCGCCATCCCGCTCTCGCAGCTCCGGGGTCTGCAACTACACTGGAAAAAGAAGGCGGGCGTCGCTATTATGTTCTGCCTAGGAACATTGTAAGAGACTTACTACCTGATTGGAAGATGTGGCTAACCGTTCGTCAGTGTCACGGTTGTGAGCATCCTGCGACTGCAAGCGCTCGTATACTTTGCGTCGACAACGAATATCACGTGGAACTTTTACGATACGTCCCGGTGGTCGACGGTGGAAATCTGCCTGGGCATCGTATGCACGTGTCTCCCAACCACACGTCTTCTTTTGGTGAGGCTATTCCCCAGCCTGGGCGGAACCTCGCAGCGCAGGCCCAGCACATATCACTTTCAGGATATTGAAGCAGATCGCCATGGGGGCCACAAGGGTGGAGTGGTAGTGGCGGCCAGGAGTTCAACGTCGGAACGGGAGTAGGGACCCAGAATAGTCGACCTTAATGTGTATGAATGACAATGCGTGCTATTGTTTTGCCCGGAGACACGCTTCATGACGGAGATGACGCCAGGCAGGTGTCTGCATGTGGGTTACCGAAGCTGCTCATGGGCCATCTTTGGCCATTGCCTAAGCGAACAGTAACAGATCAGAACAAGAGCTAAGTGGTCGCCAGCGACCAGACCTGTGCTCATGGCTGGATCTCTCCACGGTCAATCAGTGTAAGATTTCTGGTGCCGATGGAAGGGAAAGACCTCGGCCAGATCGAGCCGAGGCATCCAGCGACCACCCCTCTCCCCTCAGGGTGGTGTTCTAATTCAGTAGGACAATTTCCCAGAACGAGACGTAGTTTCTGGCCCTCCCATATCCGGACTTGATGTCACTTCGCTCACAAAACTCCAAGGTCCATTTCGCCCTCGCCGGGTCAATATCGGTCAGACCCCATGCAGCGCCCAGGCCCAGGCCACCATCGCGGTTTGGTTTGTCGGTGACATGTATTCCAGCCGCCATGCTTGTGGACCGCGACCCACTTGGCACGGTTCGTCTGAAGATTCCACCCGTTTTACCGGATAGCTGGGCAGTAACGGAGTTGCGTCTTCGCCATGGGTAGATAGACATGACGATCGTCTGTATTACGAGTAGTGCTATTCATGTTCGTAGAGCCATATTTTGCTAGTTGTACAATCGTCCTACATTTTTCTCGGCCGCGCCCTACATTCATACTACGCCAGCGATTTTTACTGCGTAAGTCGACGGCAGCGGTGCGCTGCCTCTTGCTGCATTTTCCTGCTGTTGCTATCGTTGCTATCGTTGCTGCTGCTGACTTTACAACTAGCAGGAGTTGGCTCTATGAATAGCACTACTCTTTGTTAATCGGGACAACGGCTGATTCTAGGGCCGAAGGGTAGTACAAATGTGAGATGAGACCTCTGTTGAACCTGACAGGCACCGTGAAGATCCCGAAGTTCCGAGGATCGTCCCAGCGGCTTACACCGCCCCATTTCCGTACAAGTTGCCCCCTGACGGTCCCCGATTATACCTTAAGCGACCATTCTCAATTAATCAGCATCGGTAATCCGTTCGTTGTCCGCGGACCATGTGTATTCGCAATGTTAAAGATCACTGCGGTACAACGGGGAGTGTAATGCTCTGCCTGTACCTTCGGTGAATGGCACTACCTACTCTTGAGGTCCCTACTCCTGCGCGTACACACACACCTAACGCACCTACGCCGCAACGATGAAGCAGTGGGTTACTCTCATGGACGGGCTTGACGCTCTCCGCCTGGAAGAAGTGCCCGAGCCGGTTGAGCTCCGCGAGGGAGAAGTGCTGGTCAAGATCAGCCACGTCTCGCTCAATTACCGCGACATCAAACGTGCGTAAACACACCACCCCCTCTCCGGCGCAATATCATGCCACAGCGGGAGGGAGGACAATGGCCCATTGACACTTTGCGCAAGTCATCTCGGGGGACTTCCGAGGCCGATACGCCACGCCGCCGAGTCCCATCGTCCCATGCTCCGACGCCAGCGGCACCGTGGTCCGCACGGGCGGTGGAGGCTCCGCTGGGCCCTGGAAGGCCGGCGACCGGGTCATCAGCCTGGTGCGGCCGACGCACCGCACGGGGCCCACGCGCGCCGAGCACATCGCCTCCGGACTCGGCGTCCCGCAGCCGGGCGTGCTGGCCGAGTACCGCGTCTTTCCCGCGTCCGGGCTCGTCGCGGCGCCACCGTATCTCGATCTCGAGGAGGCTTGCACGCTACCGCTCGCGCCGCTCACGGCGTGGATGGCGCTGAACTGGGACAGACCCGTGGGCGAGCCGCGGGAGGGCCGCAAGTGGACAGTGGTGATGCAGGGGACCGGGGGTGTGTCAGTGGCGGCGCTGGAGCAGGCGCGTGCATTGGATCTGACGAGTGAGTTTTGCCTTTGTTACATACGCGCTTGAGACCGCTACCCATGTCGATTGCCTTTATACGTACGCATCGCAGAACAGAGTCCGCTGATCTGGAACGTTCAACATAGGCATCGTGACCTCATCGTCGGACGAGAAGCTCGCGCGCGCAAAGGTCCTTGGCGCCACGCACACCATCAACTACGAGACCACGCCAGACTGGGCCACCGAGGTGCTGCGCCTCACAGGCGGACAGGGCGCGGACGTGATCGTCGAGACGGGTGGACCGGGTACCATGGAGCAGAGCCTGCGAGCCGTGGCCGAGGGCGGCAACATCAGCGCGGTGGGCATCTTGACGGGGAGCACGAGCACCGCCGCCGCCGGCGAAGACGGTCAGACGCCGTCCGTGGGACTACAGCTGATCAACCGCAACGCGACGCTCAAGGGCATCAACATTGGGCCTAGTGACCGGATGAAGGAGATGCTGCAAACGTACGAGCGTAAAGAGATCCGGCCAGTCGTGGGGAGGACATTCGGGTTTGGGGAGGTGAGGGAGGCCTTTGAGTTTATGAGACGGGGAGAGCACTTTGGCAAAGTGGTGATAAAGGTGTCATAGTTTTGAATCGCGACCGTGCCTCGTCAGCGGCGGAGCCTGACAGACAGGGACCAAGCAGGGAGGGACCAAGCAGGGACCACCCATTAAAGAGTGGAGCTGTTGCTATCGTACATGTAGCCATGCCGGTGACACTCAGGCTGTGGCTATCTGCAGGAAAGGTCGAAACGCCTACAAACCTCGAATGCCAGCAATATGCAGAAGCTAAATAATCTGTCACGTCTACGACTCCAGGGAGTGTTTCTGAGTCGCTGTTCATTGTTCTTGACCAACTTTCCCCCTTCTCCCTCCTGTGACTCAAAGTCATCCACTCTCATTGCCATTAAACGCCTTAAGCAAGTGATCTCGAGTGCTTCCTCATACGGCGGCGCTTTGGAATGGAGCACCCTACCACTTGATCAGGTATCTTGGAGCTAGAAGCGGGAGTGGGGGCGACAGAGCTCGTGGCCGTGAAAAGGGTCGTTGTCGCAGACGCCGAGGAAGACTGCGGAGGGTTGTTTAGGCCATCACCGAATATGTCCGTTTGGGCATCTACATACATGACCAATCGTCATTAGCAAATGCACCACTCGCCACGGTAATAGGGTGATCGGGGTTGCAGCGAATCCGTACCTTTCAAGTACCCCATTCGGGGAGAATACGTGGGAACCTGCTCGCCCTGCTTCCATTCCACATTGTTGCCAGACTTCTGAAATGACGCAATCATCTGCTTAGGGCCAACAACTCCAGGACCGGGAACGACGCTGGGAATCTTGGGGGTCTTGCCGCCGCTGGCATTGATGATGCGACATTTGTGGGCGGCCATGTACATGTTCTGCTGCCCGAATCCGGCGGGAACCCATCTTTGTTTCGACTTGTGAGTCAAGGGCGCATACGAGTAGCACCCCAGTGCCTCCCAAAGGAACTCACCCTGTAACGCATATGCAGGACTCGCATGCGGCCAGATCAGGAATCTTGTAGCTCGCGAGCCGCTCAAAGGGAGTCTCGGATGCAATTGAGACAACAACCAAGTTCTCCATGGATACATCCCAGATGCTATTGACATAGGAAACCGCAATCGCGGTTCCAGCAGCAGTTGATTTGTTGGCGGCGTGCATATTCGGCGACTTCAAGCCTTTCGATTCGCTCACAAGGCCCTGAGCCACAACCTCGGGGTTGGTCACTGAGTAGGGACTGGGGCGCTCGTTTTCCTCCTTGCCATCGGCGTAGAAGCCCGTTGAGTTCTGCCAGTTTGCCCAAGGCACGGAGATTTGCGAGTTGGCCTGAATCTCCCAGACGCCAGTGGGTTCTGCGAGGTGGCAGTTGCGACCTTTGGATAGGAACCTGGGGAAAGCTCAATCAGCAATTGCATGGGTATGACATACGCCGTTCAGTGCAAGAGGGGTATCCAAATACCAGCTATCGAACTCAAGATCGTAGAGAGGGTCGAAGACGACGAGGTTTTCGTCGGTGAAGTTGGCCAATGGCCCCTTGTATTTGTTCTACACCGTGTAAGTCTCGTCGCTGTGGGTACCACTAGATACTAGAATAAAGAAGGACGATCATAACCGACATACTTCCGGACAAAACATGCCATCCGTGTAAGCAGCGAGGTGGGCGGTGGCCATCGGAATGACGATAGCACTGCCTGTCAACAGGCCCCCAAGGAAAGATGATTGACGCATTGCGCTACCCAAGAAAAAGCACCTGTCTTTATTTTGAACCGATCTTATATGAATGAATGAATGAACGAAAGGGATGGGAAGGAGTGCAGAGCGAAGCAGAAATACGCACGACACGCAAGAAGTGAATGTCAGCCCAAGACAGAGAGCAACGGAAGCCGTCGCCCATGTGAGGACGAAAGGAGACGTACAGTTGCTTTTGTGTCTCTTTCCTATCCTTCATTAAACTTACAGGATGGACCCCCCACTTCTCCCTGATCCTTCGGCAGACGGACAGCAAGGCGTCGACCGTAGGGCGCTAGGGTGCACTACCAGGAAGATCTCTAAACTAGGGCTTGGGTAAACAGTTGAAACGTAAGCTTGATGGAGGCGCATAATTATTGGTCGCGGCCAGGGTCGCGGATAAGGAGTTGAAACATTAGTGAACTACGGACACTTGCTCAGTAGTACACTTGCAGATGAAGAAAAATACACAAGCACTAGCTCATGGATCAGATTGATGATGTACCCCAACCACTGACAAGGCTGCTCCATGTCGTCAGGCAGGCATCATGAAAGCTTCACGAGACCGACTGGGTCGTCTTCTGAACATGAATGAGCAGCTTAATTGCGACCGCAAGGCCTCTCGCGGATCAGGGCAAGCAACACAACGGAAGGCCATTGATACCAGACCTATACAGAAATAAATACGCACTTATGTAGACCCAAGCCCGCTCCTTTGGAGCAAATGCGATTACCTCGGGGCACATCACATCGCGCGGGTGGTTACCCTCAATTTCCACAATTGTCGCCTGTCTGTCTGGCTGCGACGGCGGCTGGCCATAATCCCGATGACGGTCATGTATCGCCCCGGGTACGCGCATCCTCCCGGATTGATGGCAAGCCTAACTAAACCTTTCGACAGGGCGTCTCTGCACTGTAAGCGCTTTCCCCACCACTGATCGACAATTGCGCGTTTAGGTTCATTCTCCTCCAGTCCGGTACCAATTGACGACGGATGGGTTGTCATGGATAGATCGGTGCATGCACTGCCTAGTAATGTCTATGATAGCAAGTGAACATGAAATGAAGTGTTTTCTGTTGCCTAAGATCAAGTGCCCGGCTTTGGGCGGTCAGACTACTTGAACAATGTCTCCGGCGTTCAACGCCGCCGAACGCAGCTGCTAAGCTCTCAAGGAAGACCGACGCGCCAGTCTGCGCCGTCACCGTTCAGTCCATACTTGTCCCGGCTCATATCCTTGACCGTCGTCCGCCTCATGTCGCGCCTGTGCTGGCCCTCATACGAGCCTCCAGTAGCCCTGTGCATGACCGAAGTGTTGTCCCACATGATCATGTCACCAGGTTGGTGCCAGTCAATGGTCACTCGATACCGGGGCTGCTGGACATGAGCCAGCAGCTCTGCGATCAAGGCCTTGCTTGCAGCATCGTCCAGTCCTTCAATGCTGTGAACATAGGAAGCAATGTAGAGGTTCTACGGTCGAGACCGAGCCGATTAGTTTCGTCTTTTCAGCAGGGACAGGCTGAGATTGGATTGGGGTCATACCTTCCGGCCAGACCACTCATGGGTTTGGGACAGCTTGTGCTTGCTCAGTGGGAGCTTGCTGGGATCGGTATCCTTGAAGTACTCAGGCATGACGGTTTTGCGCGAGTGGAACAGGGAGTGGTTGGCCACGAGACCCTCGATCTGCTTCTTTGTCGCGTCTGGGAGCTCATCATAAGCAGTTCGCGAATCGGCGTACTGAAGAGTTGGCACAAAGTTAGCTTCAAAGTACGCGGCCTGCTGAACATGCATGCCTGCATACCTCGGTAGAACCACCCGTGCCAGGAGGTGGCAGAACGTGAGCAAGCAAGAGAGAGTGTCCCGCACGGCGTCCATTGAAGGACGAGTCCACGTGGAAAAGTTCGTTGGCCTAGTAGATAGTCAGCTGGTCCATCAATGGAAGGCTGATGAACAAGCTATGCTCACCTTGTTCCCAATAACTTGAGCCGCAGTCAGGGGCGCCACGTCGCCGGTGTTGGGATCGATGTTTCCGGCATCGAAAAGCTCAGGGTACGCAAGGCGATGCGTGCGGCCAGCCTTCTGATACGGCTTGACATCATCCAGATCGCCAAAGTTGGCCGAGAACTTGATGTGTGCTTCATCGGTAAGACCCGTCTTTCGGCACACAACTACTCCGTACTAGCCAACAGCTCATGTTAGTTTTGACATATTCTCTTATACGCCATTGCTGTGCTGGTTTGTCGAACCTTGTCAACGATCTCGCGGATCTCCTGGTACAGCTCCGGCGAAACGTCCTTGCTCCAGTCTACGCCTTGAAGCTCACATGCAAAGGTCGGGTGCAAGGGGACAACCCTCAGGTTGAACTTTGGGGTGCGGTATGGCGCTGGGACAAGCCCCTCAATCTTGAGCGGCACCCACGTGGGAGTAGGCGTAACGGTGATTGTTTCTGTAGGCATGTTGCGCGCGTCTGGTCTTGAAGAGAACCCCTGAACTGAGCTTTGCGTTGGGAAAATGTCCAGTGGCGGCTGGTGCGCTCGAGCAACGCTGTTAGTTAAAAAGAGGCTTGGATATATTGGAGAAGCGGACAAATGAACCACGGCGTTGGGTATACTTGCCGTTCCGAGCTCCGGGGTCAGAGAGGCTCGGATTCTGTCCCAAGCTACAGCTGAGGGTGCCGTGTGCTCGGCCTTCATCCCGCCGGCCCTTGGTCCGCCACGTCCGCCACAAAGCCACCGTCGAGACCTTTCCTTCCGAAGGTGACCGAGCTCGGAAGCCTCCCAGTGCCCCGGATGACATCGTGGGGTAGCGGGGTTCGTGGAGAGGCGCTAATGTGGCGCCCGCGGGATGCAACCCCGGCAAAGATGGGGACCCCGCAACCGGCAGCAAGGCTTCCGGCCATTCGGAACCGTCAATGAAAGTTGGGGTCACGATCTCCTTGATTAAGTGGACATGCCGACGACTTCTTCGACTTCGTCGCCAGCGCGAGATTCCCCGTCCCAAGGGTCCAGCTGCGAATACGTGCTACAGTTGAGGCATCCAAGATGGCGAGCCCAACAAACGAACCGGCGTATACGCGCTACCGCAACAACACCAATCCACAATGGTGGAAGGACGCTGGCTTACGGGTCAACGTGCTGCACTGCGCGGGCCTGTACTTTTGCGTCTTCTATCTGGGGTACGTGCCTGGACACTTGCATGCTGCCTCCACCAACGACACGGCACATTGGACAGTTGGCTAACATCAAGTCTTTCCGCGCAGTTATGATGCTTCGCTCCTCAATGGGCTCCAGACCATTCCGCAATGGCAGACTTACTTCAATCACCCCGACAGCAACTTGTTGGGTCTGATCTCGGCCAGCATGTTTCTGCGTGAGTCGCACAAGTTGCTTCTTCACATTGTGTGCCCTTACTGACCAATGCCAATTGTCCAGCTGCTATCGTGTGAGTTGCCAGCCTTGGCAACCTGGTGCTAGGCGCAGTGAGAATGGACGATGGTGTTGACTCTCGGCGCAGAACCCCCTACATCAGCTCCATCATCAACTCCAGGTGGGGCCGAAAGGTCGCTATCCTAGTTGGGTCTCTCCTTCTGGTATGACACCGTCTCCATGGTTTGAACGGTCCGCAAGTGAAGCTAACGCTCGTGGCTCCAGATTCTCGGCGCGTTCATCAATGCGTTCGCCACAAACATTGGCATGTTCATTGGCGGCAGGGTCCTTGTTGGGTAGGGTTTCCATCTCCATTGACACGGCGTAGCGCTGACAAGGCGTCAATATAGCGCTGCAGGTCCATTCGGAAAGATTACTGCCGTTGCACTGCTGCAGGAGATTGCCCATCCACGACTTAGACCGTACGTATCGCTGCCCCATTTCCTTTAAGTACCAGTCTCTAACGATCCCATCAGTCTTCTGTCGACCTCGTTCTACCCGAACTACTACTTTGGGTCCATCGCAGCGGCGTGGTTCTGCTGTGAGTTCATCATACGCCGTTTCGGCGGCTACAGCATCCAAGAGGGCAGCAACTGACAGATTCGTTCAGTTGGGTCCCTTCGCTGGGGCGACACCACCTGGTCATGGCGCGCACCCTGCCTATTCCAGATCATGGCCCCTCTCGTGGTCATGGTGTTTCTCCTCTTCATCCCAGAGAGTCCCAGGGTATGCAATGCTCCATGCCCACCGTCCACTACATGTATCCATGCAAATTGGCATCACTACTAACGCATCCCAGTGGCTCGTCCACCACGGCCAGAAGGAAAAGGCCATCCAGATCCTCGCAAAGTACCACGCCAACGGCGACACCGAGGACGAGCTCGTCCTGCACGAATACAACGAGATTTGCTACGCCATCCAGCTCGAAGAGGAAAACTCCAAGACGAGCTTCCGGGACTTTGTCAAGACTCCTGGAAACAGGCGGCGCCTGCTTGTGCTCCTCACAATGGCCACTGGCACCGTGAGTTCCCCCAAAACACCGCGTTTAACATGCTGTTTTGGTGTACCTATGGCTCACATCCTGTCGGCAGAACTGGGTTGGGAATGGTATCATCACGTACTACCTCGCCCCGGTACTCAAGATTGCCGGAATCACGGACAGCACTCAAATATGTTCGCCGAAACCCTCCCCGTAGATAAACGTTAGTTACTGACACCCCCACAGCCGGAATCAATGGCGGCTTGGCCGTCTGGAACCTCTTCCTCTCATACTTGGGAGCATTCAACGCCGAGCGCGTTGGCCGACGGAAGCTGTGGATGGCCTCCACAATCGGCATGCTCCTCGCATACGTAGTCATGACGGGCCTATCGGTACGTATTTCCAGGACACTTCAAAGGCGAGCACTGCTGACAGCCGGTGTGCAGGGATCGTTCGCCTCGGATAACAAGCGATCTGTGGGCATCGCCATTGTGCCCATGCTCTTCATCTACTACGGCTTCTACGACATCGGGTGGACGCCTCTGCCTTGTATGTCTTTGCCTTCGCTGTATCATGTTGCTCGGACTGTACTGACGGAAACTCATTAGTCGCGTACGGCGCAGAGATCCTGCCCTATCATATGCGCCTGAAGGGCCTCAGCATCATGCTCTCCGTGCAGAGCGTGGCTCAGGCGTTTGTAAGTCCGGAAGCCAGGCCGTATTCATGACCCCCGATTGCAGCATTGATGAGAAACTAATTGCTCTTCCCCCGTAGAACCAATGGGTCAACCCAGTTGCCCTATCCTCCATCTCCTGGAAATAGTACGTCCCGGCAGACACACCTCCCCGCACACTTCACAACTAACACAAGACCGCGCAGCTACATCGTCTACATCTGCCTTCTCTGCGTCTATCTCGTCCTCATCTACTTCTTCTTCCCAGAGACCAGGTCAGTTCAATCGCACCACAGCACGGCACCTCCCCTGGGGCGAATCCCCGGTCAACGCATCATTGTTCTCCGACTAACACGCGCTCCAGGAAACTCACCATCGAAGAGGTATCGCTGATCTTCGACACCGGCCGGCTGGGCGACTCCGCCGCCGTGACGGCGGAGCTGAGCGGCGGGACAAAGGTCGTTGGAGATGTTGACGACAAGCACGCCGAGAATCGCGTTGACCTCGAGGCTGTTCCCGATCATGTCGAGCACAAGAGAGCTCAGTGACGCTTTCCGCGACAAGGTTCTCGTTCGGTGTGGCGTAGATAATTGAGCGGCTTAATATTGTTCAAATGGACTTGCGTTGATGTTCCAGAAAATGACGAGGTTTACGTGACCCTCAGCCATACTCCTGGCTCCAAGGGCCATACCTGCCGGCGAGGCCGACGGCCATTACGAGGAGCACACGCCAGCACGGCTGCCAATACGGCCTGCCTCAAGTGACCTCGCGGTGGCGTTGGTCTGGCCCTGCGCGTGCATGGCAGGTCGCAAACCCATCTTTGCTAATCGTGTTTGTCTCAAATATGCATTTCTAGCCCGTCTATTCCCATTTTACCTGCTGCCACCCTGCAATGTTGCTCCTCAAACTCCTCGCAAGCTCCAGCACCGTTCCATCCTCGACCAGGCCGACCAGACCCGTCTCGTCACCGTCAAAAACCCATCGCCGGAGTGTGGACACAAAGTCCATCTTCTCCACCACTCCGCTCTTCCAGCTCTTGACGAGCTCGTTGCCCTCCTTGAGCGCGACCTGCGCGGCCGACTCCAGGGTCTTGACCAGCGCCATCACCTCCTTGTGCAGATTGCTGCTGCCAGACCTGTCGCGCTCCTTTTCCCGCTCGTTGAAGGCCTGAATCCACTGTGTTGTCAGCTTCACTGCCACTGCAGTGTCTCGCAGCAACGCGACGCTGTGCAGTGAGCTCATTGCCGCCATTGCGTCGTCCACCCCGTCCTGCTTCTTTTGTGGAGCGGCTGCGCGGAACGTCTCCAAAGCTGCCAGCACCGATTCCGCCAGTTGGTTGAGCCCATCGGGCGGAGTGCTTGTTCGAGCAATGCTGGTGCAAAGCGGGATCAACGTGCAGAGAAGGCTGACGGCCTCAAAGTACAGCAGCTCTGCAGCCGTGGATTTGGAGGCCGCACCGCGGAGGAACTTGGGCATCGAGTGACCGAGTTGCGCCATTGTCTCGAGAACAAAGGTGTTATCCGCTTCAGTGGCTGTCGCCGACGCCTTGTACACGGTCGGGGGTTTGTGATCCAGTACGTCGTGGAATGCCTCAGACAGAAGCGACAAGTGCGACCTCTCATTCTGTACGGCGTCAGCGTTGCACGATCTTATGGAGGCTGGCATACGTACCGAGGGCCCAGGTCCCAGGCGCAATCGTATATGCATGGGCGTGCAAGTGCTGGCCTCCCACGAGGCAAACGACCCGTAATCGACCAGCTCGTTAAGCTGGAGACCGTCAAACACGTCGACTACGCTGTGTTAGAAGAGTTCGCGTGCAGAACGATATCGGGACTTACGGAATCTTGAGTCTGTCAGCACCTCGCCAAAAGGCTGGCCGAAGAGCCTCTCCGCCCTGGCCTCCTCAACGAGGCTCATCACCCTCGTGCAGCTCCTCCGCAGGTCCTCGATATACTGGGGCATACCCAAGATGCTTCCATAACTGCCAGCCTCAAACGCATCAATGAGACGCCTGGGCATTCTAAGCTTCAGCGAAACTGTGTAGTGCTGCTTCAGCGTCTCTATCAGCTGCCAGCCCCAGTTGTCTGACGGCGAGATGACAAGCGGCGACACTGTCGACAGGCGATCGTAGAAGATGGGCGCGAGGGCGTCAGAGATTGTGCGCTTGACAGCAAGCTCGTCCCAAATTTCCCTGGCCCTGTGGGCAGATCCGAGGCGCAGGTGCAGCTGGACCAGAAGCAGGGCCGTCTGGCTGTGCTTTGGTGTGAGATGGAACTGGTGCTCCAGCATAAACAGCGCTCGCAACAGATGTTGCGTGGAAGGCAAGGTTGACGGCTTGTAGCCAGGAAGCTGAGAATTGAAGGCCAGCCTGATGTTGGACAACGCGACGGCCATGGCAAGCTCTGGGATAACCTCATTCTCGGCAGACGCGTTACCAGCCAGCTCCTTGGTACATGACTGATATTGCTGGACAGCGCGCTGAGCGATGTGTGACAAGCAGGAGGCACATAGTGCCGAGCCGAACTCGGCGTCGCAAACCATGCATTTCGAGCTAGGCTTTTCTCCGGGCACTTGCGAGACACTGGCAAGGCATGTCAATGCAAAATACTGTAGCTTCAGCGAGAGAACCTGTATCCTCGCGGTCTCCAGAGCGTCCGTAGTGCCTGAAACTAGTTGAGGAACATGGTCGTAGGCAAGATGCTTGACTGCGGACGGGTCGAGTCTCTCAACAAAGCCTCTGACGTCGTCAAAGCAAGCTAAACTGCCTTTTTGGTGCGCAATGTAATTGATCAGCTCACGTAGCCGCAATGATGACGGCTGGCCGGTCGTCAGGTCGTCCTCATCATTGGGACCGAGGCTAAAGGCGGCCGAGACTCGCGCAAGGAGCAGGTTGCGCTTGTACATAGGTCGCAGGTTCTTTGACTTGACGAGCAAGAGAAGCAGTTCCCGCGCTGTTTCTGACGTGCTAGCAGACTCAGTCAGCCGCGTTCCGTTGACGACACGGGATAACATACTCCGGGTTGACGCTCTTGAGCTGTGCTGCCGCATCGATGAAATGCTTCCACACACTCCAGTCGGAAGCCAGCAGCGTCGGTTCGTCGTTTTCGTCCGCATCAGACAGGCACTCGTGGCAAAAGTCAAAGACGCCTTGCCAATCGCCCTCTCGTCGCAGCTTGGCCACCACCCGGAGGAACAGCTCCTTGCGACCGAGGCGGAACTGGGACACGGGACTGAAGACGGGGCTGGCAAGCAACTTGGTAAAGTCGTCGGCACTGCCGTGCGTCTCCACCACGTCATAGAGCAGAAGGATCTCTTCTTCCGTCCTCACACTGCGCGCAGGTGGCGTCGGCGGCGCGTCTTCTGCGTTGGTGTTTCTCGCCTGAATCGTCAGTACCTGGTTTTGGGGCATTGATACAGTGGACTGTACCTGCTCGGTGAGCTGTGCAGCACGCTCAATTTGCTTCTGCGCGAGCATGCCATACAGCTTCTTCTTCTCCGGCGGCGACTGGGGGCTTTTCTGCGAAGCGTCAGCCATTGGTCGTGCGCAAAGGAGGGTACGGCACCCGTACCGCCAGCAGGTGCGTGATGACAATGTTCCAAAACAAAAAGGATCTCTCGGCGGGAAAGGACCTGTCGATGATGGCAGCAATCTAGGCACCGCACGTCAGTTCGGCCTCGATCGCTCGCCAGGAGCAGTCCGACGGGGTAAGGACGGCGTACCTGCTGCGCGCTCACAAGGTCCCAGTGCAGCAGACACGACTCGAGGCAGCGCGTGGCGGCCGACTTGTCCTTGGGCGAGGCCTTTACGCAACGCACTCGCAGGGGACCTAGTGTCTCGGGGAAGTCGTCGTCGTCGAGCAGCGTGAGGGTGGCCCACTCGAGCAGGTCAATGCCGTCAACGTCCTTGACGACCGTCCCGTCCTCGACGTACTTCCTCACGGCCGCCACGGCCGCAAACTTGGCGGCAGGGTCATCGAGCTGAGTCTCGCTGCAAATCTTGACAATCTGGTGCCTCGGTCAGCGCCGGTTCACCGAGTTGGAGCAGCAGCCAGCCAGGTCGCCTGGACCGCACGGCGCGCCCTCCCTCGTCCGTCCCTCCCTCACCTCAAAGTACTGGTCGTTGAAGGTGCGCCACCGCTTCTCGGCCAGGCGTATGGCCACGGGCCAGTTGCCCTCTTGGAAGGCCGACTGGAGCTGCAGGTCGACGCCGTTCCTCAGCCGAGGGCGTTGGCGGCTCATGGTTGTGTGTCGGAGGTGCAGGTTCCGGTGCACGCCGTGTGGTGTGGTTGAGTCGAGAGCTCTCACTGAGGGCTGTGCCAGCATGAAAGTTTGGAGGGGCAGCGCCTGACCGCAGTTGAGGGGACCGTGTGGCGCAATGTTGGCGCACTGTACACGCGATGATGGTGTCTCGTTCGTTGTACTTGACAAGGGCATGTCATCGCCGCGTCCAGAGAACTCGGAACAAACTTCTGTTCGTAATATATGTGCCATTACGGTTTCCATTGGAAGCGTGTCACGGATCGAAACGGCCCTTGCGGAAAGTCCCACGAGAACCTCTCAGCAGCAACTAGCCATATCTACGTAGCTTGAGGGCCGTTCTTCCTCCAATATTCCGTGTTTACAGTATCGTACATCGCCTGCCTATGCTCTCCACGCGACAGAATGCTCAGAGTGAAGTCGTTTCGTCGTGTACGCCTGTGCCGCCTCACCAAAACTTGCCGCCACTCTCCTTCTTTCTCCGCTCAGTCTGCCACTGTCAGCTCGCAATGTTCATCGTATGCGCTCGTTCGACTCCGTCGGCGGGACACACGTACCCAAGCTTGCTTGCAGTCGCGGTACGCCCTACAAGCCATCAATCGCCGTGTCAGCCGTCTTCGTCTTCGTCCCTTTTCCGGCAACGTCGCGGGTCGTGGAATGGCAAACGCACTGAAAGTACTCGCCGCACATGCTCTTGTCCCCGCCGTTGCGGTACAGGCACTTGTAGCTCCGCTGCGCGGCCTCTTGGCACGGGTCGTAGAACTCGCTCTTCGATTTCCTGTTCTCCGTCGTGCGCACGCGCGAGCGCCTGTGGTCAGCGAAACCTGCGGGACGGCGTGTCGGTGTGGGCGGAGGGAGCGCTGGAGTCTGGGTCGGGCGCGGCTCACGTCTCGAACTTTTGCTTCGTCTTGTTGTCCCAGGGGCCGGCGTCGGCCCCTGTTTGCGGTGTTGACGACGACGACTCCGAGGACGACATGGCTGCGGGTGCAGGAAAAGAAGGGTTCGCGATTTTGATGGTCCTGGTCTGGAGCGGAAAGTATGAAGTCATTCCGACGGCTGAATCTCGGATGGCAGGGGTTCCGAGCTGTTCCCACAGCTGCCGAGCTAAATCGCACTGTGCTCTGGTGCTTCGGCTTACAAGCATTCCATCCTGGCAATGTGACCATTCTGTTATGTTACAGAGCTCACCCGGGCACATCTTCCACGAACTACAGGTATCAGGAGATTCTGCACCCAAGCTCTCCGACGTCGATTCCAGCCCATTCGGTCTGTAGAATGCTACCGCCCGGGAGGGCCAACCGCCTCCCAGAATCCGTCCCCGTCAAACACGTTCCTCTCCTTCTCTAGCAGCCCAGCACGCGCCAGCTCGACCTTGCGCGCCGTATCCTTGCTGCAGCACAGGCCTATGTCAAACTCCTTGAGGCCCGACTCGCCCAGCACCGCCAGTGCCGCGAGCCCCAAGTACGAGTGGTAGATGTCCGGCGGGGAACCAACGGCCTTGCCGAAACCGCCGATGCGGTGCTGCGTGACATCGGCGAGGTACCGCCGCGAGGGTGCCGCGTTGACCACGTCCAAACTATCGAGCATCTGCCACGACCATCGTCAGTCTCATGAAGTTTCGAGATTACCCTCCTTGTTTGGCCTCGTCACGGCGGGGGGGGGAGGGCTTACCGCCAGCGTGCCGCCCACCCACCACGTGTAGCACGTGTCGGCCTTCTTGTTCCACCGCCCATTGAAGCCTACGCAGGCGCACCCGTCGTCCAGGTCCAGGTCGCCGAGCTTGGACTCGATGAAGTTCTCATCATCACTTGCGTCGTCATCTTCTTCCTGCGTCGCGAGATACTCGAACTGGCGGTGGGCGAGGAAGCGAACCAGCCTGTCACGACACCCGATTCCTGCCTTCATGGCTGCCTCTCTAGACGTTGAAGAGGATGCCCCTGGGCGATCTAGCATGTAGAGTGCCGCGATGCCGCAATATGCGTAGCCGGCTAAGACAGCAAAGTCAGTGCCGTAGGAACAATGGTTCAAGGGCCGGAGACACGTACCGTGGGACTCATGTTCTGACGCTTCGGCAAGGCCTCCGTCAAACGTCTACATTCGATCAGCATGTCGCGTAGTCATCCCATGTCATAGCCTCGTTTCAACTCACCTGACATCGCCGGATGTGCGCAACCATGCTCTCGACATCCACATCCTCCTCCGTCCCATCGCTGCCCTCGCCGAGTAGCATCCACCGGATACAGCTAGCGAGGTAGCTATGCCGCATATCCCTACCGCCCACGGCCTCGCCCTCCCACAGTACCTGTCCAAAGCTCCCGTCACGCCGCTGTAGCCGCCTCAGCCAGCGCAACAGCTTCCGTCTCTCCACGCCCGCGAAGGCCGCCCGCGCCTCTCCTTCATCGCCAGCCGCCAGCGCCAGCAGCAGCAGCGCGAAGAATGTGGCCGCCAGGTTCGCCGCGCCACGTTCCGGCTGGTCGCGCAGCGCGTGAGTCGGGCTCCCGCAGAAGCCGCCGTCCGGGTGCTGCAGCCCGAGGACCCAGGCGCGCACGGCGGCCCGGTCCGCGGCGCTCGGTGAAGGGGAAGTGGCCGCGTCGGCGGAGGGGCCCAGCAGGTCGAGGGCCGAGACGATAAAGAAGGCAAAGGTGAGGCGCGTGGAGTCATTGGCGGTGTAGGCGGACGGCAGGAAGGAGGTGTGGCATCGCTGCCAGTACTTGATGTGCCGCGCCGCGTCGAGGCCGGCCATGATGAAGCTCTGGAGTCTGGAGGTACGAAGAAGCCGGGTGTGGGGTGGGACGCTGCAGGACGAATCTGGAACAGGGTCTCAGGGAAGCGTCATTGGCGATTTAGGATGCGATATAGTGTGCGTCTGGCTGGATCTTTGCGATAAGGCTGGGTGGACGAGTGTGTGAGCTCCGAGGTTGACGGATGGGTTTCTTGAAAGTGAAGCTCAAGTGAGCTTGAAGCTGTGGCACCGCTGAGTTGGGCAGTTCGTCAGCTCGGCGACAAGCTCACTGTAGGTAGCTTCCAGGTCGTAAGGGCACAGCTGCATGCGCCACAACACCGACCCCTCCATTCGCCCACAGCGCAGCCTCACCAACGCTTGAGTCCCGTCGCAGCCACACCCAACGCACCACCCCGAAGCTGCCCAGGTGCTCCCAGGGCCAAAGGTTCCCCTGCCAAGCAGGCCCGTTGCGTGTCCCTCCAGGGGCCTCCCAGTGGCCGCGATGTCCGACACGGGGCTCCAAAACAACCTGACGAACTGCAGACGGGGCACACACACACCTCCGAACGCAGGACCCAACCAACCTGCAATGTTAAACTCCCGCCCGTCCCGTGCTCCCCTACCTACCTTACCAACCAGCGGCATCCTGCAGCGGGTCGAGCGCACTGTGAGATCCAGGCACATGACGACACCAGCACCCAGAAAAAAACGAGGCTGCATCGCCAACTCAACAACTCACACCCTCGCCTCGACGTGACTCGCTCGCCGCCGCCGCCGCCATCTTCCT